AGCTGACATCCAGCAAATCATGCACCGGAACGCACTCGAGCACGTACATCGCAACGTGTGTAAGGAAGAAGATGCTGCCAACAATCGAAACGTACGCAAGCTCAACGACAAACAGGTGAGACAAGAAGCTAGGCGGGAAAAACATAACAAGACTTCTAATCCCGTGCGCATCGGCGAAAGTATCTTGAAACAAGTCAGACAAGATATGGGCCTTCTGGTCTCAAACGATCAAGAAGTAAATCCCGCACCCGGTGTAGGACAACTAGATCCCGCTCAAGACGACACAACGGCACGCGACAGCAGGAGAATGCGAAAAAAGAATGCACTGGCGGAAAAAGTGCATAAAGCGATACGAGATCAATGCAAGCCTAATGCCGTGACGAAGCCAACTTGCAAGTCTAACACAAAAATATCACTCGCGACTTGGCGCAGATTGGCTGATGAAGCGCGAAATCGACACGCGGCTGCAACATGCCCAAGGAACGCAGCTCCGCCTCAACATTACGTGGGCTGCGGTGAATATATACGCGTAGGCACGCTGCAGTCGTCCCTCAGGAGACCGCTCTTCTCTAGCACGTGTGTAAGTGGAAGTGCCAACCCTAAGGCGATAAACGAAATAGCCTTTGGCGGACGAAGCCAATACGAAAAGAAGATGAAAAAGAAGATAAATCAAGCCACGCTAGGAGTATTGTTCAGCGTAGTGCCACCTGACGACAAGCGCACATATGCGAAGATGTTTTGCAGGTCAACAGTGCCCAAGTATGGACAGGCCAGGGGGGTACAACCTCCCTTTCCGGTGTCGCAGCTGCACTGGATAGACGAAAACTGGGAGGCGGGTTACGAATACAACTTTTGTTACCAGAGCGACGCACTTAAGGATGGAGAAGCATGTTGCGGAACACTAAAGGACCTTGAGAACCTCAGGCAGCAGGTTACAATCGAACAAGGTCTCGTAGCTCGCATCAAAAGCCGGCCGCATAGACGTGATCGAGGAACGCTAGCAAATGAGGCGTCTGGACTACCGTGTGGTTACCTACGCGACTTACGCATGTCGCGTTCGAGTGGACGTCCCGAAGAACACAGGGGTCACAAACACCCCTTCGCAGCACCGTTGGGTAGACCAGCCTCTGGTACTAGCAATACGAGAGCGACAGCGACCGATGGTAGAAGTCCTACAGCAAAAGCACATGCTCACCTGCACAACAACACAAGAGCGGAAATGGGCAATGCAGTTGTTATGCGCACCGCGCGTGAGACTAGCACGAAAGCAGTGGAGAACCTACTGGCTAAAGTGAGGATAGCAGAGAAAAAGCCACAATCGACTACGACAAGGTCGGTTGCAGTCAACAACGAACCTAGATCTGAGGGTCTACAAAGGATAGCTAGCCGCGCATCTAGAGCAGCAGGATCGACTCCTGCACCAAACGCGAGCAGCAGACGTGGCACATCGTGTTCCTCCCATGCGAGTGGACACAGTAGTTCATCAACATTTGACAACAATAGCTGCGCCAAGTCCAACCGCTTACCCGACGAAAGGGCCAAACACGAATCCGAAATCAAGACTCTACGAGCGCAGGTGGATAGGGTCAACAATATTCTGCAAGTACTTGACGAAGAATTGAGCGAAACTTCACGGCGACCTCTGGGTTACTCCGAGTCAACCTCGAGTACCATGAAAAATAAAGGTTTTTTAAAGCGTGCAAGAAGCCCATCCGGAAGCCCGCAAAACAGAAAGCGCAGACAAGAAATACAGGTGACAACTACCCACAGCGGAAAAGCGGCAACATGCAGCGGGGCCGTAGACTCCGCATTTCCAATGATCCCAGGGTGCTCCACGCCGAGTAAGCGTGCTATGGTTTTAGATGGCGACACACCACATCCCTCTTCTCGCATGACAAGGATTGACTACACCAGACCATCGGCCGGCACTCAAGCCACCACCGTGGTTTACAACCAAACGACGACATGCGTAGAAAAGGCGAGCGCTAGTAAGACAATCACTGTGGCCACTGCTAGCTGCCCTCCTGTTACAGTAGCTAGAGCTGGAAACGATAGAGGGGTCGAGCTCAACAGGTGCTACGATGCTTTCCTCAACAACCCAAATACGAGCAAGAAGTTACTAGCTACGCGTAGCCGTCTCCTTGCGCAGCTTGGTTCAATGAACACACAGCGGGTAGTAAAGCAACATAAGGTGTGGGTGGAACGGTTACGATGTTTGAACATCATCAACAAAAAACGGCTTGCCGACCGACAGAACATAAAACCCATGTCCAAGACTGCAAGGTTCAAGAACAACGTGTTGAGGGCGCGCAGAATCGCGAAACAGGTCAATAGCATTCCTCTCAAGGCTAGATCTACTATTGGCAAGCGACATCGCGTAGCGAAAGCAATTCTCACGCGTACCAGACGAGGACGCAGACTCAGGCCGAGAGGGCGATCGCTATTAGAAATCAACTACATCCCCGAAGGGGCGATGGTGTCCCGACCGGTACCTTGCGGAGGAGCTAGAGACGCAGCGTCCGTGCACGTAAACCCAGACAAGGGCAGTGCTACTAGTATTGCCAGCTCCGACCACATCAACACCAATACTACAGTAACCAAGTCTCCTTTCGACCACGTCACTACATCTACCGCGGCAACCAAGTCAACGTCTGAACCAGTAAAGCGAGAGATGCCTATCCAGACACAGGAGCGTTTGCAGAATAAGGAATCTAGATGCAAGGCAACGAACCGCGCGCTCGCATGCGAAAAGAGCGGGAACAAGCGCGCTGAGACAAGCAGCGATGGCACGAGCGAACAAAATAAAGCCAACCACGCGGGGCGAGCAACTATTGCAAATACTAGACCGACAAGACAGTTTGAAGCTGGAAATAACATCTCGCGAACTAAACTGAGTCTAGAAGCTCCCAAGCAGCAAACAGCGGAAAGGATGCGTGGTAGTAGTGACTACGTGCCTACACTTAAAACCGGAACGACAAATGCAGTCAAGAGCTCCCAGAAGCTAAGTGGAGCACAGAAAAGGAAGATAAGAAGAGGAAAAAAGAATCCGGATAACAAGCCACCAGCCCTCACTTGCATCAACATGTTAGGACAAGGTTTGAAAACGAAGAATGAAGCAAACGATTACATCCTCCAGATGCCGCGACACGGAAGCGCCGTGTCATCGAGATTCCAACCCGAGTATCCTTTTCTGCAGGACGACAAATCAATATGGGAATTACCGGAGCAGCTATCTTTCAACAAGGATGACTTTGGTGAACCGGAGGAGAAGGAAGAACCAGTTTTCGTGGAAGTAGAGGCGGATATAGTAGAGAAGTTTCTAGCTGAATTAGCTAAAATCGCGCCGCACGTAGTACCCACAAAAGATGACAAGGGTAAATATAAAATACCCTCGTACTACTTAGTCGTAAAATTACATAAGCTCGACTATTTTAAATTTAGGTTCATCAGTGGGGTCACGCAAGCAACATACGGGGGCATGGCCGGTTGTCTCACAAACGTGATCGTAAGAGGGGTGGAGCATGTCCTGAAAACAAAAATATTTAAAAAATGCTGGGCCATTGATGATAGTAGGGAAGCCATTAAGCGCGTGGTAGTAGGGCGCTACCAGAAGTATTACCAATACGATTTTAGTAGACTATATACCGCACTTGGTCACAATTTGATGAAGTTTATTCTAGAGAGCACGGTCGATCTGGTCTTCGCCAAGACCTCGGCGGTTGCTTTTCATACGACAAAGACAATGACTAAGGTAGGAGTCTTGAAGACTATCGCGGTGCCTGTAGGAATAATGGAAATTCCAGAAAAAGAAAGAGACCGATATGACACAGACTCCACGACGTACTTCTCAAAGCGACGGGTCATAGCGCTGATAAAATGGACCATTGATTGCAACGTCGTTGAGGCTGGCGGGAGTTTCTATCATCAGAAGATAGGACTTCCCATGGGCGTCAGCCCAGCCCCGACGTTCGCAAACTTGGTTCTTGGGGTGATGGAGCTCTTATTTTTGTCAACAGAGGCAGGCAAAGAGTTTCGTGAATACTTGATCAGCAGGTACATTGACGACCTACTAAGCCCTGTCAAGTTACCCATGGAAAATATCTATCCGAAGGAACTGTGTGCTACACTGGATACAGACGGGCAGCAGTCCTCGCCTTTTTTAGATATTTTCTTTGACTCAACTTTAGGTAAAGTGGTTACTAAAATTTATGACAAAACCCGCAGCTTCCCTTTCTTCGTGCCTAAGTACTCACTTGTACAGTCCACAGTAGACGAGCAAACGCACTTGGGTGTGTTTAAAAGTCAACTGATCCGTTTTTACCAAAAGAACTCTCTAGTCCTGTTTTTCATTAAAGACTTAACTGAATTAATAATACGTTTTTACCAGAACGGTACCCTTAAAACTAACACCGTTAGAGCTGCCATGCAAGTAATCTGTGAACGACACTGGGTTCATGGACCGGAAGCGAAGTGGTGTTTTGACAAGCACAAGTTCGCTCGTCAAGTCGTAGCGTACAGTCACGCTGTCGTGCAACTCATCAACAGTTGCATGGAAGCGAGGCTCGATCACACACCAACGAACGACTAAGTGTAGAAAGTACTTGTAAATAGAAGAAGTAAGGTAGTAGCCGAGCAAGAAGTTCCATCAACCCAAATACCGGGCGTTGATCACAGAAAATCAACAAATTAGAAGTGAGCTAGATCCCCTTTATCCTTTCTTTAAAAAAATCAAATAAAAAATCAACAAAATTTCCTGTGCTGAGCTCAAGTATAGCCGATCCTAAACATAAAGCTCGAGCAAGCCTGACCTTACAATGCATCTGAACTGACTATGGTAGTTCCCAAAGTATTAAACGATCTAAAAACGAAAACAGATCCACACTGCATAGCAGAACTGATAAATACGCGGTAGGCTGGCATAAGTAGACCTGTCATTGAGAAGAAAGATCCAACATAGAATAAAAAAGAAAATAAAGAAAGAGTACTCAAATTAATACTTACTCACAGGGAAAACAAGACAAAGCTGCGATATTGTCGTCAGTACAAACTCCAAGATGGCCACTGAAATGCGATCTCAACTGTCGGGCGTTGCCTTCCATGAAGACGACCAGGCAAAGGAAATCAGGCAGAGTATCTGTAGCAAAATTTTCAAAGACACTCTAAGTGGAATCGAGGATGTAATTGTGGATTTCCTACTGAATCGACAGGTAGTGCACAATTTGACAGAAAGGAACATAGTATGCATTAGTAAAGCTCAGAAGGGTGTAATGAAAAGCCAAAAGTGTTGTGGGATAACAGTGATTCACCGGCTGATCTGAATGAGTCGTACGTGAACTCTTTTTACATACTGTGGTGTAATAGCCTAACCAGTCATACAGATAGAGAATAGTTAAATTTCTTTCCCTGATCATGTTTTGTTCACCAAACTCACCTGCAATTACAGCACGAACTACAAGAACGGTCAAAACCTGCAGGCGAAGGCTGCGCTACTCGCATGGTCTTCGTTCCGGTACTGTGTCGCCAGATGGGGTTGAAGGTTGCTCAATGCAAGAAGTTTACCGAAGATGAACTAGGTTTTCTGGTCAAAGAAGCTATTGGTCAGATGTATAAAGAGTACCGAGTATGCACCTCTGTTACATCAGATGAAGAACAAATTGAACATGTAGCTATCCATACGCCGAAAGCATAAAAATAGTTCTGACGGAAAAAGTAGAGCGATTCATTCATTCAGTCACACGGGGTGGGATTCTAAATTTGATTTAAGGAATTCACAATAGGGAAAGAGAGGTGACAAAGAATGGGGGCACACTAAGCACTGAGACAATCATAAAGGACCAGAGGTGAAAAGTGACAAGTGTTAGAACAACCTGCATACTTTTGGCAAGGAGCGGTTGACTCATAACCTTAAAATGTCGCGCGGGACAGTTTCCAAGAGAACTACAACTACATGTAAGTGGTTGGCAAGGAAAGGCGGTCCCCTACCCATAGATAGTTACCCATAAAACCCAAAAGAACGTGAGTACTACTCCCCATGTGTGTTACAGCTACCTGCATACTTCTGGCAAGGAGCGGTAGTCACACACACATAGATAGTTAACCATGCGAGCTAATTTTTATGAACTGTAACACAAGAACGAAATTCAATGGAGTTTCAAACTACTGTATACTCAGGTCTGGCAGCTTACGCCCATACCCCCAGATAGTCCTCCGAGAAGATTACTTAAACGACTGGTAATCTAGCATCTTAGATAGTTAATCGTCCTCGTTTCTAACGTCATAGGAGAGTAACCTATGGCGATATCCTTTTTTTCTAAATGTAATCAGTAAATAGAAGGTTGACACTATGAACATTGAACGTGGGTGTCTTTTATGTGTTATGACGTGATCTCGGTTGTTGTGTCTGTTGCTCGGATTGACTCTGTCTTGTAACAGTCGGTTTCCCTTTATCGGTGGTCGCGCAATTATTCTTTGAATTGTGATGATGTAAGACTCGTGTATCTCCATGTCTCGTTTTATAGATCGCTCGCAACTGTGCTATTCACTGGTTGTCCTCGCTCGTTCTAGTTACTTACGTTTGGCGAGAGGAGAGAGTGAGAGGTGCGATTCTCTCGTTGCCTGCCTTGCTTTGCCGAACTATGCTTACTCTTTCTTTACTAGCTTGGTTTTTAGTTATCCTTAACTTACTTTAGCTTATTGTTTGTGGCCGGCCACTCACGTGGCCTGCAATATTGGATGCGACCTCAAGGAGAGCTAGTAGTGGTGAACCGGTACCCATGGTCACTATTAGCACGGCGGTCTCCTTGTGGTGAGAGCACCCATCCCCTTTTGCTCCCCGCCCGGAGCCGGGGGTGGGACGCCATGGGCTGCAGCATCTTTAAGTAAATAAAAAATAAATATTTTGTAACTGGACTTTGCTACTAACTTATAAGGTTTTTCTGCTTTACTTAGTATACCTGCGCCCTCTGCCTACCTTCTTCGTTACGAGAGCGAGAGTTGAGTGATGCTACTTCGGTGTCTGCTTGAACAACCTGCTCAACAAGACAAGATCATGGGGTTGGGAATAACAACGTCCTTTTCATATATATAAATATAGATTATTTTTTTGTTATGTTTTTTATCTATCAACTTATAAGAATTATGTATTACCTGATTGAAGATGGAGATTGGAGAAGTGAGATCTTGTTCATGAATTCTATAAATATTTATATTGACAATAGTACATAGATTGATTGAATTCGCTAAACGAAATTTGTAGACAGAACAATGAAAAATTTGAGAAGTAGACAACATGGCTTCTTCTACGGTCTCTTTTTCTGACCACGACCATATCTATTTTTATCACTCTTATTTAGAGTTAGAAGAAGTTGGATTTGGAATAGAATAAATAGTCTAGTTAGAAATGTTGACAAGTGGGCCTGGGTTATATATTTGCGTGTGGGGTAAAAACAATTATGGCAGTGGGAATCTGCAGCAAATTGTCTGCGAGAAGTTTCGGAATGATGTAGCCATTGTTCGCGCAGCCTTGCGATACACCTCATTTACCGCTTTCCAGCATGCGGGTGATGCAATATAAAAAGATCGGGCGAAACTAATGCAATTTATCACCGGCAGTGATTTAGTGGATCCTCCAGAGCCTTTACTCGACATGGAATTCGTCCAGTTTGCCGATGATTCCATCGAGCAGGATCGAGACCTCATCGTGGAGGTATTCCGAAGAGTAAAAGAATAAATTATATTACAGTAAGGCCAATAACGGGCTTCGAGTTGCTCGAGTTGCCGAAGCGAAGCGTTCCATTTTTGGAACGAGTTGCCACGAGTTGCGAGAACAAGCTAGCTGCGTCGAAATGGTAGCGAAGCAGGGCGAAGCGGGCGCAAGAGAATCGCGGCGACCCGATATGGGTCAAAAAAGCCTTATTCTATTATCTGCAATCAAGCAGGACCGAGACCTCATCCTGGAGGTATTCCGAAGAGTAAAAAAGTGATGTGTTTAAGTTTCATCTTTAAGGATTATACGGAGTCTTTTTACTAGGTTCATAAATTCCCAATCTGAATTAATACCGTGGACACACTGGAGAGGCGATACTCGTCTTCCGCTCACTCAGCCCCACTGCGGGAATGGGTTTATGCGCAGACAAAGACATTTTCCTTGCGGCGTTAGCGGGAACACGAACGCAAAACGAGTCAGAAGATTATGGGTGAAGATGAAAACGCATTCGCATCTTCCTGAGCATCCACCTTGGCATCTTTTCTATTTTTAGGAAAAGATTGGTCAAGGATGCTCCCAGGAACGATACCTCTCCAACGGCTCTAAGAAGAAGTCGCGAAGGATCTCTTCGAGTACTATACGAGCCAAGAAACGCGCTCCGATGAAGCATTTGTTTTGGATGCAATCGAAACATTTCCAGCTATATGGCAATATATTTAGAATATAATGTCCTTAATCTTGATGAAACCTATCTCCCTTCTAAGTACGCTTACGCAGTTTCTAAATAAGAAGTATTTTTTACTTGGCGGTATAGTTGATAAGGTTGAAATTAAATACAACATATCTTATTTTCATAAGTTACCGCGACGGGCTTTGGCGGATACGGATTTGACGCGTCGTTGCAACGCGACAAGGGACTGATTCGTGCTGTTTTCCAGCAGAGCTCCGCAGGCAGCACAGCACGAAAGATAATAAACTATATGAGCGAGGAACAGAAGAAGGATCATACCAAAATATGCGGATGGTATGGGCAAAAGGTTGGAGCAGAGCGAATAAGATACGACCTGGTGGATGGGGAACAGGAACCCAAAAGCCAAGATCAGGGGCTCTGGCATGGGCATTACTGACGCGACATTACCTATCATGAGAGAATTTTTGGGAGGGGTCTTTACAGGCCCAGGCAGTAAGAACAGACTTTTCTCTTATAGAAGTCGGTCTGTGTTATTCTCTGCAATCAATATTTTACTGCAATGAGCTTGCAACCGTGATCACAAACCGTAATGAAAATAGATTCTTGCAACCATCAACGTGATCACAAACCGTATTAATGAAAATGAATTAATGTCGTCTCGCCCAGATTATATCTTATTGTTTCCGAAGATGAAATAATTACTTATAAACCCGAAGGATAATTTATCCTCGATGAATGCAAATCCTGTTTCAGCTGTCGACTCGTCCTTTCTTGAAATTGTTCCTGTCGATTTTTCCTGTTGGGAATTCAATCCTGCTGGTCACGCGCATGTAGGTCACATCACGCTCCTTTTTACTTCTACGTGGTTGGGCCTTGAAACAACAACTAAAGAACGACGAGCTGTTGATTCCTGTAAATAAGGATGTTGAGGTCACCACGACGACCCACCTTGTTGCCGTTCGCGAAACTACAAGAACTTAATCGTGAAGGTTCGAAAGCGAAATCGTTGAACATCTGTTCGTAATAATGTCTGGAAATCCCTGTGAAGAACAGATGTTCATGAAATTCCTGTCAAGAAGAAGATAGTTTCATTCCCATGAAATGAGAACAAAGATCTTCTGGTCGATGCTTTTCATAGCACAGCTGCTATAATGCTCCTTTTGTTGTAGAAGTAAAGTTATTTTATTAGTGTTTCAGGTAAACATAAACTTTAACTCTGGCGCTAGTACTTGTGGTCCCAACTACTTCTACATTCTTGCTGTCGCGTATCATCTCATCTTCATCACTAATTGGGTATTTTTAAAGGTATCTAAATAAAAATCTATGCATTTTTCATTTTTATTTTGCCCCATATCCACCAGCGGAAGTTTGGAGCGATTTTCTAAGTGCTGGTTTTGTATGTGAGCCGGTTGTTTCTGATTCAAACATGCGGAGCTGGATGTTCATGGATTCGTCCTGATAATATGGGTGGACTAACAGTGATGATTCAATCATCTTCTTTCATCTAGAAATTTCAATATCAGTCGTGTCATGACCTCCTCCCATAGCAGGAAAGTGAATTTTCCCCTTCATATAAATGCGAGGTTGTGCTGCAAATCTTGACTGGCTTCTTCCCTTCTTATAGGGTCGAGGTTTAGGTCCAGCGGCGCTCAAAGCACTTAAAAAAACAACCGGTTAGTTTTTACCTCTAAACCCTAGGTTTATCCCATGAAGCAAAATATCAGTCGTGTCATGAAACTGATCCAACTCAACAAGGAGTTACGAAAGTTTCAAGATGCTGTCGTCGACAAAAAGATACAACATAAGTATACATCAGCGACCAGCACATTGCCAACAAGGACTTGCTGCAATAGTGATCACAACGTAGTTGGGTATCTTACTTTTCTTGTGTACAGGGTCCACCATGACTTGTTGTATTGCTGTCGCACGTGCTGACCTGGCTTGAGCAACACCCAGCATCTGAATTCGAAATCCTGAACCATGACGACCATGTGGAATAACTTGGGTAGAAGTTCCATCTACAATGCTGCTGCCAACGGAAGCCAACGTAGCTACTGGAACAAGCCAGATCATGTTGTTTCTCCTGGTGGAGGTATGGATGTATGGGAGAATGCGGCTGCATCGACGTCCTCGACAGGAGAATCGCCTTCGGCCGGATCCCTGGCAACAGATCAGAATCAAATGCAATTTCAGCAACACAACATGATGATGCCTCAGCACGTCCTCGATCAAAACATGATCCCTCAGCAATCATGTCAGAATATGATGTCTCAGCACGTCGATCAAAACATGATGCCTCCGCAGCAAAGTTGGCAGCCGGAACCAATGGTCGTCGCACAGCAACTACAAGCTCGCGAACAAGTAATGATCCAGCAACATCAGCAGCAGCAGCCTCAACCTGGTGCGAATGCGGGCATCATGTTGGGAATGACAGGAGGAGACTCAACCTCGTCAATGGCAATTGGTCGTGGATACAATCCCACGGCTCACCAGGTTGTAGGACAGCAGCCTCAACAATGGCCTTGTTCGGGTGTTGCACCAGCAGTCGGCACTATGATGAACGTAGCCCCTAATGGAGGAGCAAGTTGTCCAAATTCTTGGCTGGGACCTCCAGTATCAATGGGAGCATTTCCCGGAAACATGCACGGAGGAGGATGTGGAGGTTACATTCAACAGCCTCAGAAGTACGACAACTTTTCTTCACCCAGCATGATGATTCCAGGCACTCCTGGGCTCGTTGGTGCAGGAGTCGTTGGTGCACAGGGGATGGTCCAACAGGAGTGTCCTCAGATGATGGGGCCGCCCAGTCATCAACCACCGCCTATTATGGTTCAACAACAACAGGCTTTTCCTACTTCTCAACTACAGGCCACTGATCATGCTCCCTCATCTTGGCAGTATCTTCAACATGATGTTGGTTCTTGTACTTCTAGTCAGGTAGTGACACGAGCTTGTTCAGGAAATCCTGCATTTGGACTTGGAGGCTACCAACACCAAGATGACCAGCAACAGGCAATGGCGTATAATCCAGTTGGCTCCCAGCCGGCGCACCAGCTACAGGAGCAAGGACAACAAGTTGTAGTCCAGAGTAATATGCAGGCTTCGTCGGCGCAGGCTGTAGAAGTACAACAACCTCCGTCTTTCGCGATGAGAGCGGAGATGGCTAGAACTAATTCTTCGCGCTCTGTTGCTGCTCTTCCTTCCCAACTACAGCAACAACATCAAGTCCAAAAACCAAACTTCGTTGCTGCAGCCAGTCGTGCTAATTCATCTACTGTGATGACGGCTTCGCCACAAGTCGCCGCGGCCAAGCAAGGCGATTCGAGTGCCGTTTCGTCAAGTCCGCCACAAGCTGCTCGTGCAAATGGAGCATGGAAGCCTCCTGGGAGTGAGCAGCGGAATGTTGAGAAGGCGTCGCCAAGTCCTAGCCCTGCGAGTCAACGCTCTGCCCTTTTCTCATCAAAATGCCTAGATGACGCCCGAAAACAAAAAAATGGAGGTGCGAGGAAGAACAGCAATTCATCTCCTTCCCCCGAAGATACGCAAAGTACGACTTGCGAAACTGCAACGAGGAAGGCATCTAATGACAGCACAGGCAGCAGCAGTGCCGCTGCACATACAGTAGAGCGAGGTGTAAGTAGTGCATCAAGCTCTTCTGCAACTAGACCGCGGGCTCCATCTGCTGGAGCAGGTAGCAGTGTTGCACTCACACGTGCTTGTTTCCCTAAGACCGCGAGAACTCTCAAGGCTTCTGCTACCCCTGCTGCATTGTCCTCTAGCGCACCTGGATCCAAATCGTCTTCTGGCGCAATGTTGGTAGCAGAGACTGAAGCATCGGGTGGCCAGGGACAAAAACAGACACGAGATCGAGTACCACTGCAACGAACTGCATGCACTGCTAGTTGTCCTGTGAAAATGATCCTGAGCAGTTGCAGGTGGTCGGACGTCGATGAAGATGTTGAGGAAATACAGATGGCAGGAACTCCAAGTTCAACATGTTTGCCTCCTCCATTAATACGGCGGCAGTTTGGAGATAAGTCGCAATCCTTTGCCAGTTCCTCGTCGGCAAGTTTTAAAGGATCATATAATTGGTCGAGTAATAAAGGACTACATGATAAATCAGGATTGAAGAAGGGAGAAGGTGGAAAGAAAGGTGGCAAGGAACATGAGTGCAACAAAGGACAGCATGACTTTAAGAAAGGAGAAGGAAAGAAGGGCAAGGGAAAGGAACAGCATGAGCCCAACTTCAAAGGGGAAGGAAAGACGAATAAGAAGGGTGCTGGAAAGAATTATCAACTACATGCTGAGTCTTCTACTAGTTGTAACGTCAATAATATTAGAGGGCAACATCAAGCATCAAGTGCAAGTCGACGCCCTTCATCTTGTTCCTCGAAGGGTCAAACACCAGAAAAAGGCTCCAGTAACAAAGGCAAAGGTAAAAACCAGCACAGCCAAACGGTGAAGAAAAATAAGAATTCCTCAACGTTGAAGCGACCTCGAGTCCTCGAAGCGACCTCGAGTCCCTCTTCACCTGAAGACTTTTTTTCTCAGCGAGACGAGTTCTCATACGCCGACCCTAGTGCCAAGCGACACCGTTCTACTGGTGTCGCAAACTCCTCACCAGGAGTTCCAGGAGCACCCGGTAGCGGTAATGCTTCTTATATCCGTCTCCTAAGACACGCAACGAAAGACGAGAGGCTAAATAAACTCCGTGTACTGCTTGCAGGAGGACCGCCGCCAGCTTACGCGGGCGAGGTGGAACTGGTAGGATGAACATGAACTAGGACCACGTGGTGTCAACATGATCGCTTTGGATGTGAAGTAGCAAGTAGTAAGTAGTGGTCCGTGCACTACGACATGTCCCTGATCATGCCTGCTGTGAATCTTTCTTCTGCCCTGACCTCCCTAACGAGCATAGTCCTTTCGATTCAATTCCTCACTTGTCTACTGAACGAGGCTTGACATCTCTTCTTCTTCGCTCCCGCACCCCACACATCAATGCTTCTTATGATTTGACAAGCTTAGCCACCACCCCTTACACCTTGTAGTTCTTAGTGGCCTTCCCTTCCCCCACCGCCACCTTGTGACATTCAATTAATACATCAAAACCAAGAAGCAGCACAATTGTGCTTTTCACCCGAACTTGAAGCAATGATCGTTCTTTTTATCGCAATGATCTCTTGATTTATTTGTCAAGGATCAAACGACCGTCGCAATCATGTCTCCAACACATTCGTTCGAGGAGAGAAGGTGATCTTCGTCGGCTTTCAATTAGTATCTGTACTACTAGAGTGACGACTCAGATGGTCATGGTGAGAGTTCATCTGCTTCTATCTGTAGATGTATGAGAGATTTTCGAGGATAGGAGCAATCTTTATCTTCTGTGGAGTGATAAATATTAATTGTCGTGTCCTCGAGGTTTTGCCTTCTGTCGGCCAGACGTTGTGACGAGAGTCGACGATCTGTTTGATGTGATGGAAGAAGTCGTGAGTATCGAGGAATCGAACGTATCATGTATGATATTGATCCATCTCCTTCTTGTTCTTGTACCATTTGATTTTTCATCATCTGACCTTCATCTTCTTCACCTTGACGCTGACCACGCCGAGAAATATATCAGATGTATAAGAAATCACCTCCCCCACCCCAATCGTGTTATTAAAAAAATTAACATATCTTATGCTTGTTCTTCAGTTCTTAATCTAGTTAATAGCGTTGCATTGTAGGGTTTTTAGGCTTACGCTCCCAGCAACCCCGCACGACCACCTGGGGAAGTAGGGAGCTGTAGTGTAACAAAGTCTACTTACAAGAGTCAGAATTAGTAACGAAGTGATTATAAATATAAAGTCAAAGTGACAAGTTGTATTAACTTTCCCGCACGAACACATTATACAACACGATCTCAAGTAGTGCATGATCTGATCATATCGGGACCGATTATAGCTAATTCAGCTGCTTCAGGAGAAATATATAATAATTCAAAATGAACGTGTTGCGGCATATGTGGGTGTTGGTGTCCCTCCTGTTGGTCGGGGTGGGACACGGAGTGAGGGCTGCAACTCAAGCGGCTCGGCAAGGCGGAGGTTCAACTGCTGCTACAGGAGCTCAAAACGTAGCAGCCCAAGAAGCAGCGGCTAGAGGAACGGTCGCGTTGAAAAGCAGCACACCAATGGTAAGACGAGTTTATCTTTTTCTACAACATTGGGACGTTAAACGTGATTGGGACTTTGTTCTTGTAGCTGGGAACGAGAAGAAATATGACACGTAACTAAATGTAATCGATTTTGGATGTTACTCGTTTGTATGAACACATGATCTAGATCTCCCGCTCTGCAGGCTAGAATTAACTCGAGATTTGTGCGAAGCTCATGATGAACAATTACAATTGAATTCGATTCATCACAAGACACTGACACACACACAAGAGAGAGATACGACAAACGACCCTAACATGACGTTGTTGATTTCCATAATCTGATCTGTACAGCAACCAGTGTCGAATAATGGGGGTAAAACTGGATGGGGACGTCAAGTTGGTAAGATTCCAGGTTTCGCGGCAGGAATTATTGCAGGATGCTGCGGTCTAGGGCTCCTATACGCGATTTTGGTTTGGACCTTGTACATCCTCCCAATTAAGATCGTTCCAAGAGACAAGGTACAACTTCTTGCACCACTTGCTACTTGTTTGGCTTATCTCTACTCATTCAACTTCAAGTATGTTTGGAATTGGAATGATAATGTTGCTGTGATCGAAGATGTCTAGCACTTCGTCGATGTGACTGCTACGACGTTAACGTCTTCACCAAAGAAATCAACCTCCTAAAATGTCAAATCATGCAAATGAATCTTTCTCTGAGCAGTTTCCTGATAAAGTTATTTCTTCATCTGTGTTTGTTCCTCTTTTTTAACACATGAGGTTTCCCTACTCCCCCCCCTATTTTTTCTGACAGTAAGTGACGGTTTCTTGCGCTGCTGCTCAGGTATGTTATTTCTAGGTGGCTTATATCTCTCTCTACTTCTAGCACTGTTCTACTCCCCGCTTCGAAGCTTAATAAAGAGAGTGAGGGTAGAAGTACTCGAAAAAGGTACGAGTGGTACAAGAACTTTTCGTGAAAACAACTGGGTCATGGGGTAAACTACACTTTAACATGCATTTCCCATACTTACAGGACGTCGCTCAAGCCTCACAGGGTGGCGCCTTGAGCAGGAGTTCTCTGTCCGTGACGCACCAACCGGGTGAGGATGATCCAGACGGCCTGGGACAGACGCATGAGCAGGCGGAGGCAGCAGAGGCCTCCCCTGAGAGCACGTACTTGATTCAACCGGAAGAGGACACGGTCGATCCACAGAAGATCGTGGATGACATGGAAAAAGTGGCTGCGGCGATTCGCAAGGGTGCAACTGCATTCATGGTCTCAGAACTTCTGTGGCTCACACCATTTGTCGTCGTCACAGGCGCGCTCATCTGGGGGGGTCTGCAGTCGTGGCAGACGATGCTGGCGTTCTTCTTGGGGAGCTGTACGATACATTATTATTTTTATTATACATACTTTTTAGAAGAATCTTCCACCTTTGTTGATGAGTGTTGATCTCACCAGAATAAAACTTCTACTTGAACAGGATGTTGCTTAAAGTTAAAATACTTTGAAGATCAATGGACAAGTAGTCCTCGACCACGTCCTTCATCTTTTACTTTTTTTCCTTGTTCAATCATCTTTTTTTTTCTACTTCATCTTCAACGACCAACATATTATTATTAATATTGATCTTTACACATCACCTTCACCAGTGACCTCTGTGTTTGCGGCTTACTTGGGTATGCTGATCGCTGTGCACTCGAACGTGCGAACCTGCTATCAGTGTTGGAGCAGCTTGCATGAAGGTTTCAACTGCGCGTTGTTGTCGGGAAGTGTCATGGGCTTTACGCTCGTGTGTATGGGTGTCGGTTCCTTTTTGGTCACGTGGCTGATCTTAGACGCGGCCATGATCCGCATGACGATTGCGGGTCAAGTGAACGCTCCGAACAAGGACTTAGCGCACGCGCTGTGCGGTTTCGGGCTCGGCGCCTCGCTCGTCGCACTGTTCGCACGTGTGGGCGGCGGAATCTACACGAAGGCTGCAGACGTTGGTGCAGATTTGTCGGGCAAGAACGAGTACGGCATGGACGAAGACGATCCGCGCAACCCGGCTTGCATCGCGGATAACGTTGGTGACAACGTTGGCGACATCGCGGGCATGGGCGCGGATCTTTTTGGCAGTTTTGCGGAGTCCTCCGCAGCAGCTTGCTACATTTGGTACAAATTCACGACCAATATCGAGACTGCGGACACAAACTCGCTGCTCGTCGGAGACGTCAGTGCGAGCTTGTATCCTCTGTTCATTTCCGCCAGTGGGATTATTGCAGGGTTGGTCACCATGGTCGCGAATTTCGCTTTCTTTCCACGTGTGTCGAGATTCGACCAGGTCGAATCTCGACTGAAATACTTGCTGCTCATCTGCACTCTGGTCGAAGTAGGCTTCGTTTTCGCAGTGGGCCACGTGTCCTTACCGCAAAGTTTTTACATCCGTAACGCGAGTTCCGAACCAGTGCTCGTGTCTGACTTAAAGATCAGCGGTTGCGTTGTAGTAGGCGTCTTGGTCGGTTTCCTCATCGGTATGGTGACGGAGTACTACACGAGCCACAGCTATCGACCCGTGCGCGACACGGCCAGCGCCTACCAGCAGTCAGCGTCAACTGGTCTCATTCTCGGCACAGCCTTGGGACAAAAGAGCACCGCCATGCCGGTGCTCCTGATCGCGGGTTCCGTGGTCTTCGCACTAGCAATGGCTGGCCCATTTGGCATTGCCATGGCCGGTCTCGGAATGCTCTCGACGCTCACGATTGCCCTCACCATCGACGCCTACGGTCCAATCGCCGACAACGCAGGTGGCATTGCGGAGATGTCAGGCCTAGGACCCCACGTGCGTGCACGAACTGACTGCTTGGATGCCGCAGGAAATACAACAGCGGCAATCGGAAAAGGCTTTGCAGTAGGAAGTGCGGCTTTGGTACGACTACGATTATAGACCTTTTCCTTGTTCGAGATTTATCGTTATTCTGTAGTGCCATGGTGCGCATAAGTACTTGGCTACATGGACTCACTTCTTAGGATTATTATAATAGAGTAGTTTATAGAACGGATGTAGGATGGACTTGGATGGATCATCGGATGGACCCCCCTGATTCTTCCGATCCTACTTGAAAGGGTGGAAAGTCCATCCGATCCATCCGATCCATCCCATCCCGGATCTGGCACCCCTATAAACTGCTCTATTATAAGTTTTTTATGGTTGGGGTTTTATTAGGTCCAGGAGGAGCGGCGCTGCTCATAGCACTAAAAAAATAAAACAACCGGTTAGTTTTTACCTCTATCGGCTTAGCCCTTCATCAGACAAATCATTAGTAAGCTTTCTATGATCTTCTTCATCTGGTAACCCAGATCACATCATCTTCTTCCTCTGGTAACCCAGATCACATCATCTTCTTCCTCTGGTAACCCAGATCACATCATCTTCTTCCTCTGGTAACCCAGATCACATTGTCTACGTCTCCCGGTTCTTTATCACCTTTCTTTGTCATGATCATCGTCAAGAAAAGATCGATTCCACTGGAGAATATATAATCAGGTCGCCATGGCGTTGTTTTTCGCATTTTTGCTTGCCGCGCACGAGGGAGAAACGGGCGACTTCCGTCTCGAGATGTTGAATCCGTACGTCCTACTCGGTCTCTTCTGTGGTTCCATGCTTCCCTTCGTGTTTGCCGCTCTGCTCATGACCTCTGTCGCAGAGGCTGCTCAGGACATGCTGAAGGAGTGCTACCGGCAATTCCCGCTGATTATCAACGAAGGCAGAGAGCCAGACTACGAAGAGTGCGTCAAAATTAGCACTAGAGCAAGCCTTCGGGAGATGATTCTGCCAGCAGTGATTGTGGTGTTTTCACCGATTGTTGGAGGTCTCCTCTTCGGGACGAACTTCACATGCGGACTGCTCGTTGGTACTACATGTCTCAGTCTGATTTTCATTACATGCGAACTGCTCGTTGGTACTACATGTCTCAGTCTGATTTACTTATTTCATTCACAACAGTTCATCTCGTATTAAAAATAAAATACACAAAGAATTATAATTGTAGTTCAGTCACCAAAGAATCCTTAACGGATTATAATTTTCACCAAACTACTGTTAACGTTAAGGTAAAGCTAAAGGTTAACCCAAATTTTTATTTTATTTCAGGTATCCTCCTCTCCGGTTTGTTGCTCGCGATTAGCATGAGTAACAGCGGTGGCGCGTTCGACAACGCAAAGAAGTACATTGAAGCTGGCGGCTTGGGCGACGGCTCACGCAAGGGGTCAGCAGCGCATAAGAACGCTGTCATCGGAGACACGCTGGGTGATCCACTCAAGGACACATCCGGACCCGCGCTGAACATCTTCCTAAAGCTCTCGGCGGTGACCGCTCTCACCTTCGCGCCATTCCTGAAGAAATTCTCTCACGCTGGCATGCCATTCTGGGCCCCGAGTCCAATGAACATGACGACCGCGCCGGGTAATGCGGTTGCCGGAGGCGGACGATAAAAAGTGTACTAGAACTAAGCTCAATTAGAACTAGTACTACTAGTTGTAGTGGAATTCTTGAGGCGGACCGAGGAGACGGAGATCATGATGAGCAGTCTTTTTTATGTTCTAGATGGGACGAGGAATCAGTGGGTGGACCAATCGAATTACCGGTCGTACTGAATCTACTTACACGGAAGTCGCGACGCGGCGCACATGCAGCTAGCACCTGGAAGAACAGGTAGCAGAATTTTTCTTGGTGTAGTCAGTAGCATGTTCCTTGGTGTAGTGAACATGAAGTGTGAGTTGTCGAAGCCGACATGAAACTGAAACAGGGAATGTAAGTACATCAATTCTTCGGGAGTGAGGACATTGATTTACAATTTTGCAGAACTTGAAGTTGAACTAGTAAAGACGACAAGACATGCGCACCGATGGAGGTCTTCCACGGGGAGTCAAGGTAGACCTGCCCACTTAATAAGTAAAGTAGTAGAGTTTATTTTGCAACAAACTTTCAAAAAAACCTATTAATACGCACCACTGTTGAACAGTGATAATTTCAGATAATCATGCACCAGTATTAGACACATTGAATGCAACAGTGATAATTTCAAAAAAATACACAGAGTAAGTACAAATTGCTACTTGAACAGTAATTCAAGGAACAACTAATGTATCGATTGGATTATTGTAAACGCGCGAAATCAGTATGTTTTTGCATAAAAATGTACAACGTTAACACCTTCTTCATCAATGATACTTGTTCGACAGCCACTACCTGCTATTTGTTGTACACATTGATTGGGCGTGTGATGCATGTATAGAATGAAGAAATAGTCTTAGTCCTCACCTGGTGAGTGTGAGAACTTCTTCAGCGTCATCGATCAACCGAACGAAAAAAATTAGTCCTACAACGCAATAAACTAGGAGAAGCTCTCTCAGTACAGCGCTACATCATGACCATGAAGAAGAGTACTTTTTTTTGGCTACCTTCTCGCACCACGAAGTGATACTGGAGGGACACTCAACAGATGATCGATGTGAGGTGAAAAGACTAAGATTTTGTTGCACGACTCACTGGAAACCTGTACACACTCTTCTGGGAATTATGAACATACAGGCGGCGCCAGCCTGCTCATCTGGAGAGGAAGGGCAGCATCTGCAACTGCATCATCCACACGCCCGTAGAATTGTGTTTCGCAAAGATGATCTGGATTGATGGTCTGTTTGAATGGTACCAGTTAAGATTTTTTCAGGCTCGGTGCTGCTCTGAAGATCCCACGACGTTGTAGCCAGTAGAGGCAGTCGTCGTCGTGTTGTCTTCCTGGTCTGTCTTGATTCCCAGTTTCCCCTTCTCGTCTATTGAGAATATCAATATTTGAGAGAGACCAACTACAACAAGTGACGAGCAGCCTGCAATTGCAAAGATGTTCGTGCCTCCAAGTAGTGGTCCTTCTGCAATTCACCTGCATCGCAGTGCCGGACCTGCAGGCGCTCAAAAATTCGTTCCTCGCGTTGCGCCAACTGCGATCTTGTCACTCTTTGCTTCTTCCGTCACACCAAGTACATCGTCTACCTCATCAAAGTGCTTGACGAAGAACAGAACCTATTCATCTCGAGGTTGTCGCACTACTTCTGGAGCGTGCTGCAGAACCATAACCTATTCATCTCGAGGTTGTCGCACTACTTCTGGAGCGTGCTGCAGAACCATTACCGCGCAACGTCGTAGCTTCGCGAATACAGCGGATAACGAGAAGCTGGTTCTAGGCTTGGCAATATCTCACGGAACGACGGGCTTTGCGCTCGTTCGCTTTGGAAATGGCGCCCCAAAACGATTCGGACTCATAAATCATTCGACGAGTGCTAATCATGGGTCTGGTGGAGGTGGTGGTGCTGGTGGTGGGAGTAAAAGAAGTAACTCTGGTGCGTCTGCTTCTCCGAAGAATCCGAAGATATTGACCAAGAATGGAATTATATCAACATCAACTTCAATACCTTCGAGTACGAACCACAACATCAAGAACTCGTGCGCCTACGACGAAGTGCGCGATAGCGTATGTGCAGCACTACGTCGTTTGAGGGAGGCGAGGTACGATTTCCGATGTATAGGGGTTGAAGATACGGTGAAGGACCGGTCTTTGGCAGCTGCAAAAAGAGATTTGGATCGGTACGTGGAGACAAGTAAGATCCAAGGCGTCATTCTGACAGAAGTACGAAGATTGTGGCCTGACGTGCCGCTGCTCCAGATCCATCCTCAACGAGCAAGAGACCAGCTGATGTTCTCTTCAGGAGGTGCCGGTAGTGCTCGAGGATGCACCATCAGGCAAGGCAGCAAGACTAACGCTTTCGCTTCGACGAAGTCTGGTACAGGTACTTCTAGAGAACAAGGGAAAAAGAACGACGGCATTATAAGAGGACACGACGATGAAGACGAAGATGCGGAATCCTCTGTTCTGAGGAAACATCAGAACAACAAGAACAGTTCGTCATACTGTCGGGACGTCGCTCGTGATAAGCTCTTTTCTTTCGCGACAGATAAAGTTTCGAATTTTCCTGCGGTGAAAACCGCAAGCGGAAAAATTTGTACGAGTTCGCATTTTATGTCAGATGCGTGGGCAACAGGTATAACAGAATTGCTTCACACACTGATGTTTTACGTTTGTATTCGTGAGCTCGAAGAAAGAGAATCGAATTTGTAGCAGGCATGCAAAATATTTGACCTTTAGCTAAGTAGGTATTCACATTCACCCGTATTTTCATTAGCTTTATTTCTCACCCCCGACCAGCTTTCTCTGTCATTAACATCAGCTCTTTACGCTCGGTTAGAAACCAGCGTCCTAGAAAAGCTAGATGATGAGGAGCTTTGTCGCAAGCTAAGGGCCCAAGTTTTGGCGCGAAGAAGTGTGAAACTTCTAGAGGAGCAGATTCGAAAGTTGCATCCGAGAAGAGCCGCTATCGATCTAGAGTTATGGTCTTCAGTTTGTATCCATTTCCATAATTCTAAGCATCTTGGGTCTCCTACTTTCCCTTTCACAGAAAGATACAAGAACATCAAGGGAAAGTAGGAGACCTCCGGGATTCACAAGTTAGCCTTATAGCTCTAATAGGGGAAGTGCTGGAGAGCCAAGTACGGCAGCACATCAAAACAAGGCTCTATCAGATGGTACATGAACCTGTATTTCGATCGTCGGGAGGACCAGGGACCACTTCTTCGGAGGCACAGGAAATCTGACTTTCTCATAGGGGAACTTGTTTTTGAAAATGAATGAACTTATGAATCATGATGGCCTCGTCGTCCGCCAACGAACAGGAATATAAGAACAACCACATCTAATGAATTTTGCATATTAATGTGATGTAGTAAGCATTCCAGATCCGCTTGTGTTTGATAGGAAGAAAAACGGGTAAATGCTGCGCGCAACCTTGTATTACATTGAAAAAAGTTTGAGGTTGACTTTCGATGTGAATTCCTCTGACGGTCTTTGGTTCTTGTTGGGTTCTTCTTAGCACAAAGACGGATTTCTGTTTGAGATGAACAGGCTTGGGGACTAGCTAGTGCTGGAACAACAGGTGGGGTTGAATCACAAAGAAGTTTCCAGAACTGTGTGACGAGTGAGTATTTGCAGTACAGTATATGATTATCTTGAGTATTTCCAACGGCACAGCACAAAATGCTTCACAATCAAAACTACACGACTGTTTTGCTTCTGTTCTGTGACTTGTAGGTGTTAGGGTCGTGAGAGGACAACTAGATTCGTATTGATTGTCTTGTCAAATAAGTCTTGAAGTGGATGGTGAAAACTATGTACTTCTTAGTTATGAAAAAAACATTCTTCTGCCGAGGCATGGGTAATCTTCATGCTTCTAATCGCCATCTAGTCTTCATGCTAATCGCCGTCTAGTCTTCATGCGAATCGCCGTCTAGTCCTTTCATCATCATCAATATTCCTCTGCCGAGATTCAGAAATCGAAGAAATAGTATCTCGTATAAGCTATATCGAATTGTGAGTTTCGAGAAGTTCTGCATTCCTTGCCCGAGAGTCTGGCTTTTTTTTGAGCATGAAGACGGACGAAAGACGGACTCACGACGATGATTTTTTTATGCTTGACACGATGAGAGAGGCAAAGAAGCTAGACAAAGAACGCAGACGAAGAGGCGAGTCAATACATTTGATTACCGTCATTTTGTTAACTTTCTCTTTGTTTTCGATCCGTCGGCACTTCGTCAGCGGCTGGCCTCTTTTCTGCTTTTTTGGGCGTTACATCTAAGGCGTAGAGTGACGCAAGACGTTTACTCTGCTGATGGTCTAGCATGCGCATGCTCTTGCTTACGGCGTTAAGTTCTGCCTTTTTTTTCATAAGAAACAGAAAAAAAATTTCTGCTATCTTATCAAAAAACTAAAGTCGGCGCCTTCGTTAGTTTTCGTCTACGCTCTGCGTCTCTGCGTCGTGTTTCTCTCTCGAAACGCTTCCAGTTTCCATGGCCCAGCCCTCTAGTCTAAGTAAGGCTCTCCCTCTTATCTTTCAGGTCTATGATCTGCTGACGCAGTTGGTAGCCGCAGTACCCGCCAAGGAGTGCGCGACGTCAGCCACCACCCACAAGAGTGGCGATGCCTCTGCGCTGAAACTCATGCGCAGTATGGGCGAAAATAAACCGCAGCTCCATACTGATTCGCTCACGGTGCCGGACGTGCTCCGCCGCGATTTTTTGGAGAAGTATGAAAGTGAAAAGCTTAGCGCTGCTGCGTACCAACCACCCCAAGCCCCTACGCAGTACCCCACGGGTTTGCCTACTTCCGACCCCTCTGCGCCTTCTTCGTCAGAGCTCCCAGCGACCTCAAGCGGCTGCTGCTGGTAAGTGTCGAGCTCTTTGCGTGAGAAGCTGCCCCATACGTAACCGAAAAGCTTGAAGGGAATTCGTCACATTCATACCCCGCCGCATTTCCACTCCCGCCGAGTTCTTCTTCTGATACCAACATCGACGCAGATGCACTCAAGCAAGGAGCCAGAACAATACAAACCAGCTCCGCGAGCAGCGAATCGCCCAAGGCTATCTACCACGACGATGAAAAGCGCTAGCACGAGCAAAACGCTGGGGAGAAGCCTGCCCCTACGAAGAAAGTGGCGAAAGTGCGCAACCCAATGAAAAAAAAAACAAAGCAACCGAAAGCAGCGACGAAGGCTGCCAAAGTACCGAAGAAGGCTGCCAAAACACCGGGGAAAGCTGTCAAAAAAATGATGGCCATGGAAGCGGAGTAGCTTGCTATATAACTTCCCCACTGTGGCTCGCCAGCCACTGCGGCCAACGATAGGCGCACTCTCATCAGTTTCCGACTTTAGAACGCAAGGCATCACTTCAGTAAAACAAAAGCAAATCGATCAAGTTCGAGAATCAAAGCGCGGCAGTCAAGTTGATGGCTCTCATTTTCCATCCATCCAAGTAGAGGCCTTCGAGCAATATTTATAGAAAAAGCAGGCAGGCAATACGTACGGGAACAATAAGCGAGTGCCCCGCTCGGTGATATGTTAGAAGAAGCGCCAGCAAATCACTGCGAGTCAGCGTTATCCTTTAGTTTACGAATTGCATGGAGAGCCCCCAGACGGGCCCAGAATGCATGGCGCCACAGTTGTGACGAACTTCGCACAGGGTTGGGGATCAAGATCAACACGAATGCCACAACAAAGCCACGGCATACCGGTGAGCTATCAGCTTAACCAGCCCGCAGCATAGCATACGCATGCCACGCGCATAAAATAAATGCCAGAAGCATCCAAATGACACGACGCCAAATAGGGCCGCGCAATCAAAGGGGGAGCGGGAGCCATCTCACATCAGCGCGCGGAATTTGCATCACCTGGCTAATGCGTCTAGCATTGCGCGCGTGTTCTCTTGCATTTTTTGCAAGCGACGCCATCGGTGTCGACAGTTCAGCCGATGCGCTGCGCGTGACATGGGAGGAGCTAAACCGGACAAAAAAGCAAAACAAAGCCACAAAGCGCGCCAGGGTTGCGCGCTTCATTGTTATGCCATCGAGGTCAGGCTTGGTCTCTCTTTTGCTCTCTATGCATAGAATTCTAATGCTCCGCGTTTTCTTCTGCTTTCTTGTCATGTCTTTGCTGCAAGTCATGCCATCCGCGTGCTTCTTCCGGGGCAAAAGATGTCGCACATGCGCCGGCGCCAGCTGAACGGGAACGACGGCGGAGACACTTGCGGCAAGTTTCTTTTTGGTGGAATTGGAAACCAAAGAAAACAAAACACCAGCCCAGCAATGCGGCTGGGATGATCTTCACGGGCGCGAGCACTGTCCACGCATGAACATGAAGCACGGGAACACTATGGAAGATGGGCACTACTGTGCCACCATCAAGATCATGACGATGATGATGATGATGCAAGCCCACCGATCGGGTGGAGCGGGATGCCATCTCATCCCTGCAGCCGTTACCATCAAGATCAACCACAACGCGCCAAGACTTTTGCTGCTTAGTGCTTCGTCAGTGTTAACGTATAGGATTCGCACCGCATCGATCTACTTCTAACTCGCGAGCCAGCGAAGTCGTGCTTCTTCAGCACTCGCGTCTCTGATGGCAATCGATCTTAAAACCAGTGGAACCAACCAAGTCGCTCGCGTTGGACTATGCTACTGCTTTAGCCGCTGCGGGATTCAATAAGCCACGGCCACGAGCTCAAAGCGATAAGCGCTGCGCTTGTTCTACGGTAGAAGGCAGAAGCCTCGCAGCGGTGCAGCACTTTGGCCCCCCTTCAGGCTACCCCGTTGCGCGGTTTTTGTATCGTGGAGAAGCATGGACAAGCCCCCCCGCGACGGTTTCGCCAATATCTGAAACAGCGCAGCCCGCTATAATCTCAATCCGCTTGGCGCAAGCCGGTCAAAGTGCTGGCGTATCGAATCCAGGCAGTCTGTGCGTGCTACAAGTTTGCTCTCTATTAATTCGCTAGCCAAGTCCTCTCCTTTAAGTGTTCCCTCTGTGTGAGGCGCTTTAGCAAGTTCTCTCTCGATCGTGGGCGGGTGGTCGCTGTTTTTGTTTTTCTGATTCGCTCGGCCTCCAAGATTGTTCCAATTCTTGCTGCCAGCAAGTTCCTCAAGGTTTTCACTGCATTGGACAAGCAACACAGTGGCGAGAGCTAGGCTGTGCCTTTCGCGTATACTGGTCAAAATTTTCGAGCGGGTGCGTTGTCTCAATCTGGTGCGAATCCATTATCTTGCGCGCTAGGGTTTGTAACTTCTTCAAAAATGTCGCACGCAGCAACTGCCTGCAGCAGCACCATGCCCGTCGGGTTCTGAACGTAGTGGCCTTTCTTCTGCTGAGTAGCAGTTTTCAACTTTTTCAGCAGTGTACAATACTGCTGAGGCTTCGGCTATTGCGTGGCTCCTGTATGACTGACTGAAGTCGCGGCGCATATCTCTCACGCGCGTCGCGTGCAGTCAGGTCGCGCCGCCTGGGTTCTTTTCAGTTGATTCGTGCGACGCTTCCTTGCTCTGACGCGCGCAGCCCTTTGGCGATACTTTCACGCGCGACGTCTGTCGTCAAAGCAGCGCACTTCTGTAAGTATTCCCTTCAGTTCGGACCCGCGTTCTTGCTGCCAATCGCTGGCCGCTTCCAGAAAATAGCGGGCAAGTTTCTTCCTTCTTGTCTCTGCAGTATTTCCCCACCCTTTTCTTCCCCTTTTTCCTTAAAGTCATGCACTTTCCCAGTATATCAGAGCCTAGCGGTCTTGTTTTCTAAGTCTAGACCTTATACTTACACGAGGCGGCCCGAAGTGACTTAATAAACTTAACAGCAGCGCAGGGATGTCGTCATCCCTGCGCTAGCCTGTGATAATACTACTATGTTCTTCGTTCTCGAGGTTTAAGAAATTGACGGACGGATCGGAGATGACAGGGGACGGCTGAATTGTGCTCAGTTGGCTCCGCTCCGGGAAGAACCTTCAATTACAACTTCAATTACAAAGATCCTTCAGGAAGAAACTTCAATTACAACTTGTTGTACTGGCTTTTGTGGATGATTCCAGAAGGAAACGAAGACGTGGCGCAAGAGCAACTCACAAAAGTAGATGCACGCGAATCAAGTCCATCTTCAGGAAGAAACTTCAATTACAACTTCGGTTTCCACCACCACCAGGACGAGCAGACGGAGCTGGAGTTTAACCTCTCTCGAGCAGGCCTACACGGTATCTCTCTCGTTTGTTCCAGCAACAGCACTTGCTTCTTCTTCCCGGAGCTCTCCGAGAATTTGAATGGCGAGCAGCGCAGGAGGTGGGGGCGCGTCTCGCACGTGTCCCATGCGACCTAGCGACCTGAAGTACCATGGACTGATTGGCCGTGGGAGCTACGGGAAAGTGCTTGTCTGCTCAATCCGAGATGATAAGTCTAAGCTTTACGCCGTGAAAATTCTTAACAAAGCGAACGTGGTGCAGCGCAAGCAGGTCGACCATACACGAACCGAACGCAATGTTCTCGAGGTCTTGTGTCATCCGTTTTTATGTTGCATGGTTTTTCGTACTAGAGGTCGTAATAATTTAAATAGTACCGCTAAGATGTTAGACAGAGTAAGAAGATATTAAAGAAATGAATTTAACACGGAAATTTTTATCCGTCTATTTTTATTTTTTCTGACACGAGTTTATATTTCACTACAAGAACAGATATTTGGTAAGATAGAATCCCTGGTGCGGGCCATCTAATCAGCATCGTGAAGATCCATCACGCATTTCAAACTCGCAGTCGACTCTACGTCGTTTTGGAGTATTGTCCCGGAGGCGAGCTGTTTTTTCACCTTACTAGAGCAGAAAGATTTGGCCACACGCGTTGCAAATTCTACAGCTGCGAAATTTATGGCTCAGCTTTCAATGGTCATTGGGGTTGGTCACTGAGATCCCTCTTGAGAGAACAGGGGAAAATGAAGGAAAAGCAAAGGGAGAGGCATGGGGCCCATTTCTTTCAGAGTCAGTGACCATTGAATGCTGAGCTTTAAGAAATCCTTCTTGCCATTCACTACCTCCATTCGTTGAACATCATCTACCGCGATTTGAAGCCGGAAAACGTGCTGCTGGATCGAGAGGGACATGTGCGCGTAACGGATTTTTATGATGTGCTGGATATACATTTTTGCTTTTCTAGAAGAAAGCCGAAAGCTTCTCAACCTCATCACCAAGCTCGTTAAGTCGATGCCTTACGGTGTCTTTGGATTTAAATAAGTTATTCACGACCTCCGCTTTGCTCACGACTCAACATCTTGCCATCTTGTTCTAACATCGCGGTCTGTCAAAAGAGGGCGTTCTCGAAGGAAGTCTTGCACACAGCATGTGCGGGACGCCTGAGTATCTTGCCCCTGAGATCCTTGCAAAAAAGGGGCACGGCAAGGCTGTGGATTGGTACTCTCTGGGAGCGCTCATGTACGAAATGCTCACCGGCTTGCCTCCGTACTAATATGGCAAACAAGTAGAAGATGAATTTGATTGAAGATCGATCATGAAGAGTAATGAATCAATTACTCCTACTACTACTTGAACCAGCACAAGCATAACAGAGACAGAGCAATAGATACTCGTGTGTCTCTGACCTTCGCTAACTCCTGAGATTTCTACTACAAATGCATTTCTTGCTGCTGCTCACCCCGTATCTTCCACAGACATCAAGTATTACAACTCACTGCTTGTTTAGTTCCTTTCATCCCTCTTCTACAGCTCTAACTCCTCTCTCGAGAACGCAAGGTCTTGTTCGAACAAATCAGAAGTGCTGAGTTGCGTATGCCAAATGACCTGTCAGCGGAAGCTAGAGATCTCTTAGCACGACTACTGGAACGGGATCCACAAAAACGTCTAGGTAGCGAACGGAATGATGGGATGGCGATCATGTCCCACAAGTTTTTCCAGGGCGTCGATTGGAGAGCTGTGTTGCAGATTAAGGAAGATGAGAACCTTAGACGAGTGATGAAGCTGCCTGAAAAAAAAACAAACTCAAGGTTAACAGGAGAGTCCTCAACAACTCAAGACCATCATTCTTCTGGTTTCAGTACAACTACTCAGCTTTCTTGACTCACAATTTCTAATCTACTGCGTGTACGTCCGCCGTTCGTGCCTGCCTTATCGGATCACCTAGACTTGCGCTATTTTGACGAAGAATTTACAAGGGCTGCTGCAGAAAACTCAGACTCTGATTGCGAAGAAGAGGACAGATATTACGATGAGATGATGAAGACAGTACTAGAGCTAGAGAGATACACAAACAGATACACGCTAATAGAAGCAATTTCGAATTTGAAGTACGGAAACGGAATGTCACTTAGTGTTTTTGAACAAAAGCAAAAACCGGTGGTAAATGTTCGGGCTCAAGATTTTTTTTGAAATTACGCACTTGTGTCCTTCATATTGGTGATACAGCAGCAACTAACGCTTTTTACGGGACAATGCAGCGCAATAGTCGTGGCATGAACCGTGGTGGCGCAGCAAATGCTGGTGGTGGTGGAGGCGGCAATTACAATAGTTAAGTGAGGAGATGACTAGTTTTAGTAAATTTAGTTCACCAGGAACAGCATAGGAAGTCCTCGAATGAACCTTCCTCCAAGACAATGCTCCGCTGTCGCAGTTCTCTTCTTCTTGCTCAAATAAGACATGGAAAGATGTAGGAACATGATAAAGACCAAAGGGCTCTTTCTTGATGAACTTTGATCTCTAGAATCATGTTCCTACAAGTACAAAACAGAGCATGGGGCGTACAACAATATACTAGCTCTAAACCAGGACAAACATGAATCCGATGCAGAGTGGAGGAAATGCCACCGGCGTTTCGAATCGGTCCGAAGGACGCACTGAGACTACACCGGAGTTAACACCCTATACCTTCGATGGGTTCGAGTTCGAGGCTGACTTGGTCGATGCCAGATGCTAGAAAAGCTTAGCAAGGAAGGATTGGCTGAATTGCAACAGAGCTGATTATTCTAGAGTGAGTCAGTGCCTCCACTTCTCCAACGGATTGATGTTTTCAGAAGAAGGGACGTATGTCAAATTTGGTGGTGATGGTAGATGCATGCAGAAAAATTAGACTCCCTGGCGTCCACGACCACAGCCACGCTACAGTATGTCAGCATACTTATTCACACGACAACTTACAAGAACTTATAGACGTCATCCTAGGGAGGGAACTTCTGTAGGTGGAAGGAAAGCAATTTAGAGAAGGAAATCAATTTAGAGCAGCTCATCATGCGTGAGCGTGACACAGAGTACTATTAGTATTAAGTAGTGATTTATAAGAACTAGTAGTACGTCGGGCAGAAGCACGATCATGAACTATGCACTTAGTAATAAATTAATTGTACTACAACCACACGCACGTCGCGTAACTCATTAAATGTGAAGGAGGCTTGAAATACAAGATGCAGCGCGAGCGTGAGCGTGTATTTGAGCTTAAAGCTGAGAGATTCTCTCGAAGATAAATTGGATAATGCGAAACCTTCTCAGTGGGGATGACCATTGTTCTTGTAGAAAGACGAAGATTTAAGTTTTTTTTTCTCACAGTGCGTGGAGAAGGCTGTACCTACAACGCGCTGCTGGTCCTACTTCAGGTGATCAAAGGGCTTCACGTTGATCCTGCGCTGTGAGCGAGACGATCCTCCACCTAGGTGCTGTCAAAAGATCAGGTCTTAGACATTCAGTGTCTGTTTGTCTTGTTGAAAAGTTCTTCGTTTTTTCCCGGGATTTTATTTGTTCCGGAATCGTCCTACGTACTTGTTCGCCACGACGTGATTTGGATAATAATTAGATACGCCGCGATTTACATACTAGATGTAGAAGAAGATCATGTAGATTGATAAGGTCGAGTGAAAAATACAAGTACTTACATGCTGTTAGAACACCTCATCCGGCACGCAATCCAGTCTGCTTTAGCCGACTCGCTCTTCACGACGGTTTCATCCGCACTAAGCAGGCATGTCAGCGCTTCTTGAAGAAGGCGTCGTCCTGCGATTGTGTGGGAGTAAGGAGGATAAGGGCCGCAGTAAAACAGAGGACGAGCAGCAGGAAAACATGTCGGGGGAAGACGCTGCTACCCACAACGTATGGGGAGTCATCGTTTACAACGTTTGCGCTGCGCTTGCCATTGGCACGGCCATCGGACCCTTCTTCGAAAAGTATGTGCTGCAGGTGCAACAGGCGTCGGAACCCGAAAAAGCCAATGCAACTGTGGGGTTCTGCGAGAGTCTTTATGTTCAGATCAAGAACAGGTTAAGTACTTTGAACTATCATCTAGTAAATCCAATAAAAAATCGGAATCCAATTCTATTCGAAGATAAACTCGCGTGCATGACGAGAGTGAGACTACAAATACGCAACTAGTAGCCAAAAAATCCAATACCGATTCTAGACCCGAAAAAGATCCAGTTTTGAAGTAGTACTATGACTCTCATATTATGCGACCATGCTAGAATGGAGTCAGTTGCAAATATTCTGTAAATCTTTGTCGACCATCAACGACTTCAGGTTCAGAGTTATTTCTGCCCTCCTAGGCTTTTGTTCTACTTCTTCTTCTGTTCTTTCATTATTTTTTCGGGCTGTCCCAGCTGATGATGTTTTGGCCGGTGGGTGTCATCGTCGATAAGTATCCAGAGAAGAGGCACATTTTGGCGCGTTGGATTTCCCGTGTGGGTCTAGGAGCTGTTCTTCTCTTAGCGGTTGCATTCTACTCGGAAAACTTAAACTTTATCTATTTCGGTTTGCTGACACTCGGCGTCTTCTACGAGGGTCTCACAAGCAGTTCAGAGACGCTTTTTGCTGATTCAGTGGAGCTGCTTAGCCAAGATTTGAGTACTTACCTTACTTGATTTCCGTACCTTCTAAGAAGCCACGCAGGCGCACGTGCGGAGGTGCCTACTCCTATCCCGTTGGTAGGATTGGGCGCGTGGCTTCGCCTGCGAGGAAGCTCTCCGAGTCTGTGGGGCGGCGCTTCGTGGACTCCCGTGGAGGTACGACTGACACGGTTGCAGTATTGAAAGAAACCACGGGCAAGCGTGTAGGGGCGTGCAAGTATGTATCTAGCCACATAGGCGAGTGGGGTGATAGGCGCTAGCCTTTCGGGGGCGGGCGCCCTCGATATGATCACGCCGATGGCGTTCGCTCCCATAGCGCACCTGCTTTCCGCAGTGACAGACTGGCTGCCAGAGGGAGAATAGCCAAAGGGAGGAGCTTGGAGAAAAAGCCAGAGCAGCCACGCAGCCCGCCGAATGTGGGCAGTCAGTCGGTGCGATTAGCCAACTGAACCCCGCCAGTGTTCCAAAGTGCGGAGCTACGCTGGGTCCCGGTGGGCCTAGGAGCTCGGCGAGCTGGAGCCGGCAGGGGAAGGAAGCCAATTCCCATGCCGCCGGCTTTGGAGATAGCATCATCGGCACCAGGCCAATCCCAACGCAATCAACAGCGGGGACAGCATGCGAGGCACATCGTGAAAGAAGTTGCGGCGAAAATGGAGAGAGCGGCCCGGCCAGGTCCGTCATCCGTCTCCGTGGTCTCTGCCGCCTGCTCTCGCTCAGTGCGTCGCGTGTCGTATCAGGTCGCTGGGTCGGTCTTGCTATGCGTGTGCACGTCGGTCAGTGCCAGCGCCTTGGCTTCTTTGCTGAAGTTGGCAAAGGAAGCATGCAAGAAAGTGACAGGGGCAAACTGGCCTCATTCTGGGAGTGGGTGGCGGTGGCAAGTCTTCACCTGGGCTCATCGCTTTGGAAAAGTCTGGCTGCAAGCATGCAGGCGACGTGGGAGCAGCGTGATCGGGGTGCGGGGCTCTGCTGCTTGCTCCTTATGTAGCGGAGAGCAGGGCGGGGAGCGCCTTCCCGCCACAGGCTTAGCAAGAGTTAGAGTAATAAGGGTAACTAAGCGCCGACGCCTGCCAAGGCCAAGGCATGGATGGAAGGGCTTTTTTTGTTGTAGCGGGTTTGCGTGTTTCGGTATGTTCTGCTGCCAGTGCAACGAGCTTACTTCCGCGCTCCCAGTTGGTGGCCTTGTTGTCATATTACATAGTCTATCAGATTTTTCACCGATTGTGCGTCTGTGTCTTTTTTTCTCCTTGTTCTTAAGTTTTTCTATCGTACGTAGGCGTGATGGAGTCTAACATTGATGCCCACTTTCGCATGCACATTATTCCACCCAGTCACTGACGAAGAGCGTTCGAAGCGAAGCGCGTTATGGTTCACACGCAAGATGTTGGCTCAATATTTTGGAGTCGCTTTTGCCCCTTTGATCGCGATCGGGTGTGTGGAGTATTTCCGACGGTGTGTATCTCCGGAGGTGTTTGTGACTCCTTCCGAGTTTGCGGAGGAGCTACATGTAGAGTTAAGGCGCTTTATATATATAATCTCGAAAAATTCTAGAGTATTCTAGAGTGGTAGAGGGAATTAGATCACGACCAACAACTGTGGATTATATGTTGTTGTTTGAGCAACAATAAACTTTTTGAAAAAGAAGACCCTCTCGTTCTTCTACTAGTCCCGCAACTAAAACTATCTAGCAATACATAGCATTTCATCTTCTGATGTTTAATAGTGTCACACTGTCGCTGCATTATAGCATTTCATCTTCTAATGTTTAGCGTCCCACCGTCGCTGGACCCAACAACCGGAGAGCCAGTAACGCAGTACTGGAACATGAACCTTGTTCAGGGAATCCTGTTTCTGGGTCTCGCTTGCTTGCTTCCCGCAGTCTACAAGGTGTCAAGTCTCCGCGCCATCGGCAAGATTGCGAAAAAGCCAGAAGAAAAAGCACAAGTAGATGTCGAAGTCGCAAACCCTGCACTGAAGGAAAAACTGCTACCTTCGGACGAGAAAGCAGAAACTGCTTCAGTGGTAGGTGAAGGTGTACAACAAGTGGATGGCAAAGATGAGAAGGACGTCGTGGGGCAAGATGAAGAACAAGGAGAATCTTCTATCAACTTGATGCAGTTTCCTAGTGCGACGAGCAAGGTGCCGTATGTAATAGCTGTTGCTGATTTTGCACAATGCATTGGCGCTGGGATGACCTTCAAGTACTTTAACCTCTTCTTCATTCAAGATTTCGGTTTTGGTCCCAAAGCCATCTGCGTTCTACAATTATGTTGATGGAATCTACTTGTGTCGCAGCTATGTATCCGCTATAATAACGAAGACGAACTAGATTCTCGTTTGTCCTAGTCCTGCCTGCTAAGAACATCTAGGTTGTTACAACATACAAGTAAGAAAAACCGACACCGACTAAACATTTTGTCGCTTCTGAACAAGAATTAGATATACCTTATCCATAGCCTCTTCCTCGGCCTCTCTAATGCTGATCGTGTATCCTGTGTGTATGATGCTCTGTGTGGAGCTGTGTAATCGCTTGCTGCTACCAGTAGTGAAGAACCATCGCGCAAAAGTGAGCATGATCTGTCGCCTCTGCGCCATCGTTGGCCTCTGGCTCATAGGCGGTGCGTTTCCTTTTAATGCTTCTCCGGTGGAGCATACGACTGTCGTGGCTGTGGATCAGGTAGCAAACAGTCAGCTAAGCCTGATTGAGGGTCTCCGGAACAGAGACACCAGTAGCACGGCGCTGATTGAAGGGTCCTCGTCATTATCACAGCCGCGACTGCTTCTGCAACGAGGTGGACAAGAACAGGAAGCAACCACAACATCATCATGGGACTACTTCGGGATGCTCTTCACATCTCCTCCAGCTTTTGGAAAATCTTCAACAAGAACTAGTGGAAATCTCATACAACTTGCAGAATCATCAGAAGCAGAACAAGCTCAAGCACAAGAAAATCTTCCTTCAGAACTACAAGCACAAGAATTATATGAAAAACTTCCTTCCAACTCTAGCGCCGTCAACGTCGACCAACTACCCTTTCTCGCTTCGCTGACCTACAATATGGAAGCAGTGTTGGTCATCTTTCTAGTTACCGGGTCCTTCGCAATGACCACACCTGGATTCGATAAAAGCATTCTGATGGACGCTGTGTCGACTGAGAACCGTGGCAAATGGAACGCTTTGCTGTCCTTCAATGGCTTTGCATTTCGGGGTAGTGCACTTTTCGGAGGTGTGTTGGCTGACGGCCACAGTGGCGACTATCGACCTGCATTCACCTACGCGGCAGGCCTCTACGTCGTCAGCTCCATCCTCTACGCACCGCTGCTCTATCTGGTGAAGAAGTAGTAATCATGAATAAGGAGTAGAAAATATTCAAATATATGCATCTGATGTGGAACATTGTTGGGCGCTGCCTGCTTCTGACAAGTGGATTTTTTGAAATATGGCTTGTTGCTGTGGAATTGTACTTTAAAAGGAGCGGATGAGAGTAAGAGTACGTCACGTAGTCGAGCAGCAGGAACATGACGAACATGACTATCGTGTATAGCTGTTGACCTCCAGCAGGACCACCTCGTTCTTTCCGAGTGCAAGCGACGACACATAAGTACTTTGCCCTAGTAAAATGCCTTGGGTGAAGATGACTGGCATTCATACGGCGATTGTCCGAGATTAGACGCGTCTTTTACAGCGTGTCTGCTTTCTCCTAATGATGAACAGCAGAAAATTACATTTTCATTTCCAGACAATGGAAGAACCTGAAACAAGTTAGTTGTGTGTGTACGTGGAAAGTTTTCTCATGAAGTCATACATTGGTCTAATATGTTCGTATCAAGTATCTTCAAGACTAGTAGTCTCAGTCTGTTGAGATGATCATGAAACTTCACCTCAAAATAGGTTTGTCCTATGAGCTTCTTGTCTTCTGATGTGTTCAAGATAGTCCAATATCGAGAAAGGTAACACTAACTTAGGACAGTCGTGCACAGAAGTAGAAACGTTATCTCCTTGTACAGGACGACGGTTAAGAAGAAGCTGCGAGCGCCAGGCGCATGAAGATAATTCAGGGAAAATAACTACAGGAAAAATCAAGAGCGAATGAGTGAAAGTCTATATTTACGATTACGTAGTGCCAGATCTAAAAAACGAGGAGGACTCAAATTGTTTGCATCTCCCACCAAAATAATGAAAATGATGATCTTCCTTCGTTACCGCTTTCGGACGCTAATCCTGTTGGGCGTCTACTTTCTTTCGTCTGCAAAGCAGCATCAAGTTTTGGGGACTCCTGCATCCTCTGTCAAGAGGAGCATGCACGACACGCAAAGTCAGCATGATGAAGTCGGCCAACTACAAGACATCAAGAAACAACGCCCGTACTGGTGGTCTCAGTTCGGGCCTATTCCTTTGCGACGCTTGGCTTACGGGCATATTCGCGAGAACGAAAAGCCCTGGACTCGCCGACAGATGCTAGACGGCCTGTCATTCGAGGACTTGCATCACATGCGAGAAGCCGAAAGAAAAGATCTTGTAAAAAGAAGAATTTTAACGAGTACTTCTACGGCATTGATGACTCAAGATCCAGAAGATCCCGAAGAAGATAAACGGCAAGAACCAGGAGGAGGACGTGAAGACCTGGAACGAGAATCAATAATAGCAGCCGCATCTTCAGAGCAACAGCCAGTAGAAGAGGACCCTTTTGCCCTTTACACGCAAGACCATGAGCATTGTAGGAACCGGTTTGCAACCTACAATGCTGAGAAAACGATGGCTGACGAGAAAGGCAACGAGTGGAAGCAAACGGTTAGTGAGTTCAACATCATATCCTGTGGAGACCCAAGATTGGACGAGCCTCCAGCAGACGTTGGGGTCGAAAAACCTGCTCTTTCCGCGGTGTTAGCTGAGCATCCGTCCCTACCATTATCTGAGGTGGTTGCGAACACGGTGCACGACTTTCGTGCGGCAGTGTACTCTGACTTCGTCGATCGCGATCGACTGATTTCGGCATGCTTGGCGCTCTCATTATGCATAAAAACTACTTAGAAGGTCCGGAAGCGGAAGTTTGATTTTTTCTCTAGTTAGTATATAAAGATATTTTCTTGCATCTGTGTAGTGATCTTCAAGACCTTGTCGACTCAGACTCAGTTACGACGCATATGTCAGACTCATGTGGCAGTCAGGTCCGAATCTGAAACGCATCTTCTAAGAACATTTTTAAAAAAGCCTAACTTTTGCTTGACTAAGACTAGCAGTTCATGATCTTGATCTTCACAGACTGTTATAATTTGAGGCGAGTGGGAGCAGCAGGGTAGCTTCGTGGTGAAAAGCTTGCTGCAGCAGTACGCTGATCCGCGAGACACGCTGTTCATCGACGCTGGCGCCAATGTTGGTTACTTCTCACTATTGGCGGCACGGCAAGGATTTGACACGCTTGCCGTAGAGATGTCGCTGGAGAACGCGCTGAAAGTGGCAAGGAGTGCGGTGGTACACAATGAAAATGCAGGAAGTAAAAATAGGAAAACTACATCAACAAGTAAAAAAAGAGGAGGAGACACCAGCAGTAGACCACCTCGACGGAGAGCCATCGGGGAAGGAGGTGAGCCTGGCCTTCGAAGAACATCATACGAGACGTCGAAGTCCTCCAGCTGCAAGGATTTAGAAAGTAGAATCACGCTTTATCTCAATGCGCTTTCTGTGTCGGAAGGAGGAAGTTCCTTGCCTCACATAAAAAAAGAAGTGAAGAAACAGATGAAAGACACATCTTCAGGACTTCAAGTTCAACAAGCAATAAATCTAGATTTAGATGACACGCAGAGCGATTGGCCTATTACGTCTGTGATGAACGACTTTCCGGATAACAGTGGTCTGTATGAGGTCTACCATGTGCTCGAAGATGCGCCGAAACCACTGCAGCGAGCATTCTCACCGAAAACGCAAGGCTATGGGAACGCTTGGAACCTGAAAAAACCTCTGGATGTCGTACTTCGGGACTACATCCGACGGAAAATGAAGTTGACGGATCTCGAAGAACGAATTAGAAGGATATTAAAGGCCAAAGGTGGTGGTGGTGGTGGTGGTGGTGGCGCATCGAACGGACAGGGAGCTTCTACTGCGAAGAGCAAGGGTAGTACGAGTACAAGAACTGGAATTGAGATTGAGTGGAGTCGGCTAATTCGACGACCACCAGAGGATGGAGCAGAGGAGAAAGAAGATCGCGATGGTTCTGCTTCTGATGCGACTACTACTTCTGACTATTCTTCTTCTTGTAGTAGCTTAGAAGTGCAGTTTGAGAATGTGGATCATTGGTACCGGGATTTTCGTTTTAAAAACGATTGCCCCTACCGGCAGAGGAGTCTCAAGATCGTCCTCAAAATTGACCTCGAAAAGTCCATTTGCAACACGCTAGCTGGTTTCCGCGACGCCTTCTACGCGATGGTCGACTCCTCAACAGGCTTGTTCGAAGTAAGCCGTGGTGTCTTTGTCAAGTTGGAACTTCTGGCGATTTTCGCGGAAGGAGACCACATGGACGTCCCTGGTGACTTCTTTACGCATTTTTTTCATGACCGCGATGCCACATCAGACGAAGGCTACAAGCGGCGTAACTGCTTTTTCAGTTTGCGGGACCTGCTTGCCACCAGTCGCGCAGGGCACAAGTTCTACGGTGGTTCCTACGAATCTGACAACGTGAGTGGTGAGTTAGCGTGGGTGAACCAGCGATACATGCCCGCGGGAATAGCGTGGTCGCAGGTTCGATACGCGCGCACGTGGGATCCCCTCCACTGTGTGGCGGCTCACGCAAACTCCAGTTTTGGACTGCCGCAAGAGTTCTCTCTTAACCGCTGGGCCAACCGACATGCGCAGGAGCAAGCAACACGGAGATGGCGGGTAGAGGAACGAACATTAAGGCTCAACTTTCATTGGTCATTGGGGGTTGGTCACTGAGATCGAAGAGGCGACCCCTTGAGAGAACCAACAGGGGAAATTTGATGAAGGGAAATGGCGGGGAGAGCTTTGAAGGTGGTCTCTTCCGTTCAGAGTCAGCGACCAATGACTGCCGACCTTTAAGAACACAGCAAGTTTGGCAGAGACTTGCGATGTCAAACAAGGACTACGGAAGCGGAAAGCACGGTGGCAATATTGTTCTAGACGGTAAGATCACTCTCACTGCAAAGCGACACGAAGAGTTTAAGCGACTCTTTCACAGTCTCTCATGGAGCTCGAGCTCGTCTCTACATGAAGAGGATGCGGATGAAAGCGACGCGGCTAAAATGGACTATTTTCTGGGTTTTGATCTATGGAATGCACGGCGGCGGGGCAATGCCACGCAGCGAATTGACTACGAGCAAATTACAGAGGCCTTGAAATCCAGCACAAATATTGTAAGAGACTAGAAGCAAGAAAAGGGCTCTACCTTTTGCCAGCGAAGCGAGGTCAGTGGCTCGGGAGGTCTGTGTTTAACCACTAGAAGCGGGTATTATAATACGTACACTACCGAGTGGAGCCGTGAGCTTGACCGAGCAACACGCAAGAGAAGAGCATAAGGTGTGTATGATGTGCGATGCAGGCCAGTGTGACGCAATACGTAAAGCAAGAACCACAGAAGTGCGTCTGTCAGGTGAGGCCTGAGAGTAGCTCTTTTCAACAGTGACGTTTACATTTACTTGTTGTTCAAGGTAAGATGGTTCCTCTCACAGCGAGAACAAGATTTCATCTGGACCTTCGTTCCTCGTCCTGATGCTCATGCTCATCACGATCTCGTTACAGATATTTTCAGAGCGATACCCTGCACTAACATTTAGCGACTACACTTTAGTCGTGCCATTATACCCGAATATTTCCGAGATTAGCAACAACAGCAACAACAAGAACATAACGAAGGAAGAACTAGAACTACAAGAATGGAATCATCGAGATTCCGCCGCCGCGTGGCGGTGTCGTTGGCTTTGGGCGCCTCCGTTTCGCGTGGTTGCACTAATTTGATCGTAACCCCTGGCGCAAGTGTAAACGGAAGCACCATTTACTCCTATGCGGCGGACAGTGCTGGACTTTACGGCACGCTTGGCCGCTATCAAGCGAAAAAGAATATCCCTGCAGGTACAATCATGTTCTCTCATTCCTTGGAGTCTTTAAGATGATACTGCTGCTCATTAGATGACATAGACCTTTATCGTGAACTCAAGAAACTGATTACGATTTCATCAGGTCGGTTGCGACTGCGAGTGGTCTTTTGCTTGTTATGGATGTTTGTTGTTATCGTCTGATCCAGAAACTACTGAAAAAAGTAGCGGAAAAAAAATCTACTTCTAGGAGGATCAAGGGTATTAAAACGAATCTCAATCTTCTCAATTTCTTCTTGAAGACTTTGATGAACTACAACTACTTCTCCGTATATTTATTTTTCGCAACTTTCTAGTACTCTTCATCAATCACCTTCATCAGGCACAACCAAGGTCATTTACGACTGGGATAGTGGGATGTACCTTGGTGATATCCCAGAGCCCAGTGAGACGTATGATGTCGTAGGAAACATGAACGAATTCCAGCTGACGATAGGGGAAACAACGTTTGGTTATGAGTCATAACGATAACTTATGACTACTCAACCTCAGGCTCAGCTGAGAGTACCAGTACTTATTAGGGCTCAAAACCTTACATTCACAAGACCACCCTTAATTAACGCTTGAAATTCCGAATTAATTTTTTAATTATTTTTTTTATCATAAAAAAATTAATTTCATTTTATTTCACATGGTCCCTAATGGTAGATGATATAAGTATAACCTGGCAATAGTATGGAAACTACAGCATTCTACGACGGTTTTGAAAAGAGTACCCAGACAGTGCCACACATCTCTCATTCTGGCGGAGGAGGCGACTAAGCGTGGGCCGCGAGCGTCCTGAATGCTCATGGGCAGGAGCAGCCGCACGCGCTCCGTCCCGGATAACCACAGCGAATGGCGCGCTTGCATGCGGTGTTAATTTTGGTTGGTCGTTGACTCTCTCTAGCTGTGGGAGGTTCCTCGCGATTTGTATGGGGCTGAGGAGTTACTGAAATACTTCATACGGCAATGCGTGGAGTGGGTCTGCAGGTCAATATCTATCAGCTTTTGCTTTGGACCGTTGTATAGCCATGTCGTGGGTGCCGCCCTCTCCTACCATTAATGCATAGCCGGGGAGCGACCCAATCGGGGCGGCAAACTAGGTCGTGAGCGATATCCGAGGCGGGTACAGCGGCACGGGCCGAAGCAGTTGCTTACTTCCATTACATGGAAATAAGGAACTCCCTTGGCCGGCCAGCAGGGTTCTTCATTTGCCCTTTGATAGAATAATATGGAACGCAGTGCCCTACGTTGTAGCCTTGGCGGTTTGATTTCGGGGCAACTGTGCTTTGAGTCCATTTCTGAGGGCATTTCTAGAGGCCTCCTTGGAGGCCTCAAGGCGGCGCTCGTCGCGCGGTGACACAGACGCGCGCTTGTGCTTTGCGGTCATATTTTGGGGCCGGGTTCCGGTATCCACACAAGTGGCCTCGTCAAGGCGCCAGTGCTTGGACTGGCGCTTTGGTGCCATTTCTAGTAGGCTTGTCCTCGAGATATGGCGGCGACAAGTGCTTTTGTGGAGGCGCGAGTGTCTTGATGAGTTTGTCACAGCGCAAAAGCGGCCGCCTGTGCTCTGAGTAGCGGCCCGGGGTCAGCGCAGCCCTAGCCACTAACGATTGCGCAGTCTTGTCACCTTTAAGCGACTCGTTTACTTCACCAAGCCATTCTTGTTTCGAAGCAGCCACCTCATCAACATATCAACACTGAAATACTGATTGTTGACTTTCATTACTCGCCTCAAACACCCTTGCAGGGCGGGCGGCATTTTTTCGCGGATGGTTGGTGACGTTGTTGTGGTGAGCGTTGGCGAGGAGCATGGTGAGGGCGTGTCTTGGCCGGGTGTTGTGCTTGATGAATAGCTGCTATAAGCCTGCACGACGTTCATTGGAGTTGTTTTTGGTCGTTTTTTTTCAGCTGTGGCTGGCGCCGCTGAGGCTCTGGCGCAGGACGTTGCGCTTTCATGCGCTGGCGATATCAATGAGGAGTATCTTCAGATGCTGACAGCTTCATCAATGGGCAGACGTCGCATAATCTGCACGAGAAGACTACAAGAAAGAGCACAACGGCAAAGAGCTATACTGTAGAGCAGCTTCAACATCTACTAGCACTTGCAAGGCTGGCGGACAGCACACCTCACGCCCTGTGCAGCTACAGCAAAAGAATCGCCATGAACTACAACGAGATGCCACTTCGTTTCTTACCAGCATGCACTGGGCTAATATTGAAATGAGTAGTGCAGCTCTTCCCGTCAGCTTCATGTGCGGAGTGGCATGCCTAAGATTGATGGAGAAGTGGCGAGGTGTTGATAGTAGCGTCGAGAAGCTACATTCAAAGTGTAGCGCCATTTCAGTCCGAACCTTCTGAGCGTGACGACGAAGCTCTGCGACGCCTGACCATGAGATATCTGGCGCACAACTTTCTTGATCTGTCTACCAGTACCAGTATCATCATGTAGCAACGGAGGGCTGTCTGACAGCGAGGGCATGAGCACTGGCCTCTGAGCTTGTGCAGATAAGTGCATCATGATCATCGAACGTTTCAGGAAGCAAAAGTCTAGGCCATAGCGAGCCTATGAAAGGCAGGAGAGTCTCTGAGAGGGAGAGAAACGAGAGCACTAGAGCGAGCGTGTGAAGATCATGGCGCATGTGTAGTGCAAGAAAATCCAAAGTGGCAATATCATACTGAAAAGGACAAAAGAGGCTGCTACTTAATATTGTAGTCGTGGAGTTCCATTCTCCGCAGTGCGCTTAGTGTAGAAGGGCACTCAGATCACCAATGTAAAAACAAATCCTCACGCTCCTTGAACGCATAGGGCAAGAATCTCCAAATATTGGAGTCACCTCATCAAGTCCGTCTACTAACCTCCTATGCCTTTTCCGCTTTGCTACGTGGCGATGGCCTCGCCTCATATGGACGCGCAGTCTGTTACTTCGAGTCTGGGGCCGTCTGCTTCCCAAGTCGTTCTGTCGGTCGCCCCGAATGGCGCGACCTCGTGCGTACAACCTGGTGGAGGCACTCTGCAGCTTTTGCAGCCGAATGTGACAGCTCAGCAGATGAGCATCGCTGCCGCACCGACTGCTCCAGCCATCACCGGGAATCCTGCACGTGGAAACCGTTTCGACATCTCGAAGTCAGGCGAGCGAGCGCCTGACAATGTGCAAGCGCTACAGGGGCCAGATAATAAGATGTCTAAAGGCCTCCACATGGTGCGCGATTCCCTGATGGACCACGCTCTTGCTGTCGCCTTGCAAGACTCCGCTCCGGTATTTTCTTGCTTCTTTAGAATATTTAGAATTTCTGGCTCTAGATCTTTGGTTTAGATTATCTACATTTGCAGGATGTTCTATGTAGTTTGTCGATGGCAGTGCAACTTCGCTGATCTAAATCTAAACTTATCGACTCAAGGTTTTTCCTTTCCTTGCATTCGTCCTGCTTTCCAGACGATCTTCCAAAAATCTAAACAGACAGCAGAGCTGGATTTGGTTTTATCGACGCCTGGCCGCAAGGCCATTGCGCTCAAGATTGCGTCGGGGTGGCCTACGTCTGCTTCCTTGGGTACGTGGGTGAAGACAGCAAGTCAGATGCTGCAGCAGATCCATATGATGACCGGGAAGAAACAGTGCAGCTACGACCAGTCTTGGGTTGAGGTGCTTACTTATCTACTAACTTCGTGCTATGCCGTTGTGTACACAATCCAGAGCAGACACACCTCACACGACTACGCCTCGTCTTGATTTTGACATGACTACAGCTACATCATCTCGACCATCGCCATCAACTTCAACAGGTTATCGAGGTTATGAAGAAGCTCGACGGGAACAGCGACAGCACGTGTTGGCGTTATTGGTTCAGGCTTTTGCAAGACGAGCTTGGTGTGACTGATGAGGACGAGGTCAACGAGAGGTGGAGCGAATGGATCTCCGCTCGTCCATTCCCCGCCGGCAGACCCATGGACCTTTCTGCCGCTGGGTACACACCGGAGCGTGGTGCGCTCAATGCACCACGCAGTAATCGATCTTCATCGAGTTCCAGCGCTGCGCCCAGCATCATCTTGCAAGTCCAACAGCCCGCACCTGTTCCGCCAGCACTACCGCCATCAACCGCGGGAGGGATGGGTAAGGAGAATACAACTTCACTCAAATGAGCAGTAAGCATGATAAGTTGAAACTCGTGTCATCCTCATCCAAGTGCAGCGCTTCAACATCACTCATTTTCATTCTGTCGATACCCATCACAGGCTCAGCACCCCCGGCAACATCTCCAGTCTTCACACCTGTTGGGCCTTTCAACGTCAATGGTCCGTCGCGATCTCCGCCTGTGCAGACCTCTGCTGTTGAGGCTGACCCAGATGAGAAACGGCGTGTGAGTATTGTCGCGGACAGGTACGGGGCCCGACCGTCGCGCAGCTGCATCAACTTCGGCAACATGAACAAGAACGCGACGACCACAACATCGACTACACCTGGCGCATTTCCCGGAGCTGGATTTCAACACCCTGAACCTGCACCACCGGCGCCCCCTTTGCCCGTCATCATTCCGGAGGACGAGTTCACCAAAGAGAAGGCTCAGCTATTTCGCAACGGCACGTACGAGCCGTGGGGTTCGAACGAGCGTGAGAAAGCGGCCTGGGAGGGAGAGATGATGCGCCGCATCCGCGCAGCGAAAATTGCGGAGACGAGAGACAAGCAGCACGATGCTCGCACGGGCAAGCGCTCGTCAGGAGAAGCAGTTCACAAGCTTCGCAGCGAGAACAAGAACACTGCACACGACGGAAAGCAGAAGTCTCATGATCAGCAGCGCTCTGGTCGCGCAACGCGAAGCGGCGGGAATGGAGGCATCTTTGATATATCAGTTTAGATGCCTAGATAACAACTTCGCTGCACTCACTCTCGTTTCATTTAGATGTTATCCGACAGCACTCTTCCATCTCAAGGCTGTCATCGCGACAACTGGGTCTAGGTTATTTCATTGAAGTTCACTCCCACCTTCCAGACAAACCTTACCCATCAAACTAACACATAGGTGGAACTGGAAGTAGCAGGGCCGACTTCGACAAGGTAAATTCGCGCAGCGGCAGTCTTCGCCGTCGTTCTTACACGGGCGATCCGTTGACTAAGGGAGAGCCTGATCGAAAGCGTGGGCGCAGCAGTACTACACATTTGATCACTTGCTTACTAATCGATCCCGTAACTGTAGAATGCCATATGCTGCTAGTATTTCCCACTTCTTCTATTATATAAAGCAGAAGCTCTGTTATTATAGACATTTCCTCTCTTCTTTTCCAAGTGGGTTCTTTTTCTCATCTCTATCTTCTCGCCCCCAGGTCGTGACACCGGAATCGCAAAGGATCGTGGGGATTCCCGTGCTCGAAAGCGTCACTCAGGACGTGGAGAGTCGCGCAACGATGGTTCTAAACGAGGGGCGTCTGCATCGGCAGCGTCTACTACTCGTCGCCCTGGAGACCAATCCACCACGCACCGATCCGCCGGATCCAGATCTATTGGGCCTTCGACACACATGTCGGCGTCGGCCGTTCGTGGCTGGAATGACAAGGCCAAGGGCAAAGAGACCGCGTCGCGTCGTGCATCTCGGCAAGAACCTGACTCACCACCTGCTGTAGAATCTAAGCGCGACGCCAGCAAGCACAAGGCCTCCAACAAGAACGGGGACAAGCGTGGCAACAGTTCTCCGCTTCCGGCAAAGAGGCGTCCCGGACGACCGCGCAAAGAACAGAAGGATGACATAGTGGACAAGCTGGCCAGGGACAACAAAGGTTCTACTTCGAGTTGATTTGTCTTAGTGTGTTTTGGTGTGGAACCACCCTAGATGAAAAGAAATGTGGCATATCTACAACTCTAACTCTCGTTCCGTCAGATCCTTCTCTGTAGGCTATCGCTATTCCAAACGCCCCAGATTATTCTTCGATGTGATTTCTCAACTACCCGTCCCAAACCAGGTAAGCGTGATGACACGTCCACCAAGAAGGGGCCTGGCCGTCCTCATGGCAGCAAGCGTTCATCTGGTGAGATGAAGAAGGGTGCCAGTCGCAAGGCCAGGTCGACCAAGCAGAAGGTTTCGGACGTGGAACTGTCTGAGGAGCAGGAGAAACTCTTCGAGTCTGACTCTGGAGCAAGCGGTGAAGACATTCCGAGCGAATACTCGGCGCGGTACGACAGCGACATCGAGGACTCTCTGTACGACTCTGCAGCAGAGGATCGTGGCGGCAGCGCTGTCGATGATGAGAACGATGAGGCTGACGCGGCTGAGCCGCCGTCCGCATCTGAGCCGGAGTTCAGCGGCGAGAACACGGCGTCAGACGAGGAGTTGTCAGGTCGCTTCAGCGAGTCCAGCGGGGAGGAGGTGTCCAAGCACGCGAAGCGCCGCCGCCGCTAAGATGTGGACTTGAGGTGGGGGACGGGCGGCTCAGGGGTTGAGTCGTCCGTGGTGAAAGGGGTGTAGTTTCTCCACGTAAGAATTTAGAAGTTTCTTGAGGAGTCTTCCACATACAGTTGCTTTTTTTGATAGATCCAAGATCTCATAGTATTTTTGCTAGGAAGAGCGTGGAGATTAGCCTTGTCATGTTTTGCTTGTTGCAGATCACATCATAGCCACACTTTGGTTGTACATATGTTTTTTTTGAGTGGGCCTACTTTTCAATGAACAGGCATCCGCCACGACATGTCTCCATAGCAGCAGGCAAGAGCATGGCAAGGAAAACATGAGAAGAGGGCCGCAGCAACTTCTGCGATGGGCTCCACTTGGGCGCGACTCTGTCTTGCTGATTTCTGAGTATGGCCCGTTGTTCCTGACCTCGTTTCTGTGCATGCCATTACGATCTGGCCTACATCATGCAAGCCGCTCCTTCTCGGTCAGCAAGTCCTGGCCTCGAACAAAAGCGAAATGCTCGCAGCTGTACTTCTAATCGCCAAGGTTGTTGTCGGGTCATGTTTACTCATCCAGACAAGTGCCGCGCGTCTCCTCGTCGTGCTCTCTTCGCCATCCGCTAAGTGTCGTCATAAAGACTCTTTCGCTCCACTTGTCACCCACTGAGCTTTGCTTTGCGCAAGTGACGCACCGATGTCATACCACTCGCCAGCGACGGCTTAGTTCATTTTTTTCGAATTGTGCAACTATCGCACTTTGTTCTATCGACAATGGCTGACCCCGGCGATGCCGGCGGAGGCGGCGAAGGCCTCTTTGATGTCGCACCAAGAGACTACCGCTACATCTACAGTGATGACGCAACTTCTCTCTCCCTCGAGCTCGTCGACGATGCTCTTGGGCGTCCGGTTATCGCAGCAGAGACGAATCCCTATCTACTCGGCTGTCCACTTGGACAAATCTCCACATGGCGTCATCGTAGTAAGACAGAGCATCCATCCTTCTGGCAGGATCCAGCGACTAACTACCAGCGCGCAGGAACAATCATGCAACAGTGCCGGAAGATCTTCGTCACAAATAAAGTCCCCGAGTGGACTAATAGAACAGTGTACTGGCATAGAAAAAACGTGAACACGAAAAGAGAAGAGAGCATCATTTCGGGGTCGGCTCATGTCCATACGACGAGTGTCGGCTTATTAGCTGATGGCACTGGTATCGATCTAATGTCGCTCCCACTGATGCTCCGTGTAATGTGGAGTCGCGTGGCTTCTCTGCGTGCGAGTCGATATGAAGATGATCCGAAAAAGGCAGGCCGTCTTGCAGCGTTGGTGTACGCGAAGGTCCTCCTAGAACCACTCGTGAAGAACGACATCGATGCGCCGATTTATCCGGGTGTCCGCTCATCTCATGGGGCCGACCTGTCTTTCATGCAGGACTTGTATCATGAAGGTGCACTCCGCGACTATCCTGGTATCCGGTGTCACCTTTAGACTTCCATCAGGATCACACGTGTTAGATTATAGATGAAAAGCTCTATACTCATGCTGCAGGTCAGAAGTTTGCCTGAACTCCAAAGTACTCCTTACTTTCAACATACCAAACTTGAAAGCTGCAGATAGGAGGGTCGCAGGCGGCTTGGGGGTGGTGTCCTACTAGTCTATCAGACTTGGGGTAATCTATAGGAGTTGATCCTTATGGGGCGCGCTGGAATCAGGCGCGTTCCAAAAACTCCAGCACTCTTCTAAATTTTCTAAAGTATCTAAATTTAGCCCTTCGCTTTCCATACGCCTAGACATCGGCTTACGGAGTAAGTAGGGAACTCCTAGAACTTAGATTCTTGCCGCTCCGTATAGTAGCCTGGCGATTAGTTGCTCAACTTGTGTAGTGCGGTCGCTAGGTCAGCTTAATGTGAATTCTCTAAATTTTCTAAATATCTGGTGTCTCGTTTATCTCAAGCATTCGCAACGAGTCTGCCCGGACGGCTTAAAAGTGTTGCTTTTGTCTCAGTTAATTAATTATTGAATAATTAACTAAATAATTAATAATTAAATAATTAATAATTAAATAATTAATAATTAAATAATTAAATAATTAAATAATTAAATAATTAAATAATTAAATAATTAAATAATTAAATAATTAAATAATTAAATAATTATTAATTAATTAAATAATTATTAATTAATTAAATAATTAATTAATTATTTAATTATTTAAATAATTAATTACTTAATTGATCTTTAGATCGCACTCCTCTGTGACCCTTTAGATCACACTTTAGATCACGCTTTAGATGACGCTTTTTTTCTCTTCTTGGTTTCCCTTTGTTTCTACTTTAAGCGACGCTTTAGATGACGCTTTAGGCGACACTTTAAATAGCCGTGCTTGTTGCCACCGCCACATCGTGGGGGACGGCGGTGGACGGCGGTTGGAGTATTCATATTTAAATAATAACTAAAGTGGTTTAAAATAGGATTTAGAGGATTTTGATTTGGGACTTCGATGATTTTGCTACTTCGTGGATAATTGACTTTGGGAAGCCTGCGACCTGCCCTTGCCTCCAGCCTTCTTGAACTCACATCACGCTAAGATGCGCTTCGTGGTGAAGTGGGAAGTAGCTTCATCACTAGGCGCTCTCTTGTCTCTTCTTTTTTCATCAGGAAACCGGCTCTACGTCATTGACAGTAGAACCGGTTTGGTTTTTTCTCCTCATCTCCAAATCTTACCTGCTCTCCAGGTCTTTTTGACGCTGATCGGCTAGTTTCTGCAAAGGAGTTCTTGATGACGGCGCTCATTTATGGAGAGGCGACTCTTATCGAAAAGATCGGGAAGACTTTCGAGAAAGCGTTCATGAAAGTGATGACGCGGGCGGGATTCATCTTCTCCAGCGGTACTATAGGACTACAGTGGATAGAAGTAAGTACGTAAGGGCATTGCTCTTGCTAGTTCAACGCAACATGTTACCTGCGCTAAGAACTTCCCTTGAGAGTCCGCATTTCTATCAAATTGCAACAGGTTGGAAGCGTGTGGAGAAAAGGGAGGTTTCTGACCCTGACGCGCCAGGGATCATCTACTACAGCCCTGGAGTAGCACCCATGAACTTCGCGGGACGTATCGAGTGTCTAGGAACTCATGATACGTCAGACGCCATGGCGAACAACGCAAAGCAGTATCTTGTTTGGGGCCACATCATGGTGCTAATGGCAATCAAATTGAAGGAGCGCGTGCAGAAAATAAACCCGGACTATGAGGATAATCCGATCGGGTACTCCTCTGATGGTGTGAGCATTGGGGGCAGAAAAGTGGAACAGGTGCGGTTGAGGGGCAATTTTTTTCACGATGGCATCTACTGCACCGCTACAATGCCACCACTGGAAGTAGCGCAGTTTATTAGTGCTGACATCGAGAAGACGATCCGATCATCTGACACCTACAGCAAAGCAATGAGCAAGAAGAAGAAGCATCAGATATCAGTCACAGTAGAACAAGCGGCCATTCGCAGGCGCATCAGCTACATGATCAGTTCCTCCGTGCTTGGTCGCGAGCGCGGCATGCGAGTCATGGTCGACCGCGGTCCTGTCCAGCGCCTACCATGGTTGTGGGCTGCAATAAATGGACTCAAAGTCCATGTTGACTTCGACGGTGCGCACATTTGGTCTGGTGATCTACTGGATTTGGGGAAGCAGCTTCTCCCGAGGGATTTCGACCGGATGCTCAAGATGAGAAGTACAGCAGATGGCCAGCATAGCTGTAAAATGGGAGACTACTTTCGTCGCTTCGCAGAATTGGAGGATGATGTTGTTTCGGAACTAACGCGTGACGTCGAGAACCAGATGCGCATTTCTATGGGAGTCCTCGAGTGTGACGACACCTTCTACGAACAGGTCAAGCGCAAGGCAAGCGACATGGTGGGAAAGATCGCGACCTTTTCCAGCTCGGAGCGTTTTGCGCAATATGTGTACGCATGCAAGTTTGTCAACCCGAACTGGGACTTGTTCACCATTTGCGTGATCGCGTTGTTGCGGAAAGCGAAACCGGGCTTCTTTAAAGTCTCAGCGACTCGAGTTCTCGAGGTATGCACGCGTGCAAACGGTCAGGAGTTCATCAAAATGTCTTACAAGGAGGGAGACATGGCGTTGATGCGCCGCGTCGTGCGACGAGATGACGATGCACAGAATGCAACGGGTACTACAGCTGCATTTGATAGACGGTCTCTCCCTTGCTTGGTGATCGGAGTGCTGAGGGATGGATGTGGAGAGCCTGTGCTTCTGTTGTAGATGTAGCTCTGAATCTGATGTAGCTCACGTTACATGGTGTTGCATGCGTTTCACATTCACCCTCTGACTGAGTCATTACTCAGCTCACCAAATCACTCATCGGCCCAGGTCTCCTCCAGGAACCGGTTTGGAACGAGCGGGAGAAGGAGATCGAGATGGCGCAAGAGCGTGGCGCCATGCTGAATTTCTATGCTGGTTTTAATCCGACGTTGATAAAAGCTGTTGAGAAACCTTTGGAGCAGCCGAATGAGTCTGGCGATTTCTTTGGTGAGACGAAGCGTCGGGCACAGGAGAAGAAAGATGCTGAGCGACGCCAAAAAGAGGAAGAGGACAGGAAGGTGAAACAGCTGCAACCGACAGAAAAGGCTGTCGACTTATCTCTCTTGGCCGTCTTGTGCACGCTATTCACTTCGCTGGAGTCTCGCTTGCGTGCTCTCGTCTACGACACGGTCTGCCGACCTATCCTTTATTTTCATGCAATCGAGATTCTTCAGAATTGGCGCAATCTTCTGGCTCGAAAGGCCTACTGGGCGATGCATCCGTCCCTTCTCAGCGAGATTGCTTACATCTTTCGGGTTGATGTCATGCCTGGAAGGCTTTATCTGCCGGACGCGAAACTTCTACCAGGGCACTACGTGGCGAGTCTGGTTGGGTGTTTCGTGGACAAGGTATTATGTAGATACTCGCTGGATCAATTTGTGACTCTCTGCCCCTTTGGGCTAGTGACTTCGTCTCGAATGTTTTCAATGTAGGACGAATCTTTCTTATCTGGTTGCTTCCTTCGACTTGTACTTCATGAACGACCGTGACTTATTGCCAGGCAATGGCAACGCTTCTGAGGACCGCGCGGCAGCGCATGTGCTTGTGGAGCCGAGTCTTTATCTATGCCGACAACGAACAACTGGGCCTCGGACTGGGCGAGCTTTGTCAGTGTGTGAATGGCTCGCAAATAGGAAAGAAGTTCGAGTGGATCCTGAAGGAGCCGGAGTCGTTTCTCTCACCGGATGAGGGACACCCGTTGGCATACGGTTTACGACCACCTGTGTATGTCCATGACATCGTCTCCACCCCGGAACTGCCCAAGACGGAGCTGGAGTATCCTCGTTGTGAGGGATTTACGACCTTCACGGACCGGTCGCCAATGGTTTCGGCAGCGCAGTTTGAGGACTTGCTCCGGCACCAACTTGGGCGCGTCGTCAACTCTACTAGTGTAATCGCGCAGAATCTGAGGTTCTACCTTCATCGCGAGCATCAAATGTATTGCGTGGCGCAGTTTCACCACATGCTGTCTCGTAACGAGCTCGTCGAGCTACGAGCATTTTTTGACGAAGTGGCAACGCTGTGCAGCTCTGGGAACGCGAGACATAGAGGCAAAAGGAGGCGATCTTAGCCGGGCTGCGAAGCGCGCGTGCCAAATTGGTGCGTTGACGAACGTACTATCACCCGCTTCATCTCTCCTCTATCATTTTTGACACGACACAGACCATGAGGCTTCGGATGACTATAGTAAGGAGCATTCTCCACACTAATGATCACGCAGTCAGATTAATGCCAGACCGTCATAACCTGTAGCCATCTTCTTGAACAAAGTGGATGGGTCACGAATCTCTTTCAAACTCCACAACAGAAAAACCCATGGTATCTCCGCGAAGTGCTGGCCCCAACGTGGTTGCCAGCATTGCGAGCACATAAGGAGAACGTTAATAAAGCACGGCGTGTGGGAACGAAGGAATCTTTTAGCGCGTTTGACGGGCGGGAGCCTACCAGCAAGTATGGTTGTCGGAATCTCGAGGAGCTTTTCAAGTTGGTGTTCCCCGATGGAACGGCGCTCGAGAATATCACGACTGGGCTAGCGTCTATCACTGACATTGAGGACTTCCTCCGCCAGTACATGCCAGAGAGCGAGAGCGCCGACATCATCGAGGACTGCAAGACGTTCTTGAAGAAGAGGCGACCCGTGCAGCTGGACGAGATCAGGGAGGAGATTCACAAGTTGTTGAACCTCGAGGGGGAGCAACATGGGCTGACAGAGCTTGAGCTAGAAAGCTTGGCGGACTTTCACTTCGACATGAATACGGTTAGCTGGATACTAGTAGCTGAGTTTCTGTGCTATGAGCGCACCGATTTTCTGTGCTCGACTGACCGCCGCGATCATCATATGTGGAAGATTGGCCGATCGCACACAGTTGCTCTTGGCGGTATTCTGCAGAAGAACCGAGCAGCGGGATTGCCGACTGTTCTGGTGGTTGTTACGGCAGTTGATGTTAGGCGATTTCTGGTGCAGGAGGTGTTTGTTCCTCTGCGAGTAGCGACGATGGTGGAGTTAGTGGAGGCTGAAGAAAAGACGAAGGCAGCTGCGCCCGCAAGTGCTGACTCGAAGGATGGCGCCAAGCACTCGCGCAAAGGCGACCAAGCTGAGAATGAGAGCGCGGGCTTGGCGCCGCAGGCGGTCTCGTCCGGTAGTAGCTCGTCTTCTACTAGAGTAGCTCGCGATCCCCCAGCAACCGCATTGCTTCTCCCCGATGGCGATCCCATGGTGGGCGACGACGTGAAGAAATTCCTCAACCTCAAGTCCACGACGACAGCAAATCTGCAGGGTGGAGGTACTACCCATCGTCGTCTTTTGTTCACTACGACTAGGAGAGTTGTCTTCTTGCTCTCGTTTCAAAGGAGTCTTTGTTGAATAGGAGCTCAAGTTAGTAACTTCATCGTCTCACTGATTAGCTCTACTCTCACTTAACTCTCATGCAGGCACGCTGGGAGGTATCAGAGGTGGGGCTGGTGATGGTGCTGATAGTGATGGAGAGTCCTCAGCGGAGGCGAAGAATGAAGGTGGTGGTCTTGGTGGTGTTGGCTGGGGCAAAGATGCGCGGAGATGGCAGCTTCCTGTGGGACGTGAGGCTTACGCGTTTCCGTTCCCAATCATCAACGGCGAAGCGAAGAAGTCGATGCTGAAGTGCTTATATCTCCCGTCAAGGTCTATGCGAACGGTGATCGACGCGGGTCTCGAGTATGTTCGAGCTGAGCCTTGCAAGTGGATGAGCGCGCCAGGCTTGGGTGAGCGCCACCATGATGGCGCCTGCTGCATTGCCAAAGACACGAAGCAGCGCGTTCTTCCACTTCTTGATGCTGCTACCAACGCGGGGTTCTGGTTGAACGACAACTATTTGAAGGACAACAAGACTGGCCGGGCTGCTCTTTTGAAAGAGAGCTGCTGCATGTTCATCGCGGAGTTTCCGAGTACTCTGAAGCTGCTGTCGGGTGACGAATTTTACCCGATCTGGGACGACTTGACCATCGAGGCGCCGCAAATCAATAGAACGATGGTTGCAGATGTTGAGGAGGCTCCGTACGTGGCTTATGCGGATGATGTAGTGGATCCAATGGATGAAACAGCCCTCAAGGAAGGCAGAGTGAATTCCGGCGATTTGAATGGCGCGCTTGCAGCAAATGGTGGCGCGGCTGATGGAAGCGGAGAGCGACTCCTTCCAGCTGCAGATGACAACCAAGTGTCGACGAAAAAGCGTCCACCCCTGATTCCGAAGGCTACCAGTCTCATGACGGAACGACGCAAGCGCAATGATACAGAGGCGGACGCGCTCGAGAAGGAACTGTTCGGCGACTTAAACAATGTCGGTGGCGGTATCATCGAAGATCCTTTCGGCTACGACAACGTCGACGACGTCAATGCTGGCACTTCGTCTTCCTCTGCTGCGCCGGCTGCGAAGGCGAAGGCGAAGGCGACGGGTAAGTCGCAGAAGGAGAAGGTGAAGAAGACTGGCAAGGGCAAGACCAACGCCGAGCGACCCAAAGCGAGTAGGTCGGAGTGGTTCGGCGCGCGCGATAGTGATGAGCCTGGCGTTTGTTCAATGTACCCGGTATCAGAACCAATTCAGGCTATCAAGAAGCAGCCGGAACTGAGTAAGTTCTTCGACAAACATCCGGGGCTGATCGACGTGGTTGTGACACCGGAGGAGCGCATGACGAGTGAGGAGCTGGAGTGCCACTGGTGTGATTTATCGCGGTTTCTCCCACACTTGCAGCATATCGGGCAGAGCCAGTGGATAGAGCTATACTACATATGCAGATACGGAATACGCGAGGGAGAGAAGAAGCTCTTGGAGGCGGACTTCTATCCGATGGGTACGATAAAGCTGCCAGGACGTGGCCAGGGCACTGTGACCGCTCCTGTTTCGACGATGCGAGCTACTGGTGAGGGTATTCTTCTGAAGTTAGTAAAGAAGAAATACGAGTCTGATGGAGCTATGCGGCGCGTGCATGGAGATGACATCAATCCAGCCACGGTTCGTGCCAACGCGGCAGGCGGGGACGTGAGCACTACGGTGGACCCGGCGAAATTCGCTCCAGGCCCCGTAGCGCACAGTGACAATCCTGCGTTGAATGCGTTGCAAGGTCGACGGGATAATGAAACTAGTGCGGTCGTAAACGACGCCCATCCTGACAGCGGCCCGGAGGCGGTATCTAAGTTCCTACTCTTTTTGTTGTTAAATGGTGGAGTGCAGTTCGATTGAGTCGTGGTGCTTTTGTCTGATTGAGTTGCTTCTACATTCAGAAACTTACACTTTTGACAGGTGAGGCAGGCCGGCTTCTACAATGGAAGAGGTGGCGTTGACAGGGGCCGTCGCAAGAAAGAGGACGAGCCGCCAGAAGAGGGATGCGTTGTGGATGGCGTTCGATGCGAGTTTGACCCATGGTCGTCTGGGCTGCATATCATCCATGAAGACAGGCGCTCGCGAGAGGCTGTGAAGAAGGAGCTGACAAAGAAGGATGCGAATGGTCATAGCAAGGCTGACAAGGCGGCAGTGCGCTTCCACCGACAGGACCTGGATTTAGCGGAGTTGCACATGCGAGACCTAGGCAAGCGCACCGAGATCAAGACGGCGTGCTGTAGGAAGAGAATGGGATACTGCTGGCGATCTTGGGTCACGGGAAACGGCCCAGCCTTGCTCTTCAAGCTCGAAGCGGATGACACGCAGCGCTCTAAGGCGCTCGGCCCGGACTCGCATGTTCGTCGCCCCGGCAAGCCAGCGGATTCATCGTGGTGTCTGTGTGGCTACTGGCATAGCAAGGAGCTGTGGACTGACGACACATGCACAGCACGGGTGGCACCGGATAAACTGTGGCGCTGTGCCTGGTTTCAAGTGGAACAGATGTTGCACCAAGACGATGCAGCGTGCTGTGAGGAGGTCACCTCCAAGCAGCTTAAATGGGAAAAATTGCCGCGAAGCATGACGTTCAAAGCCCGAGTTCTCGTGGCTGAGTGTTGAGTTCGTTACACGTGTTTTTTAAAGTGTGAAAGAAGGCAGTACTATTCGAGAAAATTTTTTCGTGTCTATCGTTTTCCATATAGCCACTTGATCCTGATACACATCACTTACGCGACATTTTACAACTGGTGCGCATTAACATACTTCACCGACTACATTTTCATCCCGTTCCGATTCATGAAAACTCACATCGACTCTTTTTTGCAGTGTTTCAATTCATTGGCATACTAAATAATACGGGCATACTAAATAATGACTTACATGGCGAACCAGTCTGCTTCTCAACCCGGCATCTCTCTCAGATATGACATACTAGCACTCATTATTTGCTCCACAAGCCAAGCAATCCCATCGTTTTTCTTCTTTCCATATTTATTATACCATTTCTGGATAGTCTAGCGCTAGTCTTTTTTCGAGGGAGTCACATGGGAGATGCGCACACTCTGACGAACACACAGCCGACACACTCTGATGAGCAACACAGTACACGATGGACCGACCATTTTCTATGATGGAGTATGCTTTTTTCTATGCATGTAAATGCAGACTTTATGCCAGTAGTTATTAAATTGTGTCACGTATACAGCGTGAAGAAGGCCTGTGGATAAGTGTTTGGGATTTCTGTGTTTGATGAAGGACTGTGGAAAGTTGCAGTAGGCAAGTGCTCTGCATTTCCTCGATGTGATTCAAAAAAGGAGCTCGAGGTGTCCGAGCAATATGGTGATCTTAGTATCGGCAAAACACTGCTGCGGGCTATTTTAAAATATTTTTTTTTTGAATTTTAAAAAATATTTAATTTTTTAATAAAGTATAAAGGAATTTCAAGGAATGTTGGTAAGAAATGTAATGTTTTGAGCTCTAAACTTAAATCCATCTGAATCTCAAGGAAGAATGTCAACCTCAAGCAGAACGATGTTCGTTGAAAGAGATATGTCCCCTCTTAAAAAACCTCCATTTTTTCAATTTTTGACGTGATGCTTGCTATTCCTGTTGTATTGCTAGCACATTCTTTCATTGAAATCACTCAACTTCGCCCTCTCCATTGCTTTTTGACTTGATGCAGCCAGTATTGCTAGTATCACATGGTTTATGAAAAGAAAATCTGTTATCAATATCAAGTTTCTGAAGTAGAAAAGTACGATAATGATAACAGATTTTGGCTTCACATGGTTTCATTGAGATGATCCCAACCTCTGCTAATCTCTCGGCGTTCCCTCCTTGTGCAAAGGGCAGAAGGGGAGCGTGATGGACTACGGAAACTTGATCTGGACCACCCTCCAGAGAGCAAAAACTGTGCAAGAAGCGATCCAGGTGATGGCCGGCTTAGTTTACGGCTTTTCTGAATTCATCCTCTGCACAAGGATCCTGGAACAAGATGAAGGGCTTTGTTCGAAAATCAACCTTAAGAGCCCTGGAGTGGCTTCATTGCCTCTTTAGATGGTTTCGCACGACGAAGTCTAATGAGTGGAGAAGCACGGCTATGTAAGTGAAGGTGAGAGTTTCACCCTTGCGGATCCGACAGAAGTGTGGGTGCTGGAACTCATCGGAAAAGGAGACTTGGTCGAGGGCGAGAAGTTATGGAAACTAATTCTGTACTACTACAGGTGTAGCACGACCACAGGCGTGAAATACACAGTAGTTCTATTGTTTTTGATTGCTACGGTTTACTTTCCGCTTCTTCACCACGACTATGATTGCTGCAGCCAAGACGAGAAACATTAACATTCCTCTTTTGCACACCAACATTCTTTTCTTTTTCTAACTCATGGCGCCGTCTGGGTTGCGAAGAAAATCCCTGATGGCCATGTTGCGGCTCACGCCAACCAAGCTCGTATCACTGAATTCGACATGAAGGATAGCGAGACAACCCGGTTTGCACCAGACGTTGTGGACTTTGCCGTAAAAGCTGGCCTGTTCGATCCGAAAGCTGGGAAAGCTTTCTCGTTTTCCGAAGTGTACTTATGGACGACGAGGTGCGATTTTCATCTGATGTAAGTAGCTTGTTCGTAAAGATCCATCTAGTACCAGTAGACAGTAACATCAGACGCTACATCAAGATGAACATGATCCTCAAGATAGACAGTAACATCAGACACTACATCAAGATGAACATGATCGTGATCCTCAAGAAAGGAATGTAATTGGAGGCATAAGAACAAGAGCCCGTAACTAGCTGTAGGTTCTTTTTCTCCACTAGTACTCGTCTCCATCTACTCCAACTGGTGTCTAGGTCTAGTACTCCTCTAAGAAAAGACCCAATCTCCTTCGGTGGAGCTCGCTGGTCCGATGCGCGCGTGTGGAGCTACTTTTCGCAAGTAACTAGCATCCCCGATTTCGCGAAGACATACGAAAAATACGTTCTGGGTGAAGACCTCTCCACGCGCATGCCACTCAGTGTGCCGGTGAAGAAGAAGGTATATCTAAAATTATCCATGGATTTGGAAGATATTAGAATGATCGCAATCGTGGTTGTAAATTGCTGCTTCTTGTGACCTATTGAGTATTAGTTTATCAGGTTGTCGCATAATTGTGAATTCAATGTATAATATCTGAGTGGTTGTAACAGAAGATCCAGAAGATGTCGACGTCTCTGGTGCTGACCTTCGAATTCTGTTTCTACTGCAGCAAATTTCACCATACCACAACATCACCATTTTTTTCAGATTGCTGTCCGAGATATGATGCAGTACATGAGAAATTCGTTTGAGAATACGGTGCTCGATATGTCTGCGGACGTCGGCATGGGTCCGTGGCGTGCGCGATACCGCGATCGACCTCTCTCGTGGACCTATCAGGGCCAGACGTATGTTAGGAATGGCCACGGGGTTTACTTGACGTGTTTGATCATGAGTTAGAGACACCTTCCTACTAGTACTACACAGTTCAACATGACGCAGAGAATCACTCAATATGTTCTACAAGGAGGATCTCCGAGTGGACACGACTAGAAAGTCGCTGCATATTCAAAAACCTCCTTATCCTTTCTCCTTTCATGCTTACCAACGAGCGCTCGATCGGAACTCAGCAGACCTCATGGCACTTTGTGGCTGAGATGCGAGGCTGGCTACCTGCGGACGTCGGAGGCGTCTTCTGGTTCGGTGTTGACGACGCGCGTTTCTCTGTCCATGTACCCTTCTACGCTCACGTCAAGATACCGAAATCCTTGGCCAACCCAGGAAGCAATGGTGCAAAGGGTCAGGATGATTAAGGCGAAGGGTCTGCTACTGCTTTGAGCTTTGCCTTTGACTTAAGTACTTACAATGAAAAATTCGAATTTCTTATTATTGACATCATAGACACTTGTTACTTTGCTATTGCTGCACTATCTTTGGAATCATCTTCAACTTCGAGAGCTCCTCTAAGAAGATGAAAACCTGCTCATGGGAGTAGAGAACGAAGATATCTTCGATGATGCCGACGAACACGATGACCTTGGAAGTATTTTGGACGGGCAGCTGGGATTGGGATTGGAGGAGTCAAGTATAGGACAGCAGTTTGATAAAGTAATCTTGTAACTACAACTAGAGGTGGTAGAAATCGTTAGTAGCAAGAACTGACGGAGAGGGAGAGGGACGATGAAATAATTTCAAAATGATTATATTGCATTATGCATATATATTTATAAGAGAGTGCATCTGCATACTTAAGCTTATGCTCCTTCTTTAATTTGAAAAAAGTCCAGTGTTGACATCGAGCACTTCAGCTTCCAGTCGCTTTGGTGGATCAACAATCTTGTTGCGAATCGCGTCTACACCCAGTGGGACGTGATTGAACCGGTGGTGACGCCAGCAGTGCATGCCTTCGAATCGGAGTTTTTTGGAAAGCAGAAGAAACTGGAAGAGAAGGCACTGGAAATTTCAAATCCAAAATTAAGGCTCGTTGCGAGTTGACCTGTATCTAAGAGCATAGCTTCGTTCTATAACCTTTGCAGGTTCAACTTCAAGTTCAAGGAGAAAGAGCAAAAGGATAGATTACATGCGAACTAGTAGAAGATAGGTCAATATGCAACCCCTAACAAAGCGCCGCAGTCGCTTCCTCTCTCGTGCGAGCAATCAGTATACGAAACTGGTACTGAAAAAGTGGCAAGCCCTTTGGCTCCAGCTTACTCTGCAGTACAGAGACGGCGTGAAGGTACCTACTAGTTGTAAAAGTAGCTTCCTTTATTAAGCCCCTGGCCCTGCTGACACGCACACGACATGCCCTAGAACTCGATATTAAGAAGGGTTGAACTTGAAGATAACCCAACTAACCCTAACCGTAAGAAGGTTAACTTGTTCAAGCTTCCTAGTACTTTCATCACGACCAATCCGACTCATCTTCACTCAGAAAAACAAAACTTGCATACTTTCATCCAGACCTTCACCAGGTTTTGTCCTCCCGTCCTGGTCATGACCATGGAGGAAATGCCATGGGAGGCGCGGTAGCTGACGTTGTCCAAGGCAGCGGCTTGCCTGGGGAGAACGAGTGGCCAGCGGAATGGAAAAAGCGCATAGTGGAAGAAGCCGGCGATCACTTTCGTTTACGCGTGTGGGATCGAGGAGATAGACATAGAGTTCGAGATAGAAAAGGGTCGTGATCGGTCTTAGAATTAGAAATAGAAGACAGAGAGTAAGTAGAGGCTTTCCCTTTAAGAGTAACAAGGAGGTCCATTTTGTCCATTTTGTCCATGTCGCAAAAGCAAAAGTTTTTTTGAGCTCCTCTCTAATTCGTGTTCGCAGTAGCCGCGATAAGAAGCTGAAAAAGTCGTCGTCCGCACAGGATCACCAACTCCTGAACTCGCGAAAAGCCCTCATTGCGTCTGGCAAAGACTATCGAAACACTGTTGCCACTGGAGCGTTCTTGCCGCCACGAGGAGAATCGTCGTCTTATTTTTAAGGCGTCGAAAATTTCAAATTGCATCAATCTCTTGTCGTAGTTGTGCTAATATATACAACTCACTTACTCATCTACTTCATCATCTTCTTCATATTGTACCTGCCTACAAATACAAAAAGGCTGCAGTTAACGTTTTAAGAAATATAAATTCCTCGAGAAGTTCGATCACATTAGAGTCTCCTTCTTACAACTTGTAGGTAGTCGTGTGGTCTGCTGAATACAGGAACTGATCATGTTTCCACCCTGTGCCAGCACTTCTTGTTCTAAAAAGAGGCACCGGACGAGCAAGTTGCTTCACCTACGAAAAAGGGAGAAGAAGCGAATGCGATGGCATGGACAGCTTTGGTGACGGAAGGAACTGCGTTTTTTTCGCGCGCATGGTCGAGGCTTGTGGCGCCAATCAAAGGAAAAAGCGTTGTTTTGGATACGAACGCCGATGAACTATACAGCTAGAACTAGATACACAAACACAAAGAAGATAGAAACAAATATTAATATGAATTATTGTACTTGATGTTGAAGTAACAAACTGAAGCTACTGAAAAATCGTCAGCCAGCCGAATTGCCCAAAGAAGAAGCCCTTGTTTTCCCTTGTGATCGAATTCAGGTTACCAAATACCGGAAGCCTTCAAACATAAAGGTCAACATGGATGATGAAGGTGATGCAGGAGAACATATTTATAGTTGTATTTGTAAGTAGAAGAAGTTTTTCAAGATCTTTTAGAGTTCTCAAGCGGTCTACGAGGAAGAAGCGTCAGAATGTGGAGGCTAAGCAAAGTCACGACACCATGTTTTTTTTTGCAAGAAGAATGAACGTCCAGCCATGATCCTTTCACGAAAGAAGACAGATTTTGCGGAAACAAGAACGTCATCATTATTTTGAGACTCAATCGAGTTTCAAAAAATCTCCTCATGTTTTTGAATGAATTCTTCTTCTCATAACTTCTGAATTCACACGATTTGAGTTTTTGAAGTTTGATATGGCTTGCGCTTCGCTGATGCCGAGAAAAGCGAGGGAACGCAGCATACCCGGATGCGTAGCAGATGAATGTTCATCTGTTTTTTCGAAAGTCGTCGTGTCAAATGGTGTCTGGTGGGCTGAGCAGTTTTCTCATTTGTCGGATAGAAAAAGAGCCGTAAGCCCAAGCTTTAGCGTCCCTAGATGAGGACCCCAAAAAATGTTTGACCAACGCTAATATGAAAATTCTCGCTATTCTCGACTCATGATGTCTTCTACGTGAAGCAGAAGATCATGATCGTTTGATAAGATCTTGCAATCATTGGTAAGTGCATCGGCAAGGCTGCAAAATCATCAGCTGGGACAACTTTCAGTGCGTGGAGGTGTATTTTGACCCAATTTGCATAGTATCCAAATCCACTATGCACACCCAAAAACGAAACCGGAACAGAAAAAGGAGCAGTATATTATAATTTGACTTTTATATCGACATATTTTGATGAAAGAACTCGCTCGAAGTAATAATTCTTCTCATTGTTTGATGTTAGCATTGGTGGAGGCTACAACCAGCAAGCAGAGCAAGTTCTTGTTCTACTTCTGTCTTGATGTACTAGACGAGCGACACCGAGTCCGACATCTGCTCATTAATGATGACAAAAGTTTGATTAAAAGAGCAAACGAAGTAGAGCCAAACGAGGAGATAGTCAAAGACCCTCTGTCACTCCTTCAGACTGAATGATGATATTCTTAATCTTTATCTTTGATTGCTAGCTGGATCTGGTGCTGGATCTGGAGTTACGATTAAGTACTTCTTACTCAGTCTTCTGTCACTAACTCTATAGAAAAAATCGGCGAGGACGTGATTCTGTTCGTTACTACGCTTGAGCGCGACCGACACCGAGAGCAGGAGCATGCTCGGAAATACCTCAATATCGTCGACGAGACTAAAACTAAACGTCGGCCAGAAAAATTTATATCTGTATTCAAGACCAGATGACGAGAAAGGGTATTCACGAGAGAATCTTGAGTGAGAAGTAACTGTAACTTGTGACACGCCATTAAATGATCGTGCAGAAGGAACTTTACCATGATCCAACAGGAACGACTTGGAGCCCCAACCTTCATTATGTAACAAGCATAGGAAGTAATTGCAAGAAGTGTAACAAGTGTAAAAAAAAGTATATTATGATTATCACCTCCTTCATGTTCATCATCTGCAAAACTGTTGTTCATTTTCTTGTTTCATTGCGAAAATGAGTTTCAAATCTCAAATTTTTAGAAGGTACCGGCAGTAGTTGTAGTACCCGTATCGGCAGTAGCATAAGATATCTGCCCACAGAAGATTCCCTACGACGCATCCAAAATCGTCTCGTGTACAAAAATCTCAAAAGTCTCATGATTGAATCACATCAATCAAGTTCAAGTAGTACTTATAAATTTTCATAGCTTTATCTAGCTTGCTACTGACTGCTTAACCATAGCTGGAGCGCTAGCTGCTTGGCCATAGCTAGCTTGCTACTCAGGTTTTGCTTTATTGTTCATCACTTGTGCCTTTAGTTCTAGTCTTTTGATTCAACTAAGATAGAATTTCAAAGCAAGTAGGTGTAGGAGGAAATTTTGCTCCTGTAAAAACAAAACCAAATTTTTCAGTTTGTTTCCAAGTTGCATCTAGGAGCTTTCCTTTGTTCACGTCTCGCTCACTTTTTTATGTCTAGTACTAAGAGTAAGAGTACTAAAAGTAGTATCTCTATGTATATATAATCTGTACCTAATATACTAACTACTAACTAGGACAAGATAGATCGACTTGATCTTGAACTTGACCAACGCAAGTATTACAGATGAGCGTTTCTCCCGAAACCGCAGGGACAATGAGTGAGCAGGAGACGCAGGAACTTGCTGCGCCTGCTGAGCGCGAGGAGAGCCCGATCGGGCTCCTTGGTGCTCAAATCGACCTAGTGTCTTTGAAGATTGGTCGCGCCTATGGCCGATTCGCAGTCCAGTTTCCGCTAGCTTGCGTGTGTTTTGGGCTTCTATTGCCCTTGCTGCTGGCCATCCCGCTGTTTGTGGCCATCGGAGACGGGCGTCGCGGACCGACGCAGGTGGGCAAAGGTTTCGTGTTTCGCGGGGATTACGGAGTTTTTTCGCCCTACGATAGTGAGGTGAAGAAGCAGTACGACGAGATCAAACGCACCATCACGGCGGGGCGCATCAGCTACCGCCAAGCCGTGGGCACGGAAACGTACAAGGGTAAGCACTACGGCGTGAAAGCGCACGAAGCGGGATGCAAGGACTCCATCGAAACGGGGCAGTCCGATGGCGACCAAATCGCGTTCCTCTTCCAGTTGCGCGATCCCAAGGAAGCGGCGACGGTCACAGACCAGGGCCTCTGCAGCACGAGCCGCCTAGACGCCATCTGGCAGTTCGAACAGTACATGCGCAACAGAAAGACTACGACCGGGAAGAGCTGGACCCCGGATTTTTGTCCGGTGAACCGCAAAATGCGCTACAAAAGTACCTCGGAGTACCACCGCACGCCCTGCGGCGACTTTAAGGGGCAGGATGTGGGCAATCCAGCGTGCAAGACCAGCGGGAATTTGTTCGTGAACCCAGTGACGATGGCCCAAGGCTGCCAGTGCGCAGCGGGCCCAGCGGCGTGCAGCACCAACCACAACGGTTACGGCGAAAGACCGCACCCCTACTGTGTGGCGCTGCTGTCGAGTGGTTGCTTTGACTTGACAACGGAGGCCGACGGCGCGCAAACGTCGCAGGCAGCCTGCGTTTCGAACGCGGTCGTCGGTGTACCGACGGACCAGATGAACACGGAGTACTGGTGCTCTCCCTACTCCTTCGCCTCCACCATTGGTTTAACCGATCCTGTCTTAGATCAGGTCTCTGCCACGCCGAATAATCGGCGCTACTGGCAAGCCATGCTGGATTACAGTGCGAACCCGCTGAACGAGATCTCGGACGGCCCGAGTCGCATGACCATGGCAAATCTGCCGATTACCAGCTACATGTCTGGTTTCATGGGCTCGCAGCTGATGGCGGTCTCGCACACGGACAATCGGCCTGCAGCCGTGCAAGCGGACTGCACCGACCCCAACACAACTCCGGACGCTGCAGGCACTGCCTACGCGTGTCCCGTCGAGCCGCTTGCAACGATGATTTCGACAAGGCAGGCCCTCGGAGTACGCCGTGCCCTAGACGAAAGCAAGAACGGCATCAATGCGCAAAGGAAAATCGAGCAAGAGCAGAGAAAGTCCTCTTCGACGAGCGTGGAAAGACAAAGGGTTTCATCCTCCTCGTCATCGTCCTCGTCTTCGGGCACGAAAAAGACGCTGAGAAAGCTGATGGAGGAGAAGCAGGATGAGGTCCTAGCGGAAGAAGCGCTGCGACGATATCTGTCCACCTATACGTACGGCAACTGCACGGACGATAACACAGCCCTACTCGCGATTCCGGGTCTCCCAGCTGGTGTCACCTCCTGTGACGATGTGACCGCCGCCATGTGCAGCGTGCGCAGCTACTCCCGGTGCGACCAGATAGGACAGGCGTGCAAGGCAAAATGCGCAAGCTTCGACGCGTCGCACTGCCTCCAGCTGGAGCCCGCTTCTCAGATTGGACGACAGGATGAGCCCTATTGCGCTTCCTTTGCCGGCAATATGGCGCTGGCGAACGGGTGCCTAACCACGGCTAATACCACTACGGAGTGCAAGACCTCGTGTCTGGCCTTGGGCTGTCAATATCTGACGCACCAGACCTATCTGGACATGCTGAGCAACCGATACGACCTGTCGGCGGGCGCGGTGTATGCAGCGACGGGCGGAAACCTGGCCTCGGCTATGGCCGCTGCCGGCGCTGGCAAGAAGCTGCCTGGCTGCCACGCCTGTGCGGATGACAACGAGGCATTTTCGGCGAACAGTGTGGCCCGCATCCCGTCATGCCACCAGACGCCAACGGTCTCGTGCAAATGTGGTGCGGATCTTGGCGGCTGCGTGATCAAGCCCGACTTCCTGTCCCAGATGGGCGCGTCTTTGTGTCCGCAAGCCTGCAGCTCGCACGTGGAAAGCTGTGCCAATCCCGCTAATCACGCGTTCCGCGAGGCGCTGGACACTAGCTTCGCAACGGCAACACTCGCGGGCCAAGCCGCGGTCGCCGGCTTCCATACCAAATGTCAGGGCTGTTTGGGGTACCTAGCGGCGGACGCCAAGTTTCGCCCCTACAAGATTTCGCAGTGCAAGACTTTCTTGGCGCTCATTCGCTTGCGCCCCGAATGCTCGCTCAACCACCCGGACTACGCGCGCATGGCCAATGGCAAGGCGCCGGCGCTCACCCTGAAGGACCGCGAAAAGTGGATCGATGAGGTGATCGAGGAGTACAAGGCTAACTACGGCCTCGACGACGACGATCAGAAACCTACAAAAGCGCAATACAAGGCCTTGGACGACCAGGGCGTGGACGTGTACCTGTTTCACACCAAATGGCTCAGTATGGAAATCGAGGCGGTGATCACGCGCGAGATCGGAAACCTGGTGGGAACCTTCTTCTTGATGATTTTCTTTCTTATTTGCGCGATCGCACTGAAGACGAGCGCGTCCGGCATGCCGGAAGGGTTTCTGCCGGGACGCATGGTTGTGTCCATGCTCGTCGTGCTGCAGCCGGTGCTGGCTGTCCTCCTCGCTTGGGGCGTCGGAGCGATTGAGATGTGGTCTATGGGCGGCGACGTGGACGAAGATGGCAAGGACGACGGCGTGCTGGCGCTCACCGTGCTCTCTCCTCTGGGCGTGCATCTCTTGCTGGCCATCATCGTTGATTACGACATCATTCTCGTTCGCGCCTTCGACCGCATGCGTCCGGAGTTGTCCTTCGAGGAGCGCTTGGAGCATGCCGCGGGCTACGCGCATCGATCCGTTCTCATGTCTTGCCTGGCCATTTTTGTCGGCTACGCCTTTGGTTCCATGGTGGACGTGCTGGCTCTGAAGCACTTCGCGTGGCACACCGCGTTCGGAATGCTGGGACTCTACATTACGCTCTTCTCGCTCTTCCTGGGTGGCTTCGTGCTCGTCGAAACTTACTTCCCGGGAGGCGCCAAAACCGACGAAAAGGAGTAAGCGATTCTTGCTTTCGCCTTGTGGATCAACAATATCACTTGTGGTGAAAGTAGCAAAATTATAGGAACATGAAGATGGAAGACGAAGATCTAGGAGCACTGTAGTAGGTTTAGCTTTAGGTACATTTAAATGCTCAAATAACTCATCTACTCAAAAACACCTGCTCAAACATCTCGATCAGGAAGCGCGCTTCCAGCGGAGTGGAGCCGAAGTCTATTCGCAGTTGGAGCGATAAGCAGGTCCAGCAGAACATGCACTCTTTGACCAAGACCACCGATGTGGATTCCATGTTCTCCAAGATTGTCGGACACAAGGCTTGCATCGCGGTTGCGCTCTGTCTCGAAGTGGCCTTGCTGATCGCTGGTGCGGTCAAGTTCTCGGACATCAAGTTGAGGCTTCATCTGGGAATCCATCTTCAAAAGCATCTTAGATCTTTGTTTCTTGGGGTTCTTCTCTTGTAAGGGAAGTAAGGGACAAACAGTACAGACTCAAGTAGATGTGACATTTTCAATGTGACTTTCAAGATGGATATGCCGGTATTAAGATCTAATCCGAGTGGAATTCAACGGTAAGGACTACCTGAACGAGGACAGCAGGGCTCGCCAGTTTCTCGATGTGCTGGAGGGTATGGGTGGGTTCAGCGATTACATCACCTTGTACCTGCCTCCGAGTTCGCGCGGGCAATACCACAAGAGCGCGAACCGCGCGCATTTTCGGTCCGTGATCCAGCAGTTCATGGCGGACGAAATTTCTTCGCCGATCGGGGTTCCTGGCGTTTTCTCTTGGTTGGAGGAGTTCGAAATGCATCATAGGGGCCTGCGTGGTGACTACTCCTTGTCGGACCCATTGAGTGCCGCAACGCATCTCGGGTGCAAGGCCTGTCCGTTGAATTTGGTCATGTCCGGCACCAATAAGCGGCTTCCGTTTGCAGGCAACCCGATGGCCTCGATTCCACTTCCGACTGGCACGTCCGTGAGCGCAATCCAGATGTATCTGAGTGTTAAGGCTTATCGTAATAAATTGTAATTCATCTGAAGAAGCAATGCCTCTGAAGCTGGATCTTTGGTTTGAAGACCCCTGTGTATAGATATGATGATAAGGGAAAATAAAAACGGGTCCAAGATGCTTAAGCTTTTCAAGATGAATACGGGTGGTGTCTAAGAGTGGAGCTGTTCCGGGGCAGAGTTTGTTTACCAACGTCGGAAAGAAAGGTCGCAGCCGCTTCACCTTGACCGGTATCGACAGCAACTATGTCAACTCGCTCTTGACCGGCAACGGCGCGAACGTCACCGACGCCACGGCGCGCGCACAGGCCCTTACTATCAGCTATCCGCAACTTGCAGAAGTAGGCGGAACGGGCTACGAAATCGCGGAGATTTACGACGGAGGGCCTTTGGTCGACGCCAACGGAGCCACTATGCCGCCTCCGATGACCGAATCGCTGGAGAACCTGAACCTGATCTACAGTGTCGACCCCGTGAGCAGCGCCACGGATATGAGCGATTTCGCCGACATGGCCGCGCTCTTGGCTGACGTGGCCACGAAAGCTCCGGGAAAGTGGATTCTCTTCATGTTGCGCGATCCGCACAAGGAGAAGTACTCGAACCACAACACGTTCGCGAGTGAGCGCCGCACCTGTCCTGCGCTGCACAAGAGCTACTTTGAACAGCGGCAGTCGTACTACGAAACCGACGAAAACGCCTTCTACGACTACCTGCACTCTTGGTACGAGGAAGCTGATCCAAGCTCCTGCTGCACGTCGCACATGAAGCAATTACGGTTACAAGAAAAGCCGGACATGACGAAGCCCCATATCTCCTTCTGGGGACGCACGGAAGGAGAGAACATCGTACTCGATTTGAAATACTTTGAGCTAGATGTGGTTGGTCGTTTTGGGAGGACAGGAACTTCTTTACGGATACGGAAACGAACTTTGTGCTGTAGTAACAATTTGTCCTAACACATAGGCTACTGCGTTCAACCACAGATCGATGTGGAAAGATAGGTCAAAACATAAAATTCGAAACTGACTATTGCTTTTTAGTAGACATTCATATAAGTAGTTGTATCTCGAACAAGATAACTGAGAATAACCTCCATCTTGACCTTCCAGATCTGGGACCTTGCTAACGGCGCTGGCGATGTGAAGGTTGCGAAGGGTATCCGAGCCAGCGTGATGCGAATCGCTTGTCGAGCGCCTCTAGATCCGAGCAAGCGCGTGAAGGCTATGAAGCGTCTAAAGAAGATTTTGACTGATGCGCGCGCCGCTCGTCCAGACTTGTGGGGATCGGAGAAAGAGTCCTTCGTCGTCTCCTCCTTCTTCGAGAACAGTGAGCGTGACGACAAGATGCTGGACTCGCTCACGGACTATCTGTTCGTCGTCACTCTTGCTGCTACCATCATGATGATGGTCTTCATGCATCCATACTACGGGCTTTTGGTACAAATAATATTAAGTATTTAGATTTAGATTTGCATGTTTTGCTTTTGTTATTGTTGACATGATCATGAACATGAAGATGATGACTGCTTAGATGTGTATGTTAACTCCTTGTTGTTGTTAGTTTGGGCTCATCATTTGGTCGTCTCGCTCAAAAAAGATGAGTAAGATACCTCCTGTGCTAGTAAGTTGTAACTCGATATGCAGGTCGTAGTCTATTACTACCTTTAATCCACTAGGACAAGATATTAATCATTCTTGTTCAAATTCTTCCAACTCAGGTTGGCGCTTTTATGCTCATCTGCAACGTCCAAATTGTTGGCTTGCTAGCATTGTTCGACATTAAACTGGATGTGATCGTGCTGGCGGTGCTGGTGATGGCGATTGTTATGTCCACAATGCATAAGAAACTGAGCTATTTTCCTCTACACCTACTCTACTTCTGCTAGTAGTTGTAACAAATGAAAGAGCAGCGTTTCTGGAATCTGGATCTGGCTTTTTTCATTTCATTTACAGTAGTTTGAGTTTCGTGAAGACAAAAAAATATGAGAGCAAGGGAGACTTCCCATTAAACTACAACTCGATGATTCGCTTCGCTCCTTCCTCTAATCTGCGTTTCGAGATCGAGTACTGTATTCACATCGTGCACTCGTTTTGCCACCAGAAGAGCGGCGCCACAGGTCTCGAACGTTGTGCCTATGCTCTCCAGGACATGGGCGTGACGGTTTTTACCGCGTTTTTGTCGACTGCTGTGCAACAGTTGGTTCTGTTGATCTTTGCCACTTCCCTGGCCTTCGAACAGTACCCAGCGATGCTGCTGTTGGTCGTGATCAAGTCTGGCATGACGGGCTTCGTCTTTGCGCCAGGCCTCATGGGAGTCGGGGACGCGGTCGCGACCATGATTATCCGCAAAGCGAAAGCAGAGAGGACAAGTCCGCAGAATGCTGTAGACACTTCGCAGGTGGAGATGGAACAGAAAGCGGACGCTGGAGCAGGAGGTGCTGCAGAAGGGTAATAGTAAAAAAGCACTTAGTACTTAAGAAGTACACTCTCCTAGTCCTACTATGGTGATGCATCATGATCATCTTGTTCCAAATCTATAAGAACTATATTCATGAATCAAAATCAATATGAATATCTGTAATATTGAATGCTAGGTGCTGGTCGTGTACTAGTGCTACACCTAGTTGTAGTACATGTACACGTCCAGTATCTATCAGTTCGACCTTTTACTCAAAGTCAAAAAGCAAGTTTTCTAGAACATATAAATCTGTCATGCAGTCCAGAATTCTTCATCTTGATGTCGCATACAGTTATATAGAAACATACCGGAAGCGGGAGACGTAGACGAAACCAAATGCTTCGAGGACTTAAGTAATAAACTTCGACCACGATAGTCGTGAATTAATATGAGTAGACTATTATCATAGAGCACAGAGCTAGATAAGTATAGAATTCGTTGTGCTGCGTTCGCTTGTTGTGGTGGGCGGTGTCGGTAATGTGTAAAAAAAGTGTATGAAAGGTTTCGCCTTCGCTTCTTGACTATATTTCGACTTCCGTAAGAGATTGAAACTTTTTACTAAAATGTACATTATCATTAGAATGTGGCTGCACGGCGTTGCATTTTTTGTATGGTTCATCGATCTAAACCAGTCCTTGTTAAGCATCAATCAGTATTCGTATTGTTGAATAGAGTAAGATACATCAGCTTCTGCTTCCGTACCTTGCTACTTTACTCGAACAACTACTAGCATGTTTTTTAGTGCATGTAGTCTAGTATTTCTCGATCCCGTGCCGGCTGCAGTGATGTTGATGTCGCCACTTCCTAGAAAATGTCGGTAGGGTCGAGCTGTCTTCTTCGTGGTAGGTTTTCGCCGGAAAAGAACACAGGAACAAGCGGCAACAGTATGACGATGAAAAGTTTGTCTTTTTGAGTAACACCATGATCCTGGCACGGTATTCTGGCATCAACCTTTTAGCTGGTGCATGCCTCTGCCCTCTCACATTTGGTGGGGCTCAGGCTCTGCTTTCCTGCTTATGAATAACTTGCCTCCCTCCGTCAGTGGTTACTTCTTGTGTATAAACTATCGAACTCGAAATAAGTTCAAACATAAAAAAATGAACTGAGTTCAAGTAGATGATGATGACGATGAGGTGTTGTAGAGACGGAAGATGAGCTGAAGCAGCGCTGTAATAGTGTAAAAAAAAAAAAGCTACACCAGTGTAACAAATGTATCATCATCATTAGTGCGACGTCCGCGCCGTTTTCGTTATATATCATGCACTAAAAAAAAATTTTCTACTATTGCTAGCTATTTGGTGTATCCATCAATCTCGTCGATTTCAATTTTTTAAACTTGAGTAATATTTGTAAAACAAGAATAGTGAATTATGCAGGAGCAGTGAAAAAGTCAAAAGTAAACTGTCGAGTCATACGAAGTAAAGCAAGTCCAAGTCGTGAAGTCTGGGGTACTAATCCACGCACCAGGTAGAAGATGATACAGGCGCTTAGTGGTCAATTTCAACATCGTCTTTATTTTGCAGAGTCGTGAGAAGCTGTGCCACAACTTTTTCGTTGCTATAGTCGTAGAAAGACATATGCAGGTCCATGCATAGCAGTAGGCAACAACTATGTCTGAGTCTGCTACTGAAGTAGTATCTACTAATTTAGATGAACATCCGATATTATTATTCTTATAACTATAAATTAGATGAGCATTGTTATTATTATTAACCTAGGGAAGTCGTAGGTCCAACCCGAACCGACTAACATCATCGGACGAACATGGAGCACACTATGACTAAGTATTTTTACAATCATGATCCCCATGCCCGTGAAAAGAATAACCACCAAGTTTCAACTCTTCTTAAGTCAAAATGTGTCGGCCCGTGACAAGAATAACCAAGTTTCAACTATTTCTTGAACAATGTTCAAGCCCAGCATGTTGTTGGAGCTCACTGCCTTTCGTGTATGCGATGAAAGCGAAAGCATTTGAGTCATCCGCTATCACTCTCGTAACTTCTGCAACGAATACGAAGAGAAGATTTAGTAGAGAAATTCTACGCTGTTCGTCTTCGTATTCGTTGCGAGCGGGTCTGTCATTCTACGCTGTTGCAATCATGTTCATTGATTCGACAATTCATTGCAAATCTTCTCCGGTTGGAACCGTTGCGCGACCTGAAGTACTAATATCAGGAAAAAAACGATTGCAACTATGTAGGATGCATGCAAAGCAAGCCATAGCGGAAATCGATAAGTTGACATTCACCGTTGCGATCGCGTCAAGTGAGCACCGCAGAGGTTGATCCTTTGTTGCATCACCATGGCTCCGGTTACAGAAATCGAAAAGCTTACGAGACGCTTCAGGTTGGTTGCTTACTCCGTATTCACGGACTTCCCGGAGGCACTGATCTTAATGATCAATTCGGCATCGTGCTTCCACCTGCAGATCAACAAAGCTCGATTTACGCATTGCACACCAGGGCTATGTGAATATTCCGAGAAGCATGGCTGGTTCTTACTTCTTCGGGCACTAACATTTAGGGTTCGTGAAAGAAAGCAGAGCGAGACGAAGATCAACAAGATATTGTACTAGAAGCTCTACCTGGCGTAGTACGAGAGCTGACTATAAGAAGGGCGAGTTCATCAAGTGCGTAGCGTTTGATTGGGATTGGCGAACCAAGCCAGGTAACCTCCATATGACGGCAAAAAGGCTGCAAATCAATCGGAATCTCTACCTACACGACATCGTGGTCACGGATCTATCCCCAGGCATCGCGTATCAGAAGTCACTAGAACTACCACCATCTCCTCCAGGTCCATGGCAGTTCGGGACAGGGAAGTAGAGGGGAGACAGCATTGAGGCGTGCTTGGGGAAGCGTTGACATTAAGGTGGAAAGTAACAGTAACTGGACGTCGCAGTAGAGGAAAATGAGCGAGAGAACAGGTCGTAGTTTCCACGTTGTTGTGCTGGTAGTGCGTTAATATTGTGCTGTGTGTTGTATACGCGAGGCGAAGCAACAGAATAGAGCATCACGATCACATGTTGGAGCCAGCTCTTACACTGGGAACAAGAGTGAGTATGTTGAGAAGCATGACGATGACGAACAGGACGAACTACAGGAACACACTCAGAAGTTTTGAGAGCATTCAAGGACAACATTCGTTACACTATTGGGAATCTTCCTTTATTTGTTGATTTTCTCAGAGTCACATACACGACTTTCGTCGTCGATAAGTAGCAACATTTAGTCGCGTTATCTTCTCTGTCCGATCAGATTAGTTTTCTGCAATCGCTGTCGCTGTTGATACATATTTATCCGTTAGGTATGATCTTGGATTCTCTTTAGAGGATAGGATAGAATAAGAGGTGGCTCGCCGTCCACAGTTATTTGACCTGTATCCTCAGGCGAATACGTGCAGCCACAGATGGGCTACCAGTCATTCTCTGTCTTCATCTACAATCTCTTGCCTGTATAACCCCCCCTCTACACCCTTCTATAAGACCGCATGACCGACTTTATGCGCTGCAGCGGAATGCGTGACAGATCTCGCGGCACTGATTCAACTTTTGGAGGTGTGACCACATCAACAGACATATGAATAAATATTGATATTTTAATATTGATTCATTTCTCTAGTACTTCAACTTACTACTTCAACAAATGTCAGCAGGAACTACATGTCGGAATTCCAATTGCTTACCTCAGTGATGTTAGTAAACTCACATATTATGGAAATCAGCGTCGCTTGTTACTTATGTTCAACTTGTTCAAACATGTGAATGTGTGACTCCCAATGCCTTTGCGTGTTTCATCATTTTCATGACGACTGGAATAGAGAGCATGGACAGAGTAATATCGTCTATTTTCAGCATCACTACTCATACATTTACTTTATCATCGAACAAAGTCTACGCAGTCTCTGCGTCTAGTACTGCTTAAAGTAATTCGAAATTTTAATCTTTAATATTCTCGAACTCGAATTTGATGTTGTGAGAGAAGTCTCATTCTTTGTTTTACAACATTTGCCACCTTAAGCTTAAGCTTTACGATCGGGTATCCTTTTCTGTAACTACAACCTCATGCTCTTGCTCATGACTTTCGCCCCTGCTCTCAGAGCTCGCACAGAAATGCTAAGGATCATTCATCTGACGTGATTCTATTCTCCGAGTGTTCTCCGTCATCTTCTTACTGAAGATTACTAGTGCTTCTCCCTGAGAACTAGTAGCGCCTCTACTTCAATCCGGGAAAGAAGTCTGCAGCGCCTGCCACAGCGAAACCGTCAGCCATCTGGGGAAGCGGCGCAGCTGGATCGTTCTCTCCGCGAATTTTAGGTGGTCCCGGGAATGCCTTGAGCGCCTCAGCGCGTGCCTTGTTGATTTCATCTGCCTCAGTGTCCGTCTTACCATCCGAAAAATGAAAGAAGAATGCTGAAATTTCAAGTTGAAGAACTTTGTTATTTTTTACTCTTCAGACTTGATGGTGAAAGAAGAACTAAGTTAGTAGTACTAGTATCTGTATTTGTACATGTAGCTGCAGCAAGTAGGTACTTCTACTTGTACCTACTGTCCTGCTGTCATGCATGATCCGAAGCTAAAGATAGGAGTAACCACCTCCATAGAGACGGGTTCTACTTTCCCATGTTGATGTTTCCTGTTCTAGCGCCCCTTCTAAGACTTATTTTCTCTTTCTACTTATACTTCCAAATACAAGAATTCCACGGACCTCCAAAACATGCTCAACAGCTCAGCATAATCTTTGATCACTGTGGCGCCTTCGATTCCGTCAGCGGCAAGTGTCTTGCTGGCCAAGTCGGCAGTAAACAGAACTTTTCCGTTTGCCTTGTCCAAGAAGTCTGGGGTCGTGGAATCAGCATGCAACGCCAATATGGATCGACCGACATAGATCGGCGTCTCTCCGTTCGGGAAAGCAGCAACCTCGGTCACACCGCCAGCTGTTGTGAGTTTATTAAAAATTGCCTAGAAGTAGAAGTAGAACTAGATAGACTGCGACAACTGCTCTTCTATCGACAGGTTCTCTAGGTCTACATAGTTGTATCTCGACAGCTGCTCTCTCTACTAGGTCTTCTAGTTTCGTCTTCTTGAATATGAATACCCGCGTATAGATACTATCAAAACTGAACGGTTCCGGTTTTTGGTAACCTGAATTCGATCATAAGGGAAAACAAGAAGAGAACCCTTAGGATCAAATTCAGGTTACCAAATACCAGAACCATACAAAAATTATTTTTCTTCAAAAAACTAGAAGTACCCGGCGAGAGCGTGAGGGAACGAATCTTGGCTGCTCCATCGGTGCCATTGGTGGAGGGAGTCGAGTTTAACTCTATCGCCATGTCCCAGCTGAGTCGGTCTAGGGCAACGTGTCCCACGCTGTATCCTAGTTCAAAGACGTACATAAAACCACCATACGAAGAAATCTGCACGATCAGCCCGTTGGAATATGAAGGTGGTAGTATAGCTAAAAGGTCTGGTATATATAAGCTCATGGGGGCCTAAGGATGGAGGTCGCGTAGCTGGTCGTGTGTGTAGTTGTAAGGGGACAGCGTTGTGCCTGTAGGGGCTTGGTGTCGTTGTCGCTGTCATGTCGTTGTAGAGAAGATCACCATACAGCATTGCTGTGAAAAGTAGTAGAACAGAGAGATCCATTCAAAAATTGTTGAAAAAACCCAAACGAGAACCAGAGTTGCAGCTCTACTTCAAGGTTGCTGACATAGCTTGACTTTCGCTTCTGCCATCTTCGGAATGACAGCACGAGACAGGAGGAAGGCAGAGCGCGCTCCGATGTCTAGAGATTCGTCGTAAGTTGAGATCGGCTTTTCCCAGAAAGGCTTCCCCAAGTGCGGTGTCATCGATGTGAGACCTCCATACGCCGAATTTACGAGGAGACAAATCCCCACTCCGGCAGTAGCATCAGCAACAGATGTTATAGACATGTGGAGGGGCTGGTCCTGGTGGGGGGACGACTAACCCTCGAAAAGAAGAGCTGGTGGAGGGACCACTAGGGCATATTATTAGTTCAGGAAATCTGTCACACGCGTGTTTGATTTGACTCGACAGTCTGTTTGCGATAGAACTACCAAACAAGTAGTAATAAGCACGTCGATGTCGTTATAATCGTTACAGGTATGAGCGTTCTTGAGAACCTTTAGAGAGACCTGGCAACATAATCTGTGCAAGTTTTGCCACGGCCGCTTCCTCATCGGCAGAGCGGTGCAGGTCCAAGACGTATGGCACAACCTTGCCCGAACCACCAGTGGCCTCCACTTCCTTAGCTAATTCCTCGAGTTTGTCAGCGGACCGAGCTACTGCGTAGACTGTGTAGCCGCCCTCACTAGCTAGGACTTTCGAGATACCGCGACCGAAGCCGCGGGATGCACCGGTGACAATCGCGAACTTCGAACGACATATCTCGAAAAAGAGTTGGCTAACAACTCACCTTATATATTAGCGAACTGGATCTGAGACTTCGGCTTCTTCAAATACTGGACTCCAAAAAATGCTTCTATGACTTATTCACTTACTTCCACAGATACTAGAAAAGTTAAAGCAAGATTACGTCCACGGATACCAAAAAGGATAGAAAAATCGTAGGTATATAGGTATAGTCCTGTACTAGACATTTATTTATTTTTATTATTTGTTTCTAGAGCAAGAGCTATAACAAGAAGTAGAACCACAACCAATGCTCTTCTAATTTCGATTTGTTGCGAGAAAAAACCTGACACATCCGTCTGTCATGGAAGATCCCTGAGTGATGAAGACAGTTCTCTAATTACATCATGCGCGCGCGGGCGCGCTCCTCTTTCTATACATAGAAGGACTTCGACACTCAAATTACATGCTTCATGATCAGCAGCTTTTTTTTTCGTCATTTTGTTTCTCTGTAAAACAAAGTGCTTCATCATCCTCTTCGCCCTCGTTCCACCTGCTCACAGACCTCAAGAACAGTGTCACAAAAATATACCTCACGTTCCTTACAGTGAGCACGCAGAGATGAGGAGCCTCGTTAGTAGTTACGTGTTTCTCATGCTTGTGGCTCTGCGTCAGCCTGCTCAGGATCACTTCTAGACTGGCAGCACTCGCATCGTTTTTGGAGTGGTCGCAAGTATGTATATGTTGATACAATACAATACAATTATTAAATCTTTTTTTTTTTTTGTAGTGCGAGCGAGTTCCGATAAGTCAGAACCTACCTGCGTACTTTGCAAGCGAGTTCCGACGCAGACTGCCTTGAGGGCGTCATAATAGATTCTTTGATGAATATTCATCATCATGCACTCCTATGAGGACGAATTAATATATGACGCATAGTTGTTGCGCCTTTTCCTTCATCTCCGGTGGATTCCATCAAATAATAATAGAGCAAGTTCTGCTCGGATTCTGCTACAGGGTCAGGGAAGATGTGGGGCAAGAAGGTATCTCCATATTTCTTACAAGTCCTTGATGTATGATGTTGTAGCACATGTAGGTGTACGGATGTGAGTTGATGATGCAGCAATAGTACATCAATTGATGTGGATAAACAGAAGTCATAGCTTTTCAAGCTCCGAGCTCGACACTCTCGTGGTCTTTTAGTAGAAGAGAGACTTATATGAATATTTACATACTTTGTTTTTAGTTACACTTATGATCATGTGGGATACGGGTCTGGTTTCTGCATTAGCAAAGGTAGTAGTTTGGCACTCGAAAAAGTGCATGCAATTTCGACGTGGTTCCAAAGAAAATGTTACTAGATGTTCATTAAGCTCATGTAGTTGATTATTTTTCCATGGACGTGTTGATGTTGTAGGAGGAGGATCATGATAGTTTCTTTGTAGTACTCTGCACGGTCCACGGTGACGGTCACGATCTTAGTAATATTCTTACAGGACATTGAGTGTTTTTATCCACGTTGAATTTGCTCTAGTAGTTATTACTACTAGTACTACTAGTAGTACAAACTCCACAACTTCTGCTGCAGCTGCATCAAACAAGTTCGATGAATTCGATTTCCTTCTTCAATCCAAGGAACAACTTTCACCTAAGCGTTCCAGTATCGCCATTTTGTGACTTGAGCTCCCTTTTTGTTCCCTCGCGCGTTCTTGTCATCCATCAAAACGACGCCGACCGACTTCATGTAATCTCTAATCTCATCCGCACGAGTGAAGTCACCTGCTTTGCGCGCCTCGTTCCGCTGCTCTATATACGCTTGAATCTCCTCGTCCTCCGGCGCACCCGGCGGCCGCACACTTCTATTAGACTCAAGGGAATTGTGACGAGGTACTCTTGGAGTGACCCGAAAACTAGAGCACTCTATTATACACCACAGTACTCTACGAGTATAATATTTATTTTTAGACACTGCGTACACTACAGCACCAGAGTTGTACTACTGTAGTAGTTAGTCGAGGAGCAGGAGGGAAGATCCTGAAGATGGTGCTGATGCTCAGCCCCACGAGAACAGTAAGGCGATAGGGACGGAAGATGATAAATAACCCCACATGGAGGTTGGACGGGTTCATGCTATTGCTTGTTCTAAATAGCCGTAACTCTGCTTTCTCGTCCGTCACCAGGGGGTGCAGCATAATACGATCCCGGTCCTCCAGTTGAGGAGGCTCGACTTTCTCCGCTAACGCGCTCCGACATCCAGCTAGAACGTCTCCGAGGATCGCTGCTCCAAGATGTAGGAGCCTAGGTGAGGTGGATGACATGATTGATGAAGATCACTTGATTCATCGCGCTTCTTGGGCCGTGGACGATTTTGAAGTTGAGTATGTATGTTGTATTGGAAGTACAAGGAAGTACACAAAGTACATCGAAATTATACCGCTGTTGATGCTTCCATCTCGCTGTTGAAGCCTGGCGCCACTGTATGCGCATGATCTGCTACTGCTCGTGGATTTCCGAGGCCGTCTGGGACTGCTACGCCCTTCTCGATGCAAAACGCTCGGTAATCGGCATGCACTTTTGTGAGCTCCCTCTCCGCTATTAGAGCTACGTACGACTCTTATCCATCTCGAGAAGTAGAAGATTCTACTCGCTGTTTCTGTCTCATCTATCTTCTAACTGGGTCAGGGTTCCTCCCTAGGTACTAATGGAGTTGCCGAGCAGGCGCCAGGACCCGCTGTCTGGAGATATCTCTGGAGATGCTTCTGGAGATGGATTAAAGCACGCCTTAACGCTAGTTCCACAGCTTGCGCAAAGCATTCTGCATTCTGCTGACAGCTGATACACAGAGCTAGGGGCTCCGACGATTCGTGCGGACCTCCGACGCCTCTGCCTCGCAATCTCGTTTTCCCGCCATTGCTCTGAAACGCCGGCACTTCCTCCCATATGCGCCGAGCAAGGTTGATCACGCGAGAGCCGACCTTTTTTTGTTGAAGATATGATGCAATTTAAGAATGTGGATGTGGTGCAACATAACGTCGAGGACATGCAAAAGCAGATGTTGCACTAAAAAAATCGATATCAATGAATCGAACCTCCACAATCACTTAATCTAGTCAAGAAGTGGAAAGATTTTAAAAATGCGAATTTCTTGTTCTTTCTTCGATCTAGCATTGTTCACCTGCTTCACTCTCCCTGCAGCAGGAGCGACACTTCACCGCCAAGTGTAATTGTCTAGTACCACCTGCTTCCAGCGAGAGGAACTAGGAAAAACAAAAAGTAAAAGGAAATGTAAGTACTAGTTGTCTAATAAATACCCTGAATTCCTTTTCGTTCTCTATTTCAATTTCGATGCGACATGTGTATTTTCTTACGCCGCTCTGGTCATTCGTCCACATTTCACTCCATCTTGAAGGCCCGTCAGCACCCTGCAGTTATTTATCATGATGTGGTGTGTGCCTGTGCTGTGTGAAGGGTTGCTCTTCATCAAATGTGGGTGGGGGTATCATAGAGTATTTTTGTACCCAAACCCACATTTGAAGAAGACAGAGCAAGCCTTCCACGATTCCCATTTATTTTTTATCCTGCTAAACTTAAAAAACATCAAGTCGAGAAAATATACAAAATTTTGAATAATTATAACATAGATACCGTCCTCACAACATTAGCTTCTGCCGCGTCGTCCATCTGCACAGTTTCGAGGTAATTGTCTGGCCCCATCTCCGGACACTTCACTGAAAGAATAGCTCCCTCAATGCCAACAAGGGGCTTCTGATCTAAGTCCCGCCACGCGGCAAGCGTATTCCCAAATCCCTCAAATCGGACATGCGCTATCGAGGACGCGGGTGTCTGATGAAGAAAGGTTTTAGCTTCTATGGAGACAATGATAGTGACAGATGGTCATGGAGATTGAGGTGGAGTGAAGTGTTATTTCAACCTTCAAAGTTGTTGTTGTACTACGTACTTGTAGAAAGAACTCGGACGAACACGATCACGAAACTGCATTGACTACGAGGATTGAGAATGGAAGGAACAAAGAGTAAGATCATAGTGCAACCTTTTCCTCGAAGAAGATGACGTTGTATATATTCATATTGGTACCACAAAAATATCAAAGACCGCCGTAGTACTACTAGTAGTAGTACAACTAAGTACAACATCATCATTACTTAGCTGATCATCCATATTTATAGTACGATGGGCAGATCAGGCCCACTTATTTCTGCTCTCCCTGTCTGCTCGATCTGCACGTCAACCAGATCTCCATATCGACCAAACACTTTCCTGACGTCGTCATCGGTTAGCATTAGAGCGCGCCTTTAAATCTATCTTTATTTTCATCCTAATCTACTGATACTGTGGTCATTTTTCTACGTGCAAACAGCGGAAGGATTTTAGACTACTCTATTATCCCAGAGCAGCTGCCCCTGCCGCAGACGGAGAGATGGGCTAAAAGATGGATTAAGATTAACATTGAGTTGTGAGGCCTTAATAGTAAGTACGGAAATTGTAGGCCTTGAACGGACACCTGCAGTGGTGGTGGTCTCCTGCCTGCATTCTTGGAGCCGCTGCTAGGCTCTGACCCGCCAAAGCTACCACCCGTTGCCGCGACTGGTTCCGCGCTCTCGACAGCGGGTGCTCGTGGCGCCTGCTCGGCAACTCCATTAGTACCTAGGGAAGAACCCTGATCCACCCCAGTTGGAACCGTAGCAGGCAGCATATCTTCTCGTCAGAGTTTCAGTTTCTAGATAAAGGTCGTGGAAGTCAGAGATTGTGATTGATACTAGAGGAGATACTTTTATTTCTCGGTGTTGCTGTTCTTGATTGTACAACTACTACAGAGAATGAGAAGCGATAATTTCTTACTAGGCGAACGATCGCGATGATGGTTCTCGATGCCTATTAACAGATCATGAAGGGTTGCGAATTAGCTCTGGTGCTTGCTCACATCATTTGAGCCAAATTATGAACAGCATACAACTGTGAACAGTATAACTATATTTATAATTACATATAATATACAAAGCGTACTGAGTAGTGGTAGAGGAGATTGCTTACCACGTTAGTCTTTTAGATGCAGCAAAATTTTCTGAGCAAATACGTATACGACAGCGAAAATAAGTACAATTTACGAGAATATATCTAGTACAACCAGTGGTCTTAAGTACACAGAGAGGGACGGGTGGTCGCAAGGAGCAGCATGAGTACGAATTTTTCTGAGATCACGCGTCGTGCTCTGGTGTTTATGGTTACTAGCCGACAGCAGGGACAGATGAGTTGTCTGAGATGCTTTCTCCTGACAGTAGATTGACTCAACGGTTACTGAACAACTCCGACTTCATCTCAGGGTCAAGGCGAACATCGTTATACTTACACAAGTAGTTCTTGTAAGATTTTTTATGAGCTGCTCAGATCGAAACTGAGTTTCGGTTTCGGAAACTCCTGTAGTACAACATCACGATCACTCACACCAATGTAACTGACCGATTGATGTCAATGTAGAAGCTCACCTCAAGGACCTCAAGACAGATGATCACAAAGTAAGCCACCGATTTTTGCATCCGACGAGAGGTGGAGCACCTGGATCGCGAACTACAGCATGGAACAACAAGTGTCTATCGAGGGATAAGGAACGTAGAAGCACTTCTAGCACCAGAGGCCTATAGTTTGTAACTGCTACTGCGAAAGTTGGGGATCTACCAACTCGTGCACAATTTGCAGATATGCGTGATCATGTTGAATATGATTAACCACTCACGACCACATGATGTTTTGTGCGTCGTCTGAGAAACCCGAATGAGAAGTCTGAGCCCGAAGAAAAAAGTCGTACTCTGAGTGACCCAGTAAGAGTCATTGTTCATGTACATGTAGATAGTCAGATGATAAAAAGAGAACATGCTGCGTAGCTAAACCTAGAGGTATGTGGACAACTATGTGATTGTGTATGTCTCGTCACATGACCACACATTTATCTGGCTCTGAAGATGAAGCTCCTCCGTTACCTCCTCCACCCAACTGCATGGCCCTCTTGAGTTAGAGCGTTCCCCAAAAATTCATCCCTGTAGGGATCGTCCCGCAAGAACATGCCTCACTATCATCTCCCTTCCCCTTGATGTATTGGGTTCATGCATATCTTCGTTGCTGTTGAGAAATCTCTTCTCTCGAGATGATGGATTAGCATTAGGAGGGCCATGGCAGGCCCCTTACAAATAAATACTATGCATGCCAGCTTAATCTTAAAAAATTTGAGCCTTAATTGAACTCCTCGTCTAGAATTTGAGGTGGGTCACCACGCACTGCTGTGCCACGACAGCGAATCTCGGTGTTCGGGCCTATGCAACCCACCCCCTGCGCCCCACCTTTGGTGGATATCACCTTGAACCATATGATTGGTGGATCGGTCGACCTCGTTATCAACTGATTTGCACTCTCAAGAACAGAACTACCTTTATTATTCTTTGCAGCTGCTGGACTTGTTCCTCCTCTAATGCTAGTGGGAGATTTGGAACTTTCACCGTCTTCGTTTTCGCTTCTCATGTTTTTGTAGAACCCACGTCCACGATCGATCCACACTCGATGAGCGGGTAGGAAAGATTCGCCGACCCGCAAAGGCGACGACCGCTGTTGAAAGTACGCACGCAAAAGTTGGTCCATCATTAACGCTAGTCAATCTTCACTATCGTATAGTGACTAAGTATCCCTGGTTGAACTTGAAGAGTGTGTCTTGTATGTTGTGTTGTTTCATCCTTTCCCTCGATATCCCCACCTTGACTGACCTTCAAGAGGAAAAACGCACTCTCTCAGCAAACCTAGTCAGTCTACGCGCAGATAGTGACTAATGAAAATTTACCTTAACATGAGTTTTTTCTCGTCCACTTCGCGGCCCAAGTTTGAGAGGTTCTTGTTCTTCTCTGCGGCTTTCTCTAGATACTTGTTTTTTGCTTTCGTAGTGTCGTAGAACTCAGCATCGAGGCCTGCTTCGTATGGCTGCACGTGAATGTACTCAAGGAGGTCTCGTCGCAGCTTGGGTCCCTCGTAAAACACACTTGTGTGGTGGCCTGCGATGGCGAGGGTAAGAGTTTAGAAGGGACATCAGGAAGCTGCATTGCTGAGAGAGTTCGACTTACTCAATGTTAGTTTGACGACAAGAAGACGTCGCAGTAGATGAAGAAGATTACGCCAGAGGCACAGCCACAGTTTCTGAAAGTGAAACAACAACAAAGCATAATTTTTCTCAGCTTCGGAATTTGCTGGCGCGTTTTTATCCACCTCCGTCGCACCTGTTCTATCTAGCTGCACTCCTTCCACTCGGAAACGACCTCCGTTCGCGGCAAAATCATGGTGAAGTCCTAGGAATGAAACCGGAGACTTTCTCAGAAATGGAACCACTTGTTTGTGAAACATATGATCGTAGTTGTACGCAAACGTGTCTGCAAATTAGAAGAAGAAGTTGATGTGAGGTTCTCGTGTTTCTAGGAAGTTTGTACTTGTAGAAGTGATTTTTTGAATTTCATGCATGTACTTCACTTGGAAGTGGTGATCCATGTAGTTGATGATCCCTGGCGGCCATCTTTTTAGGCCATTTTTGAAATATAATGTTGGCCAGGGATCATATTTCATGACATGATAATCTCGTTGAACAATGCCACGTTGGATGGAATCTATCATGATGATTCCAAAGAAAGAGCTGCATCCATAATCAAAGGGCAGCACATGCAATTTCGCCCACGTCTCGAAGAAGATTCCGTTGCCATTACTCCTTTTGCTCATGACCTTCCCGATGTCTAGGTCTGCTCCTAGCACGTGCGCCTGTAATTCGAATTGTGTTGCGAACTCCTCTGTGTAAGGAAGGGTAGCTTTTAGCACACCACCTATCGTAGGAATTACACTCGACGAAGAAGATTTTTGCTTGTTCTTGTTTCGTCCTACTTTCGTGCTACTGTCGCTTGCTCCGCTGGGAGAACTAGGTCCCTCTCGTCCTCCGAGTACCTCTATTTGCTGCACTATGTATTCGGCTTCTCGGGTGCCGTTGCACACATACAAGCCAACGTCTAGACTTTTGCGGTCTTTCCAGCTCTCTCGTAAAGCGGCACACGCTCGATTTCTCTTCTCCATCAAACTTTCCTCCCTGCTGTGCCATAAGGCCATCCGCGACGGCGACACCGTAACCAATATCATCTGGGTAGATGAAGCAGACATGGTCTTATATATTTGTTTCTGGTCGGACTGAGTATGAATAATCAGAACAAAGTGAAATATATTAGAGTAGTTTATAGAACGGATGTAGGATGGACTTGGATGGATCGGATGGATCGGATGGATCGGATGGACCCCCCTGATTCTTCCGGTCCTACTTGAAATGGTGGGAAGTCCATCCGTTCCATCCGATCCATCCGATCCATCCCATCCCGGATCTGGCACCCCTATAAACTGCTCTAATATATATTTCTAAATTGCAGTTATGCTTTGGAAAAACAAACCTTCGAAGAGGACACTTCGCTTTCGCATTTGCTTCCTGCATCTACTTACTCGAAAAACTGATATAAACACGTAAATGAGTGGAATAACGCAGAAGATAGTACTGAAATGTATGAGAGTAGCCTTCCAAAGCTAGCTCTCCTATCGCAGTCACTAAGTCGCTTATTTTCAGTTTTCGAATAATAAATTGAGGTCCTCGAATCTTGGTTGTTGCTCGTACTGTTACTGATGTTATTACGACCTGCCTCTGCTTGAGCAAATTTTAGAAGTCCCTTCGTGTTTCAGTTCCTTTTTGTTTTTGGCCCTCAGACTCCGATTTTTAGTAAAGAGGAAACGTCTGTCAATCCACATCTAGATCTACTTCCACCTCACCCAAACGATCTACTTCCACATCTAGATCTACTTTTTACTCTCTCCGCGCGCTATCGTCGCTCTACCTGACACTCTTCCATTATGGACACAGGGTTTGATGCACGCAGCTTCGCTTTTCTGTACTAGTAGTAGGTGCGACGGTGCCAGTAGCCAGCTCACAAAAAAGTTTTAGTTTAATACCAGAATAAAATGGCTGCAATCGTAATCGTTCTTGCACGTAGTGTATGTTGATTGCTACTCCATTTTTATTAGTTTCACAACAAGACCCCGGATTGCTATTGCTTCAAGATGAAATTTCGATTTGCGTGCACTCATTTATTATGCAATTTATGCAGGATGTAAATCAGAACAAGAAGAAGAAGTAATTAATATATTGTCATTCATGTGGTGTCGGTGAGCAAAATGAGACGGATTTCTTTCAACTGTTGCTACCCATGCCTGACTAGCGTTTTCTAGGTTTATTCTTAGTAGAATGGTGAATAATCCTTAGTAGAATGGTGAAGAATAATTATCCTGTCATCTGTGTTCCTTGTGCTGGAAACTCGAATCATAACTGTGTTTGTTCTGTCAACATGGTCCCCGAGTTGCTCTTGCCAAAACTCGCGAGTAACGCACTCGAAAACGCGTTTACTGAGACCCTCAAACTGGATAAGGGCCGCTGGAAAAGCAAAAGCAGGAGCAGGCCTTTCTTGTTCCTCCCATCGATATCGTCTACCCTTCAACTCCTTCATGGGCAGGATCATAAGTTACAAGAAGTTGTCCATCTCCATTTTCATCTAGAAGCCCATCTCCATCCACAACCTGGACCTCCGTGTTCATCTACACCTACAACTTCCTTTCCTCCTTTTCGTCGACCTGGTGAAGCAATCGCCAAGCCTAGTAAGGACTTTGCGCCACCCCTTAGGACGTCACACTCAGAGCCTTCCGCCATTAGTATCTTGAGGAACGAGACTTTCCCTAGTAACCGGAGCTCTTCCAGGACTGATTCCAGAGTGGTTGTCATTGTCATTGTGGTCTCTACAATTTTTGTAGGACGAGTAATGCTGCCGCGAACGATACTACTTTTCGATGCTACTCTTTCTTCAGCCGCGTTGCAAGCGCCAGCACTTGATGTAGATCTTCTGACTTGCAGTGTTGATTACAATGGCGTGTAAGCTACTAGCTGCACTTTTCTGCCAGTAGACAATCTATCAGGTTCAGCTGTCGCGGGAATTTCCTTTCTAAGAGGGTACGGAACGGCTTAACGCGCCCTCTAAAAAGCTTACAATTCTGAACGATACTGGCCATCTCTTGCGAACTTTGTTTTGAGCTAGAGGTGGTTGTTGTCCTTGGGTTTCTCTGTCTTTTACTTGCTGTTTCTGATTCATCTGTTTGCTTCTTGTTGTTGTTCTTCGATGATGATGTCGTATTATGTCTACAAAATGCAAAAGTCGCTATGAGAAGCTCAGTATCATCTTCGTCATCGTCGTATAATCCCACCACCTCCTGATGGTCGTGGCTGTTTAATCACTATCCGCGTTTGAGTGAGTGGCATTTTTCAACCTTGGTTCATTTAAATGCAAATCAAGGGAGACGCTACTCTTACTCCGAAGGAATGCCTCTTCACACCAGATAGTGATAGCCTAGTACCTCTCCATAATCATTCGCCGACACCGAGGACATACTTTTAGTCTTACTCTTTAGTTTACGGTTTCGTTTTGATTGCGCAAAGTAGTCCACGAAGAGCTCTTCACCAGCTCTAATATCACGCGTTGCACGTATTACCTCTGCATCTTCACTAGATCCAGATAGAATCGTAGGATGAAGACCCCCTCCAAACTCGGCTTCAAGCTCGATATTCTTGTCGTCTTCCAGAGGATTGGCATTGGAGTGTCGTCTAGTTTTGCTAGATTTAGTAGAACTAGAAGTTGTAGTTCTACTGGTCTTCTTCTGTTTAGTAGATGTACTCTCCGTCTCCTTCTGCTTCATCTGCTTACTCGTGGTTTTCGATTTTTTCGATTTTCTCTCCGACACCCATTCAACATTCACGTATTTCGCGTCGTGGTTCACCAGGTCAATCCAGGGAATGATAGCAACTGTACTTGGGTGAAGTCGCTTCTGGGCGAAGCGCTCAGATACTGGAATCGCACGTTGATCCAAGAGAATATGTGCGTACTCTAGGAAGGAACGATTTAGCTCCGAAACTCCAATTTGTGGCTTCTGATCACCGGTACTTTGTGGTGCTTTTAGATGAGCTATCAATCATCTTTCCTGTCGTGGAGCTCCACCAGGATGATGACAAACTACAACTTGGATGATCATGATCCACCACATTGGATTATGGCAAACTACTAGGAGTTGGAAGTGGAACTATTCATCTTTCTACTCGAAAAACTGAAATAAGCAAGTAACTGATCAGAATAACCGAGATACTGACGAGGAGGAAGAGTAGCCTTGACGTTAAGCTACCTCCCTTATTTCATTCAGTAACTCGGTTATTTTGAGTTTTCGAATACTCCTGCATACTTAATAAACATACTGTCTAGTCAGTGTATTGGTATTCCCCCTGCTCTTAGTATTGTAATTGCGTATTCCTGCTTCGCCATCTGTTCTTTGCGACTGAGTGCTTGCGCGAAAACCACGGAAAATTGGCGCAGACCCTTTAAGATAGACTCGGGTAGAAGCCACAAACCTCCGTATGCCTGAGATGAACGTGGCAGCACGTGACGAAAATACGGAAGGTAGAGAGGACCAGGTGGAAGGCCATCAGGCTTTTCTTTCTTCTTGTTTTCATCTGGCACTTCTTCTAGCTCGTCATCGACATCGCCTACCTCTACTTGATTCTTGCTCTTCCACACCAACCGAGCGAAGTCTGGGACACAGCTAGGGACTGATCGAGAGGGGCAATAAAAAACCGCTCTGGACGGAATACGCGCAACTATCTCACCCCGCTTCAGATCTCGTGCTGCGAATAGGCCACGCACGACTTCTTCTTCTTCTTTTGTCGAGGGCGAAGGCGATGAAGAAGTTGTCCACGATGTGCGATAAGCTGCGTAAACTGCAGAGACATTGAAGGCCTTGTTAAGATCGCGATACCAATCTTGTAGTTCGCCAAACAATCGCTCATGCCCATTTTTATCGTCACGTCGCTGGCTACAATAGCTATTTATTTCGTCCACGTCCACAATCTTCTTTCGATGTCCTTTGGTACTTCGTTCTTCTACGCCTTTTTCTCTGTTTCGTTGCTCGTCCATACCACCGGCATACATTTCGTGCGTCTTAGTCTTACCAGAGTCGGAGTCGGAAGACGTAGTAAAATTTGACGATGTGGATGTAATGCGACTTGAGTCGAGTCTTGGCTCTGGATCGAGTTCAAGACACATAGCTGTAGCAGGATCTTTGTCGCCAACAAGAAGCTCTTTTCCTCTTACAGGAAAACCATGTGCAGCTTCGCGGACACGGCAAGAGCCTCGTGTAGCTCCTACCCCTACAATAGTGGCGGGGGTTCGGGAGGTCTCGCGTGAAGGAGAAGGTGAGGCTGATGATACAGCGACAGCGCTAAAAAGGGCATTGTTGATAGACAATACGACCACCAAGAACAAGGGGACTACAACGTAGTCGTGAAGAATCCAAACACATGGCAGGACGACCGGTGACGTAGACACCATCCTGATAGAAGACAGAGGTTTCATCCGCTCGTCTTGTTCATTCAATCACATGATCGATCCCAATATCATCAATTTGAGAAACATGACAAATAGGAATCTGAATCGCACACTCTCAGACCAACATTCATGGAGTCTTATTTGAGGAAAATTTCCAACCAGTTTTCAGTTTTATGCGACAGCTTTATTTGTTCTTGTTATTGTTCAAAGAAATTCTCTTCTGGTTTTGAAAACCAGGTTTTCTTTCTCTTTGGAGCAAGCGACATGAAGTATCACCTTCCTCCGTGATTCTTGCATCATCGTCCTGCCAAAGCCCGTAAAAAATAAACCACTAAGTGGATCATGTTGGTAAAGGTAATGCCAAATCCAGAGACACAAGCAAAGGTTCGACGTCAACCGGCAACCTGGGTTCATCCATTCTTCAACATTCAGGCTGCATCGAATCTAGAAACTTTTCAGTCGTTTTTGAAAGATGAAGTGTTAACAACATCGCGAAGGCACAGTCGCATTCCTATCAATATGGGTTAGGAAAGGCGTTGATTCGCCGTCCACAGGGTGACTTGTACCGTCAAGCGAATATGTGCAGCCGCCGAGGGACTACCATATCAACATCACAGCATATTAATAGTGTTGAGTCAAGCCTTGCGATCAATGCAACAACGGGGCTAGCAAGCAACAGATATGAAAATGGCATGAGTGTAAACAAAGAGTTCTAGATGAGTGCCTAAGGCTGAGAATTTGCAAACATGTTTTTAAGGAGTTCTGAAGATCAAAAATTATTCTTAGGAGTCAGTTACTGTTAAAGTTGTGACCGTGTAGTCTTACAACAGGAAGATGATAAATATCGATCATATGATTGACAAGTAGACGAAAACTCATTTATTATTTTTTCTGCCTTTCTCAATCTCAATGTTGTTCGTTGTTTGCTTAAGGTTAAGATTCGCTCACTGTTGTTTTTTTGACCAGACTGCTCAGAGACCACAAACATCTTTATTTTTTTCCCGAAACTTCAAATATTCGTTAAGGTTAGCTCCCTCACATCATAATCCGAGATCATTAATAGACAAAAACGTATTATAATGTGTGATGGTGTTGATCCAACTAAACGTGATCGGTCACAGAAACGCATTTCTATGTGTAGCTATCCTGATAAGATTGTGGAGAAAGAAGTGGACGAGCGGCTGAAGTAGAAAATGAGTACAACGATGAAAAGGCTACAAAATCGAGAAACAAAGAGAGCAGAGGCTGGAGACACTAATCAAAGAATTAGACATAGCAAATACCACTATCACTACGCATAGGGTCATGACTGCATGGATGCGCAGCTTTACGTCGTTTAGTATTGTTGTCTGCAACCGCTGCCCCGAGCCCGACGAGCGGAGCACCCACTCTCGAAAAGTACACATAGACTCAGCATCATTATCAATGCGGCTCAAGTAGTCATTCTATCATGTTCTTACGTAATCACATTCTTCACACAACGACAACACATGCGCGAGGACGAATTTTTCTTGAGACACCTCAGCCGAGGCCTTCACATCGTGGTGATTGAATCAAACTCGTGTCCTCCCTCTATAAACTCATTATTCTCAACAACATACTACCCTCTACTAAATGTAAACACAGCCAGTAGAGAGGATTTCAATCGCTCATCATGGGTTGGCGTTGTTCATTCCTCTAGTCGTAGTCCTATGTGAGGTATCCTCAATTCTTCATCAAAATCGTCAACATGAAAGTACGGTCTTCACTGTTTTAGCTTCACTGATAAGCGAACAGGCCAACGCCTAAACCACTAAGCCAACTGCGCGTTGGCCTGTTCACTTATCACTCACAGTCACTTGTTCCGGATGTATTTTCCTCCTCCTCATCGGCGTCACTCCCGGAAGCAGAACTAGAAGACGCAGCAGAAGATGCCGGTTCATCTGCAATATCCCTAGACGATTCCTCGTCTTCGTCTCCTAGATGTCGAAGTTCGTCTTCTTCTTCATCGTCATCTTAGCGCTCACCCTAAGTAGCCTAACGAATCCATCCTCCTGAGATACATGATACTAGTAGCGCTCACCCTAAGTAGCCTAACGAATCCATCCTCCTGAGATACATGATACTAGTAATCCTGAACTACATATTCGTCTCTCCTTGATGAAAGGAAAGGGAAACCCCCTCGAGCAGAGAGGATGCTTCTGAAATGATTTTTTATTAATGAACTCTCGAGGATGTTGCGTCTCAAGATGGGAGTAGATTAGCATGAGGAGAAGGAGCCTTAATTATCTTCAGAGTTCATCTCGTCCTCCGTTATCTCGACGCCCCATTCCATATCATCATCTTCTTCTGAGGACGATGAGCCAAGTGTCGAAAGCAACACTTTTTGTTCGAAAGGATCATCGTCCAGCGGCGCACAGCATCCAAAGGCTGCTGCTTGGATCAGCGACCCATAACAACCCAGAATTAGATGCAGACAAGAACATGTACATGTAGTTTTCGATTTCGATGAGAAAAAATCTAAATATATAAATTATTCAGTACTTCTTCATCTTCTAGAGATCCTCATACTTAGAAGGAAAACAACGAAGACATTGACCTGTGACTCAAAAAATTATTGAAGAACAAAGTCTTAAAAGAGGTTTCACGGAAGGACGTCTTGGTGCGGGAGGTAGGGTTTTTGTGCGGCAGCATTTCGTCCACTCGCCTTGGCCAGGCGTTGTAAAAGGGCCTCGTTTTTCCTCAGTTTGGATATTCGGTCTCGAGCAAGACAATAGACCACAACACCTTCTGGAGGAAGTTTCATTGCAGTTCTTCATCTTATCAACACTTTGTCCCCGCCTCTTTTTCGAAGCGCTGCAACAGTTCTGCAGTCCACATAGCGGCTGCTCTCCTTTCGCTTTTTCTGTGCCTCTCTTCAAGTCTTTCCCAGAAGATCCGCCTCCTTCTCCTGCCCCATCTTTGTGTTCCAGCTGCTTATCCGATGCCATATGATCTGAAGATGCACCAGCTGTATGATCCTCGATGAGATGAGTAGCGCGGACGTAGGCCACGAGCTCTTCCCAGTGTGCTAGATTCTGTTCTCTCTGCCTTTCCTCTTTGGCTTCTACATCGAGGATATTGCCCAATTGCGTCAATATCGGCTCAAACACGTGGTCGCGACGAAGGACTTGACTATGAAGAGATGCTAAAATATCATGGACTGATCGCGAGCGCGACGAAGGACTTTACTTCTATAGAGAGACGCGAAAATCAAAATATTAGGGACCAGGTGCTGGACTGCGTTAATAGTTCTTGGTCGACAAAGAATAGCAACGTGAGCAACAATGTACAACGACAACTACATCACCCAGACTGTGACCACCGTGAGTAGGAAGACAAGACTTGGTAGACGAGCAAGTGCATCTACATTCAACATAAAGTCAATCAGGAGTTTTGATACTTAGAAGGGCAAGGCCAAGGCGCCGCAAGCAACATAAAAACTAAATAAAGTCCCATCTTGCCCGAGCCCTCTAGCGAGTAGTACAACTACAACATGAAGCACGCAAACAATGAACAAGATCATAAACCCTATCCGTTTCCGGCTGCAAAACGGGGTCGTCACATGGTGATTTAACGATGTCTAGGACGCAAGCGAGACAGCACATCTGGGTGAAGCGCGGAAAGTTCAAACAGTGAAAGAGCGGACCCACGATCTCTTTTGTGCATTGTTGACATTAGAGTTACCGCGCTCGCATCCCTAAGACCAAGAGCATACATCGTGCGCTTCTTTTTCTAGTAAAAAGTAGAAAGCGCGCGGGGAATGATACAAGAATCCCTCCTGTGTGTGCACCTTTTCCCCTTGAAAAAGAGGCCAAGGATGACGCTGAGGGTGCTTAGGCGGTAGCCTTAACGACAGTGAATAGCGCAACGACTGGCCGCATTGCTTTCAATTCCGCCTATATTGTGAATTTTCTGATCGCTATAGCAATAGTGCCGCAAGCTCAAATTCACGCGGTCTGGATTCAGCAAGGTCGAAAAAATGTTCAGGTTCTGGTGTCGCTGATTGTCCTCTAGTACATCTCCTTCGTCCGCAACATTTTTTACTGGAAGAGTGTGAAGATCACGACCTGAAGAATTCACCGTCATATCGACGTCTTGATCGCCCGCGTCTTGATCTTCGACATCGTGTGTGACCACGCCGCGTGTATTCCTATTCGCAGCTACTTGTCCTTGGTCGTGCAGGACATCACCACTTGCGCTCGTCACTACCACTTTAGAAGGCATAGGCATCACTTGCGCTCGTCCTCCTGTGGTTACAGCTCCCAAAGGTGGTCGTCCTCCTGTGGGGACAGCTCCCAAAGGTGGAGCTGGACTTTGTATATAATTAGCAGCTGTAGTAAAAATAGGTCCTTGTTGTATCATGGTTGATCCTCGACTGAGAAACGCGCGCTGTGGCAAGACTGGAGGCGCTTGTAACAAAGGTCCGGGAAGGGGTTCCTTATGCGGGAGTTGAAGACTCGAGCCCATGTTGAGCGCAACATTTTTGGGTAATAATTGTGCTGTTCCAGGATAGGGAGAAGCTCCCACGAGATGGAGCGGAAGGCTCTTCATTTGGACAACTCCTGGCTGCCGCCCGCCTGATGGATGCATCAAGAACCCCTGGTGCTGCACTTGTGCATGTGCTGCTGCAGAGGTAGCTCCTGTTGAATATGTGTAGTTGTAGGCTCCTCTTCTATTTGTTAGAAGCGAACCATCTCTAGAGGACGTGTGCTGCACGAGCGCTGCAGAAGTAGTTGCGGGACTTGATGTACTAGATGATGAAGCAGCTCCAACTGCTCCGCTCGTGCTATGTGCAACATCAGTTGGGGATCCTGGAGGAGCGTCCTGTTGCCCTTGTTCAGCACCTCGTTGAAATGTAGACTTCTCTTGCTCCTCTTTGCCACCTCCTTGAAACCCGCCAAAAAGTTCCGCGATACGACCATATTCTGGCGCTTTCGTTCGCTTGTATCTGATGCCCTCCCTGATCCAATCAAAGGATTTTCCGCAACCCGCAGAGGCGGCTATTTTCTTTCTATGTGGTGTTTGACCGCAGATCATGCTGTCACAACCAGACTCCCTCATGATCAACTTCTCTTAGAAGAGCTTCAGCTTCAGTTTGCCTGTATTAAAAGTCAATCTTCCAACATCTTGAGATAGTATTTACTGAGTACCTTTTTGAAGCTCACAACTTCTAGTTATATTCAAATTCATTCTGTACTAGTGATCCTAGAACAACTGTCTGTAGTGGAATGATGGAATCTCTTCCTATCATCATAAAATAAGAAAAGGCGGTACCAATACCGAAGGTCAGCCTAGTAAAGCTAAAGCGTAAATATGATTGAGTGTAGTACTTATCTTTAAATATAAGGCCTTAATTCCGACAGTGAGGACACAAGCGACAAATTTCTTCCTTCAGTGCCTCATCCCTTTCGAACTTTTGGATCTCTGCGCGCATGTCGGCTTCTGTCATCATCAAGCAAGCGACCCACTGGCGCCATTCACGTTCCATTCGTGCATACTCCTCACAGCTTCGTCGAAGAAGCACATTCAAAGGGTGTCTAGAACCTTGGAATATTGAAGTTCCTCCGCGACCTTGTTCATCTACTCCTGCTGGTACAACTTGTCCGTGCTCGTGCTCTGTTGCGTCTCGCTGCAACGTCGCATCAAGGAATTCCTCACCATTTTTTGTTCGTGTCCTCTGGGACTCCTGTCGCTTTCGGCTCTTATTTTGGGTGCTCGCTCTCCGCTTGAGTTTGACAAATAACTCCTCTTCCCGCGACGAGCGTTTTTGTCTTCGACGCAGAAGGCGGCGCACTGCTTTTTGATATCGATTCTGTCGCAACCGCATCACTTGTTCTGGATAGGCTTGTAGGTACCCTTCGTATCCGCTCTCAGCGTAGGTCAGACCATGATCCTCTGGCAAGATTCCATACTGTATTCCGTCCTTACTTTAGAGGAGGAGGTCGTGGTGCAGGAAAGAGGCCCAAACCCAACAACAATCGACATGTTAAGATATCGACACTTTCACTTGTTTTAAGGCGAAGGGGTCCAAACTGAAACGGGAACTTTTGATGAGTCTTATTCTCGGCTTACTCCGCTCCTTCCGCTTGATGAAGGAGCAGACGTTTCAGATCATGCTTCATAGAGCCTATACTTGTAACCGCATACCTTTTCTCAGGTAAAAAACAAAAATCTAGCCATGGAGTGAGTGTTCAAAACTTTTCTTGTTCTATTATACATTGTATTGTTATTATAATATAAGTTTAAGTCCTGGTACTCATGGATCATATGTAAGCCTAGTAGGCCTTAACTAAAAGAATTTTCTTTACCAGCGGAAATGAAGCAGCATAGGAGACAAAAACACCAGTCCCCTACACAACCGCTCTTAGCGCAACAGCTTCTCCGAAGCACGATGCTCGCTTCGCGTTCCAGGATTAGAGGGACTCAAACTTCTCAAAAATCGTACAAGATCAAGATCATTCAATCTTCAGCACCAGATTCAAAAACAAACAGACTGCTCTATCAACAGTCTTCTATTTACGAAACTGGGAAAGTCAATATCAAATCCCAAATACTTAATCTGTGTGACATGCACATGTGTAACTAGAAGAGGAACTGTAACTCAAGAATCGTCAAAATACGGAATAATCATGAGCTCTAACTCGATGAAGCGCTCACATCTCGCCGCCTCGCCTCTTGTCAGTACCAACTCCGAGCCGTCATCTAGCACTACTATGTTCGGGCGGGTCTCTGCCGCCTGCTCTACGTCGTTTGTTTCGCCAGTTGACTCCTGCTCTCCTTCAGCTGCTGGGGCGACCCCACTCGTGAGCGTGACGTCATCCTCAACTAACGTTCCTCCACTATGTTGGCTTGCTTCTGTAGTTTCCCTGTCGCTGCTTCTCCTTTTTGGTGCTGCTGTGACATAAATTGAGGTCGTAGGCTCAATCGTTCGAAGTAGCGCATCCATTTCCCCCATTTTCGTCTGCTGCTTTGACTTGCTCTTCTTCGCGCTTTTACTCTTACTCATTCTATTTTTAGACATATTGATATTCAACATCACATACACATTATTAGACATAGATAAAGATATTGATATTCTTCAAGGTCGGCAAGGAAATTCATCACTTGAGATAGCTCTAGCTGCTACATGTTCCTTCTGATATTGTATCAAAATAATAGCTCCCGCTAGCCTTAATCATTTTGTCTTTTTCCGCTGAAGAAGAACGCCGTCTGCCTTTGCGTTCCATTTGCTGCTCTGCAGACAACAAGGACGCTTGCGCGCCGCCCACTGCAACTCCGACTTTTAACGGCTGACAGTCCGCAAAATCAAAACGGTGTGACTTTTTCTTGTGCTGCTTTGCGCTTGTTCTACTTCTATCCTTTTCATTTTCCTCAGCAACATTCTCCCTACTAGTTGAAGTTCTTGATATGCCTTGCTCATTGCTACCTGTACCAGTAGTGCCTTGCGTATTTTCATCAACGATGTCAGTGTCATCGACGAAAGGACCTCTACTACTATGGCAAAACTTCTCCTCAAGCTCTTTTGCAAAGGGGATACAGTCAATATCCGCCACAATGCCCTCAAGCTGGTCATAGACTGCGGCTCGAAATGCGTTCGTTGCTAACATTAGACGAGTTCGCCCTCTCTATGCCTGCGGCTGATAATTCATTCTCCATCTACTTCCCCTCCTGCAGTGGAGAAATAAACCTGCGAAACTCCGTCCTAGGAAGATAATTTACCAAGTCGTCCTTTTGGCCTTAACAATCGGTTCACTTCAGGGATATGCATGCGGGAAAATATCTCTTGGCCCATGATGGTGCCGCGATTGTTATTGAGCCCTAGTTGTTGCCGCAATGTCGGTGGATCACCATCGTCGTCTATTTCAGAAGGTCTACACTTACTTTTTTTTGTGCTAGAAGATGTTTTCCGCGACTTCTTCTGTTTCTTTTTTGTACAGCAAGAGCCACCTCCTGAATCGTCGGTACACAGTAGGCAACCCAATGATGAACAGCAACAGGCTCCTGATTCATCGTGACCACACGCAGACGTAGTCTTTTTTTTCGCATTCATTAGATTTGCTGGTGGTGGTGGAGCTAGTTCTCGATAATCGTCGCGCTGATTATTATTTGTAGAGTGAGTGAGAAAGAGAATCGCCTTGATGTATAACTTGGTATCCCCCTGATCTATAACACAAGACGACGCGTCACGCTCACAGTCACATGGAAAGAACGAGATGATGAAAAACTACCTCTACTTCTGAAATTAGTCCTAGTTCTAAGTACAAAAAGCTTAACATCAGTTTTTCCTTCGCCTTTTCTTCCTTTGCAAGCTTCGCCCGCTTCTCCTCGGCCACACCCTCGTCGTGGATTTTCTTCAGAATAGCATGTCGCGGCAGCTTCAGGAGTCCCATGTGACCCAAGCGGTTGCATTCGGCACAGAACGAGTAACCGCAATACCCGCACCATAATTCTTTCAGACGCTTTCTAGTCGTTGTAGTTGTACCGCGCAGAAGACGAGACTGAAGAGCTTGAGCAGAAATAGAATCAACAGAGGTGGACAAGGAATCATCTTGATTTAATGTTCGAGATGAAGAAGTAATATTTCCATTTTCTATAATTTCTTGTCCAGGATCACCAGGACTATTGTTGTTGAGTTGTCCTCTTTCTTCATTTTGTAGCAGCGCATGCGCAGACGACGCATCACTAGCTGGTATTGCCGGTTCTGCAGAAAGCCCAGGTGGGCGGTCGACATCGATAACTGTAGGAAAATCGTTGGTCGTATCATCTGCAAGTGTGGGAAAGTAGCAACTTGAGAGACCCATGAGAGAGGCAAACGCAAACAAACCACCACCACCACCACTACCACAATATGATTTTGTACTGCCTCCACCAGAACCAGTTGTGACTTTTTCCTTCTCAGTGGTCGTGGTCTTCTCAGCGTGAAGGCGTGACTGAGTTACCCCTTCTACTTGTTCGGCAGATTCTGGGAATTTTCCCGCAGTCCTCTCCCTCTCCGTCTCTACGTCTGCTTCTTCCTGAGTGTGAATCTTGACACTATCCGATTCGTGTGTTCTTATAGTACAAACGTGATTCTTCTCGATCCACCCTTCACATTTCCGACGTGGGCAACGCTGGTATTGGTCTGCACGCGTATTCTGCGCTAAGCTCAATTCTAAGGCATCCAGTTCCGCGTGCCAGTCTGGCCCCAACCGCCGTCGGAGTAAATCCGCAGGCACCACAGAGGACGACGCAGAGTAGTAGTTGTTTCCTCCTGGGCTCGGCGCTGTTGTAGCGTTTAAGAATAGTATGGCTGAAGTTCCGCCGCCTATATTACCTTGACTTCTAGCAAGCGTGTTCTCAGCGTTCTTCCTCTGATCGGCATCACAAAGCGGACACGTGATGTGACGTTTTTCCTGTAAGCACAGGCGGGAAAGACGTGCAAAACATGCTTTGCAAGTGCTATGAGGACAGCACGTTGTTCCGGTTATACTCGCGTAGCTCTCAGCAAGTGGTTCATCACAATGGCATAGAGAACAGGTACTGGTTAGACCAGCACAGTTGTGCGTCGTCAAGAATGCGTCTCTCCCATGTAGTGTTCTCGTCGGAAATGCGTCTCTCCCATTATATCCTCTCCCTTGATTGTTCAGAAGGGACGTAGGAAAAGGTCTTTGGTGTCTTGCAGAGAATTGATCGGTTGACGACGACGCTGTAGAAGCTGCGAAAGGGACAGCGATGTTGCTAGCAATGTCGCCAGCGTAGCTGCGAACACTGCCATGGGCGTCATGAGCACTAAGGCAGATCAGAAACAGGGAAACTTCTACCAACCAACAAAGCGCAACACTTGGACTTGCAGCTCTGTACTTCGACAACGCGGCCATGTTCTTGCTTACCATATTTGCATCCTAGTCGTGGAATTCGATTCGCCTATTTCTAATTTTCCATTACGCTTTCTGACCTCATATTATCTGCTTATTTAGCAGCGTGCATGAGTTTTCATTATAGTCATTCAGGGAAGAGCTACGCAAGACTGCGTCTAAGACCATAACCTCCACACGACAACAACTTCTCTCTCACAGTTTTCTTCTCATTTAATCTGAATGGCTACCATGTTCATGTTGATCGTGTGGACATTCGCTTCGCTTTCAGGATCTTATCGACTTTAACAGTTGCTCGTGCTCGTCCCCGGGCCCTATAAGAGCCAGTGGCTATAATGATAACGTCATCTACCACGACAAGCACGTACGAAAAAGAAATGACAGGTGGACAGTGACAGAGGACAAGCAAAAAAGAATTCACATAGTTGATCTATCCTCCTTCTTAGATTCAAGTAGGCGAGCAAAGAATTGCCAGCCACAGGTTGTAAGCAAGCATGATCTTCAGCAATGTGTCACCTGCTAGTTGTACCTACAGTGTATTTCTTTGTTCTCAAAAATGCGTTTGCGTCTACTTCATGGAAGGTACTGTCGTGTTAGATTCATGTTCAAAAAATGGAAATCGCTAAGGGTTGTTCCTGATATTATCTTTCTAGGTAAAATGACTATGACAATTTTGTTCTACTTGAGGCAACTTAGTAAACATTAACTGACTCAGGAAAATTGAGTTATGTTCTTGTGTGGGTATAATGAAAATGAGGACAAGCACAAGAGGGAGTTCGATATTAGAGGTGTCGGGAATCCATCTCAGGGATCGTCTGGGTCCCTCTTTCCTCTTGTCTTTCTCTTCCAGATGACTGTGGAGATGAATTCCCTACATCCCATAATGGTATTTCCTTTATTTCGGTCGACGACTCCCAAGTCTTTTCCACTCCTTTGCTGAAAGAAGTGCTTCAGCAGTATATCGAGACTTACAACTATGAATTGTTTACTTTCATCGAATACCTTAAATCACAAGTAAAAAGTCAATTTCTGCGGGCAAAATCCTGGACAACATGTCGAGACGCATAATAGGCTGAAGTACTTCTTTCAACATAGTGAGAAGATGAAGCTGTTGTATCTATTTTTTCTGGTCGTCCTCAACAGAACCAGAAGTAGTCAACTTCGCGCCTATTAGAGACGTGCCTGGACTCAGCTTGGCTTCTGTCGCTTCTGGTTCGCCCGCGTTATTTGTCGAGTCTTGTTGTACTTCGGCGGCTGAAGGAGCTGGAGGTACTAGACGAACACGAGAAGAAGACGAGGTGGTAGCACTAGCACCTTCTACTTTTAGGTCGGATATAATTTGTTTTCCTGATGATCCAGGTCCCTGTTGAATTTCCATAGACTTAAAAGTAGACGCGTTGTTCTGAGAGTCGCTGAGAGTGTGCTTCCGCTTATCGGACGCTGCTTTTGGAGAATCATGATCTGCAGCTCTTCTTTCGCCTTGCACCGGTGCTACTATTAAAGCTCAGCATTCAAGGGTCACTGACTCTGAACGGAAGGGACCCCCTTCAAAGCTCTCCCCTTTCCCTTTTCCCTTCTCCCCTTTTCCCTCTCAAGGGAAGGTCGCCGCTTCGATCTCAGTGACCAACCCCAATGACCATTGAAAGTTGAGCCTTAATACTGCCTTCTTGTGGTTACCTCCGCATTTCTTGGGATCGCCCGATTTAGATGAAGTATTGACACTGTGGTCCTCCGCATTTCTTGGGATCGCCCGATTTAGATTCTTGTTCGGTAGAAAAGCCAGATATTTTTCGCTCGTCCTGTCAACTGGTGTGATCGGACTGACATCTTCACCAGTAGAAGAGGAATGGATCTTCTCGCTAGGTGGAGCTGGAGCTGGTGGTGCGCCTTTATTTACTTTTTTGTTGATTTGATTACAACCGGCAATATCTCCATCTTCTACTTGTAGTTGTACTTGCTCGTGCTTTATTTTGGGCGGAAAGGGGATCTTCACATTTCTTCTATCAGGATTCTCAATACTAGAAGAAGACGCAAGAGCGGCTTTCCTAGTTGATGGCGCTGTGTATGATACTGTGGATGCCGCAGCCTCCTCTGATTTTCGACCTTCTTCTACCTCTGATTTTTGCGTTTGCCTATTTCTCGGCTTAGAAGTAGATGACTTCCCGCGTGTTCGTGCAGAAACCGATATTGCTCCTCCTTTCTTTCTCTGCCTGACGTCCCTGTCCGCTATATTATTCTTACCTCCTGTACTAGGCTTTTTGATGAGATCTTTTCGCGGTTTCAACACGATGCCAACTGTGGGCTTAGCTTCTCGCTCCTTCTGTTGCGGCGGCCGGATCAACTGTGAATTTATTGCGTTGCAATTGGCATTCGCATAATTATCTACATAAATATTCTATAATAAGAGTGATTAGGGAATTTCAGGAAATGAAAAGAGCGAAGTACGTAGTACGTACTAATTACATGAATAAAGAACTGATCACGAAAAGCGTGGTCGCCATTTTTATCTCCTCGGGAGTGGGTCGTGGGATGGATTGACTGGCACCCCGAGTAATACTCCGAGTCTACCGGCGGGACGATCCTATGATTCCAACAGTGTGTCCCAGGGACGGCCGTGGACCTGCGAAGCCTAAGTAATGAGGGGGCGCGGCAAATCAGTCTACAGCCGATCTCTCTGAAAGAGAGAAGAGGGTAGGCGGGCTGGATGAACATGAAGACCATGCAAAAAAGTGCGAGAAACTATGTGTGTGTCCAATACTCGGGAGCTACCTAGTGCTGCGTCTCCTAAGTCGAACTGAATCGGACAAGAGCATATTGCCTCACTTTCTATTTTCGTCAGAATGGAGCAGCGGCGCTCTTCATGGACGAGCAAAGCGATGCGAGTGAGTCCATCAGTAACGTTCTCAGCTATCATAAGGGCAAACTCAACGGCATCGATAAGTGGGCACTATCTATAAATAACTACGTACCAGAGGCTTGGACGGTAGTGCTAGCTAGGCGGCGGGCGTTTCAAGTCCAACAAAGGCAGAGCCAGATACCCAGCCACGCGCATCTATGAAGATGCAACGATAGCGAATAGAAACCAAGGAAAACTACGTACAATCAAAGGAGTAAAGTGAAGTTGGGGGCTGCCTCCGTCCAGCACAGCCGTAGCGGAGGAGCACTGGCTGCGCGGCAATGCGCCAACCCCCGCCTCAACGTCACCAAATCCGCCCAAAAACTTCACCCAAGGTGGGGAAAAAGTAGCCGACTTGTACAACTTCACCAAAACCGAAGAGACTAGCAACAACATACGAACGCCTCCGCAGACGAGAGAAAATATAACGAACAAGAGAAGCACCACCAGAACCCACACGCGCAGCCACGCAGCTGCAGCGTGGCGCGGTACTGTACTGCGAAGCACCGCTTTCGAAGACTGGGCGGCTTTCTCCCCCGCGGCGCCGTGCCTGCCTTGTGTGTTGCTTTCGACACCCATCGGCCCGCGCCTGCTTATTCGATGCTGGTGCTCACGTAGCTGCCTCTGGGCCAGCCTCCACCCTCACCCGTCAGGCCGTCAAGCGGCGCAGCCTCTTCACCTTGGTCACTGCTCTTATTCCCCACCAGGTTGCCCCGTGTCCCCGCCCTTCCAAGCTTTGGGGCCGGGTCCCCCTCCACCAGCCCACGGCCCGGCCCCCTCCACTCCATGACACAGAACACACACCGACCACAAAGCCCGAACGCGCAAAAACCTGCAGAAGGATGCGCGAGCGTGCACCCACTTGCAGCCGATAGTTTAAAAATTACCACGAAGCCAAGCCCTTCAGCCATCAGTGCGGCCCCATGGAGAGCCAGCCCCGAGCCCCTCTGGCCAGAGGCGGGGGCAGTGTGATGCCTGGGCAACCGCCTGGAAGGTAAGCAAGGCCATCGCACTCCAGCTGCGAGTGCTCGACAGCACCAAGCCGCTAGCCTGTCCAGCCAAAGTCCAAGCCCGCTCCTCCGTCGTGCGGCCTTCGTTCAGAAGCACCGAAATCCTCCAGCGGCATGGCAGTCAGGGGAAGTAGTACTTGAAAACAAGAAGGACCCAGAAAAGTAAAGAGAGACCAAAAAAGTCACCAAGTTCCTGGCGCGTATGCCCCAGGGCCAGGCCAGACATGCCATGGCATTCGAGGCCAGGCCAACACACAAGAAGACGAGAAAGGGGCCAACGCCCTAACTGCTAGACATTCACCAGCCACGAAGTTACGCGCGTACCCCTCTCGAAAGGGTTCCCGCTCATTTTAGACTCGTCCGCCATTAATTTGCGCAAAATCTGCGGGCTTGTGACACTCCAACACCCGCCGCCGCAAATCGTTCACCCAACCGCGGAGAGCGAGCCTACCCAATTTTTAGCAAAAGCGACCCGGCGCTAGTACACCGCGCGGCGACAGCTTGAGCCCATGGCGTGGGGGTGCCTTCCTGTCCCTCACGGGTGAGCTAGAAGCACTCCCGGGGCTTTTGCTTTTGCTCTTGGTCTTGCTTGCTGCTCCTGATGCCAAGCGAAGCGCTGCCTCCCTTGTTGGCGTTGAGACGACACCACTACCCAAAAGCCGCAACCTACTTGGACAGCACTCGCCAAGCCTGGGCGAGCTATAGCGGGGCCCGTTGCCATTCCTGACAAAAGGCAACGCGCTGCCCCCCCCTGGTGGCGTGGTTGGGGCGTGGCTGCTGCTTCCAGGTCGTTGCAGCTGGATCAGCTTCCCCGGCACCTGGAGTAGCTACCGCGCGGCCTGTTGTAATTCCTGAAGATACAAAACAAAGAGACGCCGTCGCCGTGCCCCCCTTGTTGTCGTCGAAAAAAAAGAGACGCGCAAGACTTTCGGGCGCAGGCTGCACTGCTGCAGGCGCCCAGCAGTATCACACTCGCACAAGCGGGGCTTTGGCAGAAAAGAAAGATAGCACACGAAATATAGCGCGGCAAAGTATACCATACCTGCCGGAAATGTGACTGGGGGCCACTTGCTAATGCTTCATCGGAAGTGCCATCAGCAGCATTCTCGCCACGCGGCCTTCGCTTTTCTAGATGGACTCTCTCCGACGTCGCGCGCCGTCTTTGCGATAGGGGTGCCTGGTGGTAGGGTTTATGGTATTACTGAATTCTAGGTGCAGCAGGGATTACGATTATGCGTGTGCATGCAGATGTGTTGTGGTTAGACTCTCAATGGAAATTCCTTCGAAATGTCGGATTTTTTCCTTACATCTGCTGGGTCGGGATACCTTCGAAGCATTAATTGGGTATTCTTGTCAAATGTACTTTAGGTCGCGTGGGCGTGATCAATGGTCTAAGAAACTGTAGGCAAGATACCGGAACGAGCACAATTCCTCTAGTCTTTTTTCGCCTGTGTTTGCGGGGTGAGCCTTCATCCGAACTCGTCGGTTGATATCGACGAGGAGGACAATGGCGCTCGTCTCGTTGCGTGCATGAAATCTCGCAAGATTCCGCAAAGCGACTCCCCGAAGATGCGGAACCATAGCGCGGCTCGCGTTCCTCAAGACTCCTTGGACGATGCTCAGACGCGCGAACTAACACTAACTCATCTTGTTTTTCTTGTGCCAGGTAATGCCGGCTTTGTTGATGTCGTTCGTTCGCAACTACTCCGTGGGATTGAGGAGGGCGCTCCAGGTGGACTACTTGTCGTGTTGCATCATCTCGACGTCGTTCGATTGCTGGACGTGAAGAAAAAGGCAAGTGCTTGTTGTATACTCTGTGCGTGAGTATCTTACTTCGAGAGGACCTGGCGGTGGAGGCACTTTCCAGCCCAGCACTATTGATATAGCGTTGTCGCTTGGATTGGCGCGCAATCTCATCCGTCCCTACGAGTACGTGGCTTTCTTGTGCTGCTCCCTTTCTCCTTCTGGAGATCGGAGAAGAGGAAGTGCGATGATCATGATTATGGCTCCTAGCAACGCTATCACTACGGCTTCGCCGTGTTCTTGACCGCTCTTTTTCGACACGAGGCTTTGGATTTTGTTTTCTTTTCTCGGTATCTTTGCGTTTACCGGTGTTCTTCTTACCCTGCTCAATGGAAGACCAAGGCTCGCGTCGAACTAGTCCTAGTCCTCTGGAGATGTTGTAAGGGTCGTGGACGGGGAGTGAAGATTTCTTATTCCTACATGATGAGGGCTCTGAACTTGAGGAGCTACCACTAGAGTCACCCTTTTTCGCGGCATTCTCGTCAGACGATGACATTGACAAGTCGTGGAGGTCGTCACTCGAATTCGACGATGAAGATGAAAGCGAGGGGCCACGCCTTCTACTCGTCGAAGACTCTGCTCGTCTCCTCTTGTTACTAACCCTGACCGGATCAACGTTCTTCATATTATCAAAGTCCCCTTCATGTTCAGGTTTACCATCTTCTTCGCCCGGTTTCCCTTTTACAACCTCAGTTTCTGGAGGATCGTCATGCCGTTGTTCATCTGGTGCTGGGACAGAAGGACTAGTTGAGCTAGAGCTAGCGCTCTTGCTTGTTTCCTTCACCAGAGGTGGTCCGGTGCCACCTCTAGTTTTTGTTTTTCGAAGTCTTCTTGACTTCTCTCCATCCTGCCGCCCCTTCTCGTCCGGCTTGGAGTCAGAGAGTCTCCTTTTTTTGTTAGTACTGCTAGGTTGATGAGAAGATGTTAAGCCACCGGCTGTTCCCAATAAATCTTCCCTCTTTTCTATGAAGCGAAAGAGTGCACTCACACTCAAGGAATTGGCTAGGATTTAAGTAGGAAAATAGCCACTCTTTTTGAGTGTGAGTGCACTTTTTTCTTTCATATTTTCACAACGAACGGGGCCTGACTTCTTCTGCCCTATACTAGCGCGCGTCTTCTTTTCTCGTTCTCCAGTACGCTTCCGCATATCATGATTTTTCGGACGACCACGACTACCTTTGACTTTGTCCTTGTCGTCCCTGGACGAGGATGGTGCGAGCTCTTTGTCGACGTCCACTGCGCGTGCTGACGACAAAGCCCGATCTTCCGATGCAGCTGCGTCAACGATTTTCGTCGCTGACCTTTCTGCTCCAGTTGAACTCGACGATGATGGGCTTGCTGCTGTGGTTGTGGTCATTTTGTTGTTACTATTCGGAGAAGAAGAAGGTCGTGGGACCCAAATGAAGCCCTTGTTATTTTTTACAGCTGCGGAAGCCGCGCTCCAACCACTACGCGACGTCGATCTGCACGGACTATCAGCGTCACCGGTGAACCCCCACAAATCTGAAATCTCCTGCTTATCGCAGGACGTCGAGCCCATGGTTGTTGGGGCCCACAGAGCTGCTCTTGTGCCAGACGTGTTTGTTTGAAGAGAGGAGCTGGTGCTTGTTTCAAGACATGTACTGATGTTGGTGTGTGTTTCTTCATTAACCTCAGAAGGACCACCTACTTCGGGGAGCATAAGTGCTGGAGGAACTACAGAAGGAACAATAGAAGGACCCGCCACAGAACTGCTACTATTTGTACAAGAACTAGCAGAAGGCGGACCAATCGGAGGTGGCCCTATCAAAGCTCCCATCGCAGAGCATGGTGCTAGTGCTAGTCCTATGACGGCACCGAGTGGCAATAGTACTGCTGGCGCACTGGAACTACTGTGTTGAACTTGATCTGGCCGTGGATTGAAACTCGCATACACTAGCGAAGGCGAGTTCGACGGTGATGAAAGCGCAGTGGCCCAGCTGTCATTATTTAGCGCAGGAGCCCAAGAAGAAGAACTATTATAATTATTCTTGATCTGCTGCTCACCTTCAAGTTCAGCTGCTGCCAAGGGGATTATATCCGAGTTTGTCATGATCGTTACAGAGGGTACATCAACTTGAGGAGCCTCCGGGCTGTTTGTGAGAGGGGTGTTCGGAATGCTAGTGGGATTTAGTTCGACAACAGCGGATGAGGCGTTCCAAGCTGAACGAACTATCCTGTCAGAAGGCGGATCGTTTGCAGCGGTGCTGTTGCTGCTGGTCGAAGTCGTGGCCACTGTTATCGAAGATATGCAAGTGCTAGCGACGTCAACGGAGGTCGTCGTAGTGTGTTCTAAACTAGGAGCGCTGCCGACTTGTTGACATGCGACAGTCATACCTTGTTCTTTTGTTACAACTACAGGAGCTGCTGCTTGGCCATCGCAACTAGGTATCTCAGCATCTTCTACTTCGGCTGGTTCATCATATTGAAGACAAGACCCTCCCGCTTTCTTGTCATCCTCATCCACTGCTGTTGAATCTATTTTCTCGTCAGCTTCGTCAGGGGCAAGAAGTGGAGCTACTTCGGAAGACAAAGGGGAGGTAACCACTGGCACGCTGTGCTGTATACTTGGGACGGGTAGATCGGATGTTTCAACTGGGACTTCAATAACAAGTGTAGCCTCTACTATTCCCTGAACTTGATTGACATCAGGAGCACTCGTAGCTTCTTCTGCTACCGTCGCAGCACCAAGCACAACCGCGCTTTTTTTCTGACCTTGTGGGCAATCTACACTCGCAGAAGCCGCGACAGGCAGGACCGAAACCGAGTCAGTTACGGAATAATCAATATCAAGTGCAGGCGCGGCAGCTGCAGCAGCCTGTTCTACGACTCCTGTATCAACATTTTCCGGTCCTTCAGTTTCGCGGTGATGCTTAATTTCAGTTTCACGACGTACCTGGTGGTCAGAGAGAGCTCCTGCACCATCATGGATATCGATGTTTTTGCCTGCCTCCTCGGGTGCAACCCGTGGAACTCCCGCTTGCAATCCAGAGCAAGACGCAAAGGGGGATGGAGAAGGTGCTTGCTCTGCTGAGCGGGGCTTCATGTCTGTGGAGTTTTCGTATCGCTCCTGCACTAGTAAAGTACCTGGATCGTGGTCCACTGCTTTCTCGGTCGTCTGTACTAGGCCCTCCATCTGGACTACAACTTCATCTGGATCTGCAATGGGAACCGAGACTGCAGCGCATGATTGTATAACATCCAGCGAAGTAGAGCACCCTAGCGACGGCGATCTAGTAGTGCTGTCACCCTGTGCGCCTCCGCCTCCTGCTTGTAAGGGCAAATGAAGATCGCTTGCGGAAGATGCGGTCTGTTCGACGTCCTCTTCCTTTGTAGGCTGCTGCGAAGAAGGTTGCGGTCGTTGCGCAGCGCCAACACTAGAAATGTTGTTCTCACCCAGTAGTGGTACTGTTTTTGATGAAAGTACTAGCGCGTTTTCGTCTCTTGGTGCGACTGGTGCAAAGGGATCGCCATTACAACAGTCACCTTTCCCATTCATATTCATTTCTTCGTGTACTACCTTCAGGTGCGCCGCTTCCTCTATCCTCGTGACCGATTTTTGTTCCGCTTGTTGTTTCGTTTTGAGCGCAGGTCCTCGTTTTGAGTGCTTTATCGGGACATCCAGTGGCACGCCGTCGATCGAATCCGAATCCTCGTGATCGTCGTCATGTGCTTCAGGGACCACTGTGGAGACATCCTCTTTCGCCGGAAGTTGATGATCGAACTTGCCTTCTTCTGCGGGTGGAGCAGACTCTTGCTCCGTCATGGTCATCTCACCAATTTTTAGTGCGTCGTGTGCCTTGTCTGGTACACGCGTTTTCATCGGATTTGACGCTTCTGCGGGGTTAGACTCTACTGGCTGAACGGGTACGGAGGTTTTTTGCTTCTCCTCTGCCGCTCCTGGAGGCGGAGTAGAGGATCTTAACTGCTCCGGCTGTGCTACCGCATCGCTCGGCTGCGGCGTCGTGGGCCCATGCGCAGCCAAAAATTTGCTACGACCCACTTTCAGAGACGCAGGCAACACGAGGACTGAAGTAGTTGGCTCTTGGCATGGTCCTCTGCCACTAGGATCGTTGCTCGATCCTAAAAATTGTAGTTGTTGTGGTGGTGACGAAGGCGAGTTACCTCCTGATGTTGTCCGAGACCATGTTATCGTCTTCGCGTTCCCGGACGGATCATACCAAACAAGTCGAGTCCCGAAGACACTGCGCGCAGTGTCGAGATAGAGGAAACCACATTGATAACGACCGGGTGAAACCTCCCGCAATTCGAATTAGAGAGCATGAGCAACAACTTGTCAACAAAGAAGCAAGAGCAACAACAACCTCAAGTCAACAAAGAAGCAAGAGCATGGAGACTTGAGTTTGTTTTTGATTTTGTTAGATACAAGACACTTATTCCTCTTAAGTCAAATTGACTGCGACTTTTTGCCACGGCGGCTTCCAATACGTTACAGCGAGGGGCGTCGCTAGCCCTCTTGCGCCGCGGTTTCGTCCTCCACTGGAGCAGGAATTAGACCGCTCCCTAATAAGCTTTGAAGCGGAGAGAACAGTACTGGAAAGGAAGAATATTATACACCTAGACCATGTAAAGTACCTGTACAGCCTCTCCCTAATAATTCATCCCTGTGGACGAGATCCCTTGTCGAGGACTATGTCTACTATGTCTCAGCGTTTCCCTTGTATTTAGGTGCATACTGTTAAAGGATTCCTATACATAGGGATGGATCTGAGAAAGCCGTAAAGGAACGCCCCACCAAAGCACGGCCGCCATTGTCACAGCTCCAATCACCTGTAAACGACTCCAGAATTTGTGGAGGAGCCCCCATGTGAGATTTGTTTCTCTGACTGTTGGAACTTTCTCCGTGCTGTCTTTGATTTCTTCGATGTCTGGTGGTACCTTGTTCTTGTTCACGATCACGCTCAGCTTGGCCAAAATGGCCTTGTTGATGCTCTTGAAGACCCCCCCCTCTAGTAGTAGTATAAGTGCCACTCCTACAATAACTGCTACTACTAGTTGCCTGCTCCGTCAAGAACTTAGAGTGTCCTATGTTGAGTCCCGCATTCAACTTTGGAGGAGCGCGGGTACTACTTGCGGCGCATGTGTTACTAGCGGAAAACGTTGGACTACATGAAGGCGAGGAGGAAGCCGCTGTCGATGCGGCCTCCTTTGACGTAGACTCTTGGTCGCAAATACGTTCATGTTGTTGTAACATGTAATTTAGGGAGGATCCTTGCGCAGTTGTGATTTTGCCTTCTCCTACTTCTAGTTCAACGTCTTTCGGAAGTGCTGCAGGAGCTGGTGCGTGTGCGTCCCCCCCTTTTACTTCGTTCATTTTAGCTGAGTCTGTCGTGGTGCCTGCTGGAGCTGCTGTTCTTCTAGAAGTACAGGAGCTGCCCAATTGGAATTTTTCCCCTTGAGCTATTGCCGGTGTGACGGCGTTGTCATCGCTGGTCCAACTAGCTGCAGTCGCCGGCGCGAGCTCACTCTTCTGTCCTTCTCCTTGTACCACAGCTGCGTTGCTCTGTTCGTCTGATGCTGGACCGTCTTGCTTTCCATGAACTACAGGAGTTGCCTTCGTTGTCGACATATATTCATCTAGTTTCGGTTCCACGACATTGACATTTTTAGCATGTTGTCGTACCTCCTGTGCACTGGTGCCATGATTTGTTCCATCAATGTGCCTTTCTGCCGTCGTTGACAGTTCGTCTGTGCCGCTACAAGTAAGCTGCTCAGGAGATTCCACTTTGCTATCTTTTTTTCGCTTCTTCTCTAGTGCGAAGTCATTCTCGTTATTTGAGAGTTGAGGCGCGAACGCGGCATAAAGTGGTGCACTAAGGCTGATGCTGCTAGCCATGCACGGGGGAAGCTTGGCAAACTCAGGCGGAGTGGGTCGCTTCTTAAAACCACGAAGTGGCAACATATTCACAAAATTGTCATTCTCATCTATACTACTAGCTGTTGTGCTAGACTTTGTTGAAGGTGCGTCACGGCGTAATAACTGTGAAACGCCAACGTTAATGTTGCTACTCATCCCCGCGTTAGTACGGCCAACTGTTGTACTAGATGCAGTAGTGTTTTCACAGCTTGAAGAGGCTTGCTCGGAAGACAAAATGTCAAGCGTCACTGTGTCAGAGGGGAAAGCTGACGCTGTTTTTGCCCTATGGCTCTTAGTCGTGGTTTTGCTATTTCTGTTAGCCCAAGGCGGCGCCGCGTCTTTATGGTCCTTTCCCCCGTAGTGAAGATCAACGCCAGCACTCCCTCTACTGTAGTTGGTGGTGCTTGATGTGGTTGAGTGTTTGAGAGGTTCTATAGTCGTGATGCTACGAAGGCCAAGCAAATTTGATGACTTCGATCCGCTTGATGGAGATGAGGAGAACGAGACGGAGCAAGTTTTAATATGTGGACCGCCAGCACCAGATCCCGGAGAAGAAACTTGAACTTGCCCCGCAAGGATCCCTAGCCCTGCAGCTCCTCCAATGATCACAGTCGAGGTCGTACCAGTGCCAGTCGCAGTAATATCGCAGACCTCGTCGCCAGCACTAGTTCCGTTTCCCGTTTGTTTCCGTAACTGCTTCCATGGTGGTGCTGCACTACTCCTCTCTTGTGCTGCATCAACGCTAGCTGATGTTACAAACTGCTGAGCCTGTAGTTCTTGTTGAACGACAGGACCACGACCATGGTTTGAATTTATTGGTCCAGAGAGATGGTTCGAATCAGCATGTTGAGCCTGCCCTTGATTAAGCCCGGCCTGATCTGCGTGGTACAAGCGCTGCAGTTGCGCTCTTATGCCTCCTCCTGTACTAGCATTATCGTCTGGGAGCTGAAAATACAAATCCGCCACACCTTGTAACTCTGAGGACAGCTGCTGCGCGACCACGCTTCTCGCAGCAGCATAATTGAACGACGTCATTTTTTATGATCTACAACCGAGCAAAATCACGTCATATGCTAGTCAAAAATGATCTCCTGGAAAACCTCACCGTCACCTTCGACTTAATTTTCCTTAATAAACTTCTGGAGGAGGAGCACAAGGATCCAGAGGGGCACAAGGATCCAGAATGGGAATGGACTTGAAGAGATGACATTCTGCTTCATCTCTATAAGTCAGCACAGAATCACGGTAGCAAACAGACTCAACATTCATAATATCGCCTGTACTTCTTCCGAGGCATGAAAAATGTGGCCCTGCGAATAATTAAAAGCATGTAAAACTAAGTACATCGAAATTATGGAAAATATTGACATCGATATGGATATCATGTGTTCAAATACCAAAATGGTCGGATCCAGCAAGTCTATCCAGTTCTAAATTAGCATTACTTCGTTAGCAATGGTTGTAAGAATTCAGAGACTTCTGCATCAAAGTTTATTCTACAACGAACACCACAAGAGAACTAAACTACTGTGTTAACAACGGAGACAACATCTTCAGTGTCTCATCCTCATGCCTCCACTACAGACCCGACGCCGACCACAACAATTATAACGACGCAAACACAACTTGTCCGCGAAGTAGTGCGAGAAGCGCACGAGAACAGACGGATTCGTAGTTGTCCGAATCCTCAACTTTTGTGCCCCAAAAACCCAGACAAAGTATTCTCTTGTCATATATTGGCACTCCTGAAGCAGACACGTATTTTTTGAAATACCGCAACTAGAAGCAATTTTTTGTATACGGCAAGAACTGACTCTTATACACTTATGCGGAAACTGATTCTACTGGTACTGATTGAATAAACCGTGGTGGTGCTTAATTATCCTATTCCGGTATAATCGTGAAGAGCTTGGACAACATGAAATCAAGAACATAATAATCAAGCTAAATGATATCATGGCAAATCATCTGGTGTCGTAACTGTGATATATGCCAGCTATAACGTCGAGACTTTCTTCGTTTTTTGCGTCCTGTTGATCCTTCGATCCGCGCTTGTCTTCTACAAAATCTACTGCATTGAAGGTGATATGGCTCATGTTCTACAACAGGTCAACAAGAACCTAGGTCAAGGTCCTACTGCAAAAACATATTCGAAAAACTGATTGAAATAAGCAAGTAACTGATCAGAATGACCGAGATATTGGTGCGAAGGAAGGATAGCCTTGATGTTAAGCTGCCTCCCTTATTTCAGTTAGTAACTCGGTTATTTTGAGCTTTCGAATAAATAACGACTACAGTTCGCCCACCTTACCGCTTCTCCGAGCTGAAGCTGCAGCGCTTTTCACTGCCGCTTTCTTCCCGTTTTTGGATGATGCTGACGAAGCTTTCTTACCGTTTTTGGATGATGATGACGCTGAGGCTGAAGCTGAGGCTGAGGCTGAGGCTGAGGCAGCGCCAGCACTACTTCTAGTTGAAGCAGCTCCCATCTTAGTGGTCCGCTTCGCTGCACTAGCACCTACCGAAGAAGAAAAAGAAGAAGAAGAAGAAGAAGAAGAAGTATCAGAAGCAGCTATAGCTTGTGCTTCTGGAGCGCTTATGGCCGCTTTTTTCGCGTCGAACTTGGTGACACGTATGACCAACACCGTTCTTACACCCTGCGCGTCTGGATTGGTGAACTCTGCAGTGTGTTTCATGCCATCATTGAAGCAAAACATGCTTCCTCCTGTCTGCTCCATATGACCATCTCCAACTGTCAACAGCGCGCGAGAAGCAGACGCTGATGCGATAGATTATATTGGATATTTGAAATTTTTGGAGTTTTGAAATTTTCTATTCTTGCGAAGACGATAAGAATGAACTAAGTACACTAACAAGTCGTGAAATTACTTGATTACAACTTCTGAGCAGCAACTTCTATTCGCGAAGACATCATCTACATTTTCACAATAAATCACCTCACATGTTGAAAAACTATCCACGAAGACGAACAGGAACGAGGAATAGTAACAGGTATACAAATACAACATCAGACACACTCTTAACACAGTAGTACCTTCAGGCGTTTCGAGAGTCAGATGAAGGTTAATTTGCGAGTTGCTGCGTCCACAGTGTGGAGATGTTCTGGCGCTTCCCTGCATTCGAAGAAACAGCACTTCTTCTGTATTCGATAATGCCTCTTGTCGTGCTGCTAAAAGACGTTTTGCCTTGTCTGAAGTGGGCTGGCGGACTTCTAGATTAGAGGGCTTTATCCTACTTACTTTGTCGAGTTGGTACATGATTCTTCAGGAAATCAAAATTGATGTTACCTGCTTGAAGAACGAGTCGTAACTCTTGATGTGGTACTGATGATGGAAAGATGTCTCGAGGAGAACGACCTCCTAAACCTTCTTCTCATGATGTCTTCAACATGTCTTGTGCTTGTCTCCAACTCCAAAGAAACCTAACTATCTTAATACGTAACATGGTAATCATTATGTATGATGCTCATTTGTCCCCGAAACTTCTTGTACATAACTCTATCACATTTATCCGCCGAAGTGATATTGAGGTGTTTGCATCGCACAGTGGGATAATCGGTGGCCTCTGGGCTTGGGAGAACGCGCTTCAACAGGGCACACAGTCCCGGAAGGTAACGGTCGCACAAATGTTGAGATTCTTAGCGCTTGCCGTAATCCATCTCCATCTTAAGGTATGCATCCTGTAGCTCCTGAGCCTCAATTTGAATTGGGAAACTTGCTTTAGCCTTGAGACGTCTCTTCAGGATGATGTCGCGGAAGATGGATTAGGGATCACGTCCTAAGATTCCCATTTCGATTTTCGATACACCCACAGTACTTCCCAGGAGCCATCGCGGTCCAGGTAGGAGAACGCTGGCTGAAACAGGCTGCGCGGCACAGACAGGTACTCTTTCTTCACTGCTGAAAAATTCTCTCGCAAGATCTGTGGCAACGTCAACGATGGTGACAAGGATGATGAGGGTGCTGTACTAGGTGTATTTGAACTTGAAGGCTTCCTCTTCGCTTCCTGCTGCTCAGAAAATTTATTCCATTGCGCAAATTCATTCACGATATCTCCAGCCCAAGCCTTCTCACAATCATAGATGCCGCTCGTTCCTTGATCCGATTCTTCAAAAAACACCGTAGGTGTCCAGTAAACCTGGTGTAGTGGTTCAGCATTGTCATGAGGAGGAATTTTTATCATCTATCACCATCACATGATGAATCTCCAACAAACTCAAAAAAAGTATATTAACGAGCCTAGACAAAGACACGCACGCAAAATTTCCTGGAGTGATACGATTTTCTCAACTTCTACATGCTGTTGTAGTTGCGTGTAATATTCAGATCTACTTTATTTACTTCTATTCCTACTCGCTAAAGTAAAGATAGAACAAGATAACGACTCTAATCGGTATAGCCTTAGCCACAGATGGGTGCATAAAATAAGATGGCCTTCGTCCCAATCCCATGTCCTTGCTCAACAACTCGAGGCGGGCTCTGATGTTGTGGTTGCTCTAAAAGAACAAACCGAGAGATGCTATGACAGAGGCACTGCAGCCAGTCCAGAGGATGGGCCTACAGACAGCGCCCGGCTGATTATCAGTCAGCAAGACGGGGGACACACACCACAAGAATGAAGACAAGCGAGGCGCGCGATCCGAGCGACGGCGGACGCCCGCCGCCAATGCCCGCCGCCAATGCTTTCAAACAAGCAGACAAAGCCGAAGGGACCAGAGCAGCCACCCCGGGAAACTTCTCGACAGGTGGGGCGAGGCCCGTGGGGGTGGAAAGGTAAACGGAAACGCCGCCCGTGGCGGAGCTCGGACTAAGGCACAGCGCCTCCGACTGATATTCCCCAACAAGGCGAAGCCCCACCGGTAAAAAACAAAAAAGAGCGAGACCTATGAGTATAACTAAATAAGGCGAATCAGTGGCGTGGCCCTTCTTGGCGGTCCCAGTCGCTGTTTCATTCGCCCACAGGCGGCCTGCCTCCTAATCATGCTGCTCGAAGCAGAGCGATGATTTTGTGGGAGGACGCTCAAGGAAGAAAGACACGCAAGCGCAGCGCCTTTGTATTGGCGCCTTGGCGCAAGCGCTTGGACACCTTAGCCACGGCCCTTGCGCCTTGCGGCCATTTTTGGTGACAACCTGCCCACGCCCGTCGCTTCTCCTGAACCTGCCGAAGCAAAGCGAGGCGCCCGGTCTGCTGGCTTCGTCCGCGGCCTCCACCGTCACGCGCGGCCTGGAAAGCATGCCAACGAAACACCAACACGCAGCCGAAAGAACGCAATGCAGAACAAAAAACGCCGCGGCCTTTTACTAGTTACCACTGCCGTTGGCTCTGCTTAATATCATGCACCCCCTCGCGATCTTATACCTAGACAAGCCTCGCCGCCGTTTCTATTCTGTGGCGAATGTGACCCAGGGGTGGACTAACTTGCTCGGGCGGCTGCGCTGCTGGCGTGTGTTCACCCTCGTTTCACTTTCACTGCTAGGCAAGCCGGTTGCTTAGTTTGCCGACCCCGCAGCCTTGGCACATGTCCGTCGCCCGTGAGCTGGCACCCCAGACAACGCGGCGGGGCTTGCCACCCTAGGGGAGAGAGCTGGAGGAGACCACGAGGCCCACCGCGCTGGCCGCTGGGGCGCGAGGGTCGGCCGCGATCCTGGAAGGCGTGCCGCAGTCCCTACCTGTGGACTCCTTCGCCGCGTTTCTCTTTCTTTTTGTCACAAGCACGAAAACAAAAGCGAAGGGCCAAGCCCTCGACCTCTATTCTTTGCCTCCGTCACTTGCCGAACGCATTGCGTGCCCTATGCCTGTCAAGCTTCCTATCACCAAGACCAGAACCAGAAAGACCCACAGGGACAACTACTCTAGGACGCCCCGCCCTGCGTCTTGTTCACATCTTTTGCGCATGCCTCAGCGGACAAAAACGGCGCTGAAAACGAACCAACGGCCACAGCTGCCCCATTCTGGGCACTCCTTGCGAAGGGGGTGCGGCGCTGATGCTTGCCACGCGCTGTGAGCCCTCTTCTCGGCGAGAGGTAAGCCTAGATGGCGAAGGGCTACGCGGATGCGGAACGAATCTGCTAGCAAAAAAGTAAAACTCCGAAGGAAGTGCGACGTGGTCTAGGTGAAAAGTTATACCGATGGCCATGGAAGTCCGTTTTCTTTGCCCAGGTTGAATATCTTCGCAGCCAAGTCATCTCTGCGAAGGTACCAGAGCCTTTGGATTGCAGCCTTGAAGCCACCTGCAAGACCGTAGTCACGAGCAGCACTTAGTCTTTCCTTTGATTAGAAGCGGAAGAGTAGTATTAGTAAAGTCTGACCATCTATTTCTAATCATGATGAGGCTGCTAGTGCTATGTATTTCTTCTAGCATTGAAAAGGTGGATGCATAGTGTTTTAGCATCGACGACAAGAGAATGCATTAGAATCGAAGGTCCAAGTTCATAATTATTCTCCACGAGAAAGGTCTTCGTGCAATTGTAGAAATCCGTAGCATCTTCAAATACTGGCGTATCTGTAAAGAGTCCGCAGTTATCGTCACTGATGAATGCTTCCACGCCAAGCGGCAACATCGATGACAGTGCGTGCTGCGTAGCTGCATGCACACTCGATTTGACATGAAAGTTGTAAAAAAGCATGATGTTATTTTTTTGTTGATGCTTCTATTGTTAATGTATCAAGGCGCAAAAAACCAACGGCAACGTTGTGACTAGTATCTACCCTACAACTCTCGGCTGATGATTGATCCGTGGATATCTGCATTGCTTTAGAAAAGTTTGAATAGTCTACGTCTAATATGCTACTGAGTAACTATGAGTACATCTTTTTTCGACATGTCAACAGCAGTCCTCCTCTCTGGTGCATCAACCTACTATTTATAAGTTAGTACTCTATAAAGATAGGGATCTCATACAATGCATCAGCTCCATCCGACAGTAGCGGTAGTACGCTCGCAGGCACAAAGTCCTGCAGCGAAAAGGCATCTGAACCAAAAACAACATGCGAAAGAAGACTCCTACTGAAGCACAAATGATTTCTGCTCAGCAGGAAAAGGACGTTGACCAAGAAGAATAAAGCAGTGGTCAGAGATAACCACGTCGCACACCAAAAGAAGAAGCTAAGCCGACGTTTTGTGCGCCGCCCTCTGGTGCGTATGCTTGTAATTGAGGTATGAAGATCGTTGGTGGCATCGCAACGTGTCTTCAATATTGTTGATGTACTTCTACTTGATGAGGGTTTCTCAAAAGCGAAACATCTGCCAAGAGTCATACGCTCTCCTTCCGAGTCCTGCGCCTTGTGTGTCTTTCGCACTTTCTTTCCATTTTGATGATCTGCTGTAACAAGCGACCACATCTTCAGCATGACTCTGTCTGTCGTACGCGTTAGCCCACCAAGCAGAAACCCAGAAGGCCTACCACTACCACTGTCAGGAGTTGTTCTTGTGAACGTTGTAGGTCGATCCGGCCTTTGCCAGAGCGAGCGTGGAGATGTCGTGGTAGGAACATAGGAAGAAGCTGAACAGGATGAAGGTACTAAACTAGATGGAAACGAAGTCGGCGTCTCAATGTAGTTCAACTTTCTGCTTATCTCGAACAAGGCCTCAGAGGTAGCCCTTTGCTGATTGTGGAAGTTGCTCCTCGCATCGCCATGTTGTTGATCTTCTACTTGCTGGTGTTCTTGTAGTTCTACACGGGAGCTATTTTCGTAAACAATTGCGAGATCATCATCAACATTTGCTTGAGCTTGAGCAGCTATCCTCATTCTCTCTTCCAAGTCCTGTTTGTCATCCACGTCCGACAGAAGCACCTTCGTCTTGTCTGCATTGTCTAATAGTCTTCGTCTTGCCTGCATGGCATTTCGCAGGAGGACGGAAGACACTGTTCTCGTCGCAGCCTGAGCATCATCGAGAAGCGATGAGGATTCTTTTTCTCCTTCTGGAAGCATCACTTTACCTTGTGGTTCGCAAGCCCCGACGCGAAAGGGAACAAAGTCCCCAAAAAGAAAGCAACGGCCTCAAGCGTAGCCAACAGGACGAGAACAAATACACGCCATGCACTTTTGATATTCTGATTCAGATTCAGTGCATAACATACAACTATCTAAAGCAGTATGGTATAATAATCAAGCGACCAGTGGAGCTACTTCTCGCTAACCAACTTCGTCAACATCTAAGAGCATCATCCTCAGATGCCACAAGACAAGCGCCGTCTTTAATTATTACGCGTGCTGAACAAGAACCTGTAATTCGTTAAATCAAATCGTCACATGCCATGCTTCAGAATGCAATAGAAAAGAGTATACAGATACTTTCTTACAGTTCAACATGATCTCGGCTTGGTTCTACTTCTAGATTCATTGATTTAGCATTAGTACCTTGTGAATTCATTCATCCATTCACGCTGCCAGCACCGTCAAACTGGAGTAGAAACAGTCAATATAATAACTATAACAAGCTATTTGTACTTACTTATAAGTAAGTACTTCATCTCAATCTTCATGCTTTCCCTTTTACTGTCACTAGCGCTCCTCGGTGATAAAGGAACATGCTCACACTATCACTATGAGGATCAACGCTCAACGATCATTCCTATGGTGCTCCTCCGTCTCCGACGGATGAAAACCGAGACAAAGGCTGCGCTCTGTTCCTCTCTTTCTTTTGTCATGTCTCTCTCTGTCTCTGTCTCTCTCGTCTCAGCAGGTTCTTCTGTATCTGTTATACATATACTCTTCAATGCCGATCTCTACTTTGTTCCCATGAACACACAGCCACGTCGTGGCAAAGAGATGGCGATCAACAAGATGTCATCGGTTGTGACTCCTTTTCATCATGTTGATCCACATATCGTTTCTTCATCATGTTGATGTAGATTTTACTTGAAAAAGAAATCACTTGCAGTTTCCCGCATGACCCACGCCGGCACTTGATTCTTCGGCTTAGGTTTCGGGCATCCATAGCCGTCTCCGGTCCCGCCTCCGGTTAACTTCCGCGAGCGGCCGAGATCAAAATAGTGGGCGTCCCGGTATCCGCGGTTCTTGTAAAACATGGGAAAGGCCAAGTTGTACATGGGCAGCGGTGGCCGGAAGTAGAAACGTGGCGCGCCTTCCTCGCAAGTGCGCCGACGAAATTGGTTCCCTTCTGGAAGATCGTTCTTGCGAAACTTCTGCACAAAAGCTTGCGCCTCATCAGGAGAGGCACGCGGCACAACTATCCACTTGTTGGGTGGCGGTGCATCTCCGGGTGAAATTACAGGTGGAGTGGCCGCGAAGCACGTCTTTGTTATTCTGGAAGAGGTTTGCTGCTGCTGGTGCCTTTGAAGATGGGACCGCGGCTTAATAGATCTTGTTCCACTAGGAATTCGAATTCCGACCGATCCTTCTAAAGCATGCCCATCCAGCAGATCTTGAGGTGGCATCAACTCCAAAAAAACGACCTGGTTTGATGGAATAGGTGGAGGAGCCTGCGCTTCCTCGCTAGCTTCCCTTCCAGTGGCTTCGTTTTGCCCGGTTTCTGAAAACTTCTCCTCGTCACTATCTGCAGAGCTACTACTACTCGTACTCCCTACTGCCTGGTCAACATCGGCATCCGTAGCATCCACGAATGTTTTATCGACTTTGTCGACGGGATTGTTATTAGAAATTTGAAAATATCTATGTACAGTAAGATTGATACTACAACACAACTACATGAGGATACAAATATGCGACAGGTGGACCACCTGAGGATCACGATCAGACTAATGCCTCACTGAAAATTAACGACAGGCTTAGTCGAGATTTTTCATAATGTAGTATGGATTATTTGCTGCTGGAGGGTGACCCCCTTCAGAATTTACGATGCTACCCGTGTCGCGGCTCGTACTAAATGGATCGGTTGGAACCGCTCCACTTGTTCCTGCTGGTTTATCGTTGCCATTACCGTTATTTGCCACGTTTTTCCCTTTCTTGCCCAACAACGCTGCTTCGATCCCATTCTCTTCGCTATCTCCTGTCAGCACTGCCCCATTCTCGAGCTCCCACTGATCACGCTGCTGCGGTAGTGTTGAGGCGGTCATTGTTGGAGTAGAATGCTTTGTTTTATTCATCTCGGCCCCCCTCGATTCGACCCCCATGAATGTCCTCGTATTTTACGGGAATGGGAAAAGAGTATGGAAGTACGCATCTAGGCCTTAGAATTTCAAGGAAAATAGTGAGACTGTACAGAGATGAAAGAAGTCGTTTTTTTTAAGTGCTGCGCCAGGACGAGTCGGATGGATCAAATCCTGAGAGTGAGAGAGTAGATGAATAAAAGCGACCCTCCATAACGACCTTGTATTAATCGTAGCCGCCCCTTCATGTTCATCTAGTCCAGCCTTTGTAAGGTCTTCTTCTAGCATGTCTTCAGCGCCGTCCTCATTTTCGACCTGTGCGTCTGCAGGAGTTGATGCACCCTCGCTTTCTTGTGTTGCATCCTGGCTTTTAGAGCTCACCCCAATCATCTTCCTCCAGCTCAAGCAGGTAGAAGTGCAACCTGAAGATTGCCTTTTCCCCTTGGAAAACAGACTCTCTCCTAGGATGACTTCTCTCAAAATGGGAGACCATTAGGGGAAGCCTTAAGGCTTTCATCCTTGAGCACGACCTTAGCTCCGTCAGGCACCTCCACAAGCTCACCAGTATCAGCATCTTCAGCTTGAAAACGGCCACTAGCGGTATTAGAAATTTTCTTCTTCTATCAACAAGAAAATGAAAGTCAAAGTTATTTAAATCGAAGATATTTATTTTTAGGTCGTCCATTCGTACTCGTAGTTGCAGGAGTAGCTCAACTCGAGGGCTTCCTAGCATTCTCGTTGTTCTAGTACCGCACGATTCCCCGTTTTCACTGTGATAATTCTTGAAAATTTTACAGTAATATAACTAGTCAAGAGCTCATGCTCACTATCAATAGCTTCTTCATCATATTGAAGTGCTTCAAACATTGTGGTTGTCTTAACACTTAGATTAGTCGGGTGTCGGACGATGTAGACCTTCTCAGTGGCGCTGATCACATGGCCAAGGCTGTTTTCCTCTGCAAAACCTGGTGGGGAGACAAAGGGGCCGTTCGGTAGATCCGCAGCGCCATGTTCCCGAGGAGGTTGGGCTGCAACAGTTAGAGCCTAGAGTAGTTCATTTCGTGCCTGCATTTCTCCCAATCTCAAGAGGGAAAGAAAGCGATAAGCCTCGTAGAAGTGAGAATGAGTTGTATTGAGCCTTAAGACAACACCAAAAGTGTTGGATCCTCTAACGCTGGTTGTGACACCGAGGGAGCCCGTTACTGAGGCTGTAGACGCGAAGCCTGGCGAGTATCTGGAAACCACATCAGGTGCGTTTCGGGGAACGGGGTTGATGATTGCAGAAAAGCTGCGACCGATGAAAGACGTTCCTTTACGTATTAGCAAATGCAGATGACCGCCACGACTGGCCACCTCACTCGTGCCAGCACCTCGTCTTTCAGGAATAGATTCAGAAGAATTTCCAGCATTACCAAAAGGATCCACAGCTGCTCCACCATCGCCACCAGAACCACTAATATTGCCGCTCCAAATGAACGAAGTAGAGGTAGATGCCAGCGGAGAAGACAAGCTCAAGCGCTGACCTTGTTCTGTCGCTTTTCCTACTCCTGTTCTAACAGGCGCTCCTTGCGCAGCAGCTCCTCTGCTTGCACGGATTTGATTGCAGTTGGTGGAGCTTGGAAAAAAGATAGAAGAAATTATAGGAGGAATGTGCTCAACAAGAACATTTGATGTAGTCGGACTTAGAAGACCAGGTGCGTTTAATAACGTGAGCATGCTTTTCATCTCTTGCGGAAGTTCGATGTGGATGTCCATAGTACAACGAGGACGACTAGCTACATTTGGGATTTGGAAGGGCAAAAATACTACAACTCTGTTGGTTCGTTCTCTGCTAGCAGCGTTCGTAGTGTTCAACAAGCATTTTGATTCTATTATTTCCTTTACAACAACAGGAACAGCAGAATGACGGCAACGAGATCTGAACCTGGAGAACGTCCTGCTCCTGAGGGTCTTACTGCACCGAATATCGTGTCTTGTTCACCGATCTAACAACAACAGATTGGTGTAGTACGACGAGTCATTTGCTCGATAGAATCAATAGTACTTCTCATCGCTAAAGTACACCGATTTAGATACAGATGGAAAGTCAATGGTGCAGCTTCATCGTTAATAAGCACTCGATGAAAGGAAACCGACTTGGCTCGCAGTAAACGTGTGAGTCAGGGTCACTCACGACCCCAATGGCATTGAACGACGACATTAGAAGCGAAAGTGTAGCCCGATGCAAACCATCGATGGTCAGGCGATTGCGTCTCACATTGCTCTTGTCAACGTGTCTCTAGACCAATAATTATAACTGAAGATTTCTGGAGCTTCGTTCTCGCCATCGATATCTACTTCACGAGACTGGCGAGCCTCTTAGGGATGAACTTCTTGAACTCCTCCAGCTGCGCCGTCGGTCTTATTAAATGAAGGGGAAAGAAATACTAGCAAATTCAATTTGATTTGATTTTGATGTCACTTTTTCATTTACATTTTGTTCGATTATCGACTTAATATCGAGACTTATTCACTAGTGCGACCTATCCGGTTTGATGGTAGTAGCAAAAACAATTTCTACAATCTCACGTGTTTATGTTCTAGTTGTTCGGGAGGTTTAATATTTTACAGCAACAGTGGAGGTGGAGGTCACTGCTTTCACTGACTAGTGAGTACAACTAGATACATGTTGCTTTTCGAAGATGTGAAAACTAAATTTTAAGGTTTACTTTCTCAACAACGGGCTTGGGAGTTTTTCCTCGACATCTGTCGTGGGATCCACCTTCACAGTAAAAACCATACTTCAACACCCTTGTCCTTCATCCTTCACTTCCAGTTCTACGATCCTGCAACTAGTTCTGATCGTAATTGATAATTATGATCGTAATTGATGAGGATATTCATATCTTCTCAAACATATTAGATCGAAGTAGTAAGCCCTTGTTGTAAATGATCCAGTAATCTCCTTGTTGATCACCTCGTTCTTCAAAAACAAGACATTAGTGGTGGGCTTAGAATAGTCGTCGAAGGAGTAGCAACTACAACATATTTAGGTATTGCTACAGGTACAGGTACCCATCACCATGTTTTCATGGGGTTGGCCGCGTTACTACTAAATATACTGCTGTTTTATAAGTGTACAAGAAGTTATACTGCTGATGTATATATGTACCAGGGAGGGAGGCCCCCCCCCCCCTGTGGATGGATCTGGGGGGACCACGCCAGAGGGGTCCAGCCTTGCCACCTTATTGGCCAGGCCTGTCGAGGGGCTGCCGGGCGGGAAGGCCTCAACGCGCCCACTTCTGACCCCTTCCCGCTTCTTGCTTGTACCCTACAGACCTGGCAAAGGCAGGGCCCCGCTGGCTTGTTGCATGTACCCGACAGACCTGGCAAAGGGGGCAAAGGCAGGGCCCCGCTGCCTTGTTGCGTGCACCCTACAGACCTGGCAAAGGTGGCAAAGGCCGGGCGGCCCCGCTGCCTTGTTGCATGTACCCTACAGACCTGGCAAAGGTGGCAAAGGCCGGGCGGCCCCGCTGCCTTGTTGCATGTACCCTACAGACCTGGCAAAGGGGGCAAAGGCGGGAACCCACCCCCTTGGCGTAGGGTTGGGCACACGCAACAAGGCAGCGGGGCCCTGCCTTTGCCAGGTCTGTAGTGTACATGCAAGAAGCGGGAAGGGGTCAGAAGTGGGCGCTTTGAGGCCTTTCCGCCCGGCAGCCCCTCGACAGGCCTGGCCAATAAGGTGGCAAGGCTGGACCCCTGCAAGAAGCGGGAAGGGGTCAGAAGTGGGCGCTTTGAGGCCTTCCC